AAAAGGTTGCAATTTTAAAGTACAAGAAAATTTGACTGTTGTTTATATAACACAAATGAAAGAGTTAATTGTAGTGTTTTGACTGTTCCAGGCGTTGCTAAGATACGCTCTTGGGGTTTAGCCAATGAAAAGCACCGCTGATGACATAATGGTGTTGCTTCATGTTTCCACTGTCTTGCCAAGTCAAAAATTGCTGGAGATTTGACAGGCTACAGTTCTCTGGGAAGCTCGGTTTTCATTGCTGTTGCAATTGCTGAGAGCTATTGCTTTTAAAACTTCCATTCTTTCCTAACCTCCTCTTGTCTTCTCTGGAAATATAACCTTCTTTGATAATGCAGCAAATTCTAGTCACCTTTCAAGCAGCTGTGGTCATCTGATTGCTTTTCTATGTGACCAGAATAGTTTTCAGCTGGTGAAGAGCTATATGGAAATTTATTCTTCTAGTTAGGAACTGAGAACGGATCACGCATTCGGGTATATTGCATAAATAGATAAAATTTAAAATCATGCAGGATTGAGAACATTGTGCTACAATTGCTGCAACAGCCAGAAAAATCAAGTGGTTTGCCAAAACCCTCAGCATTTTTCAAGTGGCCCTTGGGGTGGGGGGATGGTTGGGAAATCACGGGCAACAGTTCTCCAGGATTTCAGACAGGAGCCTTTCCTGGTCATACCTGAGATGCTGGGGCCTTTTGCCTGCAAATCAGTTGCTCTGCCACTGAAGTACGGGCCTTTTCCTCTTCATTCTGCCATTACCCCTAGGCAGAAATAATTCCTACAACCATAACAGGCACACATAACATTTCACTGCTCATGTTGTGTTATATTTCTTGGAAAGGGCTCCTGCATGTCTTCTTCCTCTTCTGAAAATGCTCTAAGCACTGCTATTTTTCTACAAAAAGAGGTGCCATAGCTTACCATGAACACCTCCCTCGTTCTCTTAGAATAGCAATGGCTCCCAGCTGAGAGGTGCCGGAACGGAGTTCTGGTGAGTTCCTGCTGAAAAAAGACCCTGGCTCTAAGACTTAAGGCATAAATCCAGCAGCATGTTGTGATGGGGGTCATAGTCAATAAGGCTTTTTGAACTGGATAATTGAGGCTGGCTTGCTCACATGTGAATGGCGGGTTTGAACCAGATCAAACTCTCACATGTTTATTTCCTCATTCTGACACTTGCACCCGTCCCATTGCAAGGTGCATGCTGTTAGGAACATGAAGATTCATCTCTGTGTGAAGTAATGTACAAGTAGGTACTCACTGTTCTAAGAAGATACATTTGCACATCATACTAAACTGGGATTGGTTTCTACCCGCCTGTTCCTGTTACCGTATTCTCAATAAAGCCTGCACAGTACTTGTTTCAGGGCATGTTTTTGAGCAGCACAGAGAGGAAAAGCCTGAGTCTGATCATAGCTGGAAACTAGAATTTGTTGTAAATATTGGGAAAGTTATTCTTTAGGGGGAAATTTGATTTAGGGTGAAAGGGATTTAAAAAATAATAATAATATGACTGCATAGCTGCTACAAAAAGAACAGACTTACTTTTCTCAGGCCTTCTAATTCTTCATTCAAAATCTGAATTCTTCTCAAATTGTGTAACTATATTTTGGTAATAGATGGCAGCCCTACTTATCTCCTCCCCACCCCACCCTCCCCATTGGCATTCTGAATTTCAGGCTTATTCACACTTTGGGACCTTATTTTAAATCTGTGCCATCTGGTTCTTTGCCAATCTGGATTATATGCCGCCCCAATTTAGTCTTCAAATGGAAAATGTTCAAAAAAATATTACTGATATGGTAAATTAGCATTTGTGTGCATGATAAAGCTCTTGGATAACTGTTATCATGCCTCACCTATACTGCACTTCCTTCCTTCCTACACACACACACACACTCACAAGGATAGTTTGTATGGTTACTCTCACTACTGCAGCTCTCCACTTTTCTAAATCATTATTTGAGAGAAACTCTAGAAACTAGGTGAAAAGAGACTGAGGTACAGGCTAAGAGATATTCTGATGCCAAGAAATCCACCAGAGGCATTTTGTTTTTTCTTTCCCCGTCTCTGACTACTTTTTGCCTTTGCTATTCATGTGGTTTTTCTGTTTTTTAATTAAGCTCCCAATGCAGTCATGACAGTGGTGAAAGCAAACAGGAACAGACAGGCATTCAAAACGTTATGGGAGGCTGGAAAAAGATAGCCCACATTCATCACTAAATTTAAGAGTACTATCTATGACATTATGAGAGTTCCAGTAGAAGATATTATCTGCCAGTGTGGTGTAGTGGTTAAGAGCGGTAGTCTCGTAATCTGGGGAACCGGGTTCGCGTCTCCGCTCCTCCACATGCAGCTGCTGGGTGACCTTGGGCCAGTCACACTTCTCTGAAGTCTCTCAGCCTCACTCACCTCACAGAGTGTTTGTTGTGGGGGAGGAAGGGAAAGGAGAATGTTAGCTGCTTTGAGACGCCTTAAAGAGAGTGAAAGGCGGGATATCAAATCCAAACTCTTCTTCTTCTTCTTCATTTACATCCCTGTAAACTATTCTGCCTGCCTACTCACACAACTGCAACACTTCAGCTTATTCCCTGAGGGCTCTTTATGGCACCTCGTGAAGAGTGCTGCTAAATAACCATATCATTGATAAATTGTACAACAACTGGTTACACTAATGTTTAAATAAGGTTTTAACATTATTAGCTGTTCGAACAACTGCATCACACATCTCACTTCAAATTGTGTGCAAAGCATTTTGAGGATAAAATCACTTGTATCTGCCTGCACCTTGACTGTGCTGTTGTAGCAGATGTGTCCAGAACATTGCCCAGTCCTGTTACGTTGGATGAGCTTCAGTTAGTAAGGCTTGAGGATGTGGACAAGATGTTTGGTTTGACCACTCTTGCCCCTTGCTCATGGCTGATGAAAAGCTTACAGAGAGGCCATAGGTGGCTGGGTCTGGATAGGTGATTTGATGCCTCCCTTGTAAGGGGTGGTGGTGGTCCCTGCTTGCTTGAAGGAGCCAGTGATAAGACCACTCCTTAAGAAACCATTTGCCAACAGAGCAAATAGCCCCAAATGGCTAGTGAAGCAACTCCATGCTACAGGGGCATGCCAGACAAAGTCAAATATCACAAACATTAAAATGCAAACATAAAACCTGAGCCATTCCCTAGTCTTAACTGGTAGAACTAAGTTCCCAGGTAAGTGGTTATAGGGTTTCATATCTCCAGTTACCTGGGTATAAGCCCCACTGAGCATAATGGGACTTACCGTACTTCAATGTAGATAGTGTTTTTCTTCGTGTGATGGTCACTGGTGTGGAATACTGTCACCCTTATTTTGCTGCCCATGAGATCCATTTAGTGCTGGCATCTATGGCACTTTTACCAAGATGCAAGTACTGGTACCTCATTTTTAACAACAACAAAAAAGCACTGAGAAAAAGAGAATAACAAACATCAAACCGAACACATGTTTATTGAGGGGGAAAAGAAAGACACAAAAGTTGTAGACAGCAGCCATGTAAGTTCTGATACGTGAAACTAAATAAAGGGGAAAAAAGGGGGGGAGGACTGTGACAATATTTATAGAGCATTTTGCTTAAACATACAATACAGGCTTTTAGCTCAACAGTGCCCAACCCTTCATTTTGATATAGGTAGGATGGTACATTTGTGTCAACATTTCTCAGTCAAACATTACAAGTGCGAGAATAATTGTGATTATTACATAATCCTGGTGTTACAATGCAAAGGTCACTGTCCTAGGATTTTTACACAGTCTCTTCCAGTACCACCCTGTTAATGTTGACTGAAAAGTGAGTCCCATTTAATTCAATGGGACATATTTCTAAATAAGTATGTATAATAGGATTCTAGTCAATTGCATCTTTGTTCATAGTTTCTTAGGAGACGGAGTAGATTGTAATGTATGTTTACAGACTTAAAAAAACTCCACCTGTCCGTTGTATACAATGAATATATTGTTTTTGAATGCAAGGAATGTGTGCCATAAGAACATAAGAAGTGCCTGTTGGATCAAGCTAATGCCCTATCCAATTCAGCATCTTGTTCTCAGAGTGGTCAACCAGATATCTGTGAGAAACCAGCAAGCAGGATTCAAGCACAAGAGTGCTCTCCCCTCTTGTGGTTTCCCTCAGCTGTTATTCAGAAGCATTACTGACTCCAACTGGGTAGGCAGAGCACAGCCATCCTGGCTCGCAACCCACCGACAGGCCTCCTGTCTATGAATTTGTCCAATTCCCATTTAAAGCCATCTAGGTAGACATCACTGCCTCCTGTGGGAGCGAGTTCCACAGACAAACAAAAATCTATATCCCAGCTCACTTTAGTATAAAAATGGTCTACTCCAGTGGTTCCCAATGAGCTAAGTACTGCAGTGCAAACCCCCTGCTTTTCAAAAGCCAAGTCATGGACCCCCAACTTTGCAAAATGTGGTAGTTTTTGTTATGCAAATAGGGTCATGACACCATACCCTCTAGCACAAAACTGGGATGTGCATGCATCTTCTGGGCCCTGCTCCTATGCGAGCACTGCACCCAAAAATGTGATTTTTTTTGGCACCAGTTTTGGGGCGCTTTGTTCTCACGTGAGAGCATGGCTCCTCCAAAACAATGTCCCCAACAGTTGATGGGTATGTGCCACGGACCCCCTGGGCGGGTTACACAGACCCCCTGGGCCCTGTGGACCACCAATTGCGAACCACTGTTCCGACTCAAATTATACCTAAAAGTGGGGGAGGAGCGCAGAATTACAAAAATTAAGCGCAAACAACCCGAAGCAAAACAAGCGGAGGGGCCGAAAATGCACAATCTGCCTTCGGGGGACCACCGCTCGTTCACGTGAAATCGGATCTGCGCGACCCACGAGCGCACGAATGCCCTAATAACGTGAGCGCACAGCCACAACTTGTGGTTGGCGAGATGCTCTGGGCGGAATTCTCCCTTAGCATTTTGCAGCGCGTTTTCTGGCCACGAAGAAGTTCCGAGCGCGTGAAAGGAATCTTGCTGCTGCAATTGCTCAAGAGGCAGCAGACACCCCTAGGAAAAGGCGGCTGGAAGCGCTGCCGCTTCCCCCAGAATGGCGGGAACTTCCCCTCTTGACCCCGGGCGCTAATTCCCCTCATCCTCGCTCGCGTCTGGGGCAGGCGGGAGGCGGTGGTGGCGGCGCGCGGAGCTCTCGGCTTCTCGGGAGCCCAGCCTGCTTAGGGGGTGGGACTCGGGCGGGGCCGGGGCTCTCTTGCTCCTCCCTGCCGGGCCGGCGGGGGATAGTTTCGGAGCGGGCTCGAGGGCGACGGCCGCTTGGTCCGAGGGGAGGCTGGAGCGGGGCTCCGGGGAGACCAAGCTCGGGGCGCGGGTCTAAAGGAGGCGCAGGCCCGGCGAGTTGCGGACCCGGAGGGAGCTCGCTGGTGGGCGCGGGCCGGGCTGCCTCTCGCAACAGGTCCCTAGGCAAACAAGGGCAGGCCGCTCCGCCTCCCCAGGCCCCAGCCATTGGTCTCCTCCTCGGTCCCCGAGGGGGAGGAAGCGCCACCCGTCGCCTCAATGCGGTTCGGGGCCAAAATGATGCCGGTAAGTGCGCGAGCTTGCAAGAGAAGGGGCGCAAGGCGGGGGGGGGGGGGAAGAGACTTTCCTCCGGTGGGGCGAGGTCGCTAGATCCCGGGGGGGTCGGGCTGGTGGTGCCTTGGCCTCTGCCTGCATCCGGAGATCTGGTCTTTCTCTGGTGCAACGCAGGCGGAGATTGCTGCCGCCGCCGCCGCTTCCCGGTCCAACTTCCAATGGAGGAAAAGTTGGGAAACGCGGCTTAGGATGGGGAATATTAAAAAGTTACACGCGGCGGCGGGATCTTTAGCGCTCCGCCCCCCCCCCCCCCAACTGGGTATGTGGCGGGGAGGGAGGGAAGGATCTGGCCAGCTGCTCTCGAGGGATCGATCTAAGATGGGGCAGCTCAGTCCGGACGCGGGAGGATCAGCAAATGGAGCTGCTGTTCCTGCTCCTCGCGGCGAAACGCGTCGAGAAAATGGAGAGCTGCCCTCCCAGTGCCTTCGTGGAGCGGGGGGGGGAGAGAGAGAGAGAGAAAGAAAGAAGCTCAGGCGCTACACTTTTTTCTCCCCCTCTGGTCTGCCAAATTCGTGTAACGTTTCCCCTTCCAGAAACCTTGACCAGTTTCGATTGCTTCCTTATTAGAAAGACGCAGACTTAACTAATACCCAGTAGTTCCTGCTTCTCCCTGTGGTCAGTTCAAGTCCAAGGAAATGGAGGATTATAAGCACAAGTTGTGCAGGTAAAAGGGCTATTAGGTTAATAGTTCAAAAGCACTAGGGCCAGCTGGTTGGTTGTATGTATGTATGTACCACGTTCGAGGTGTGTTTGGTAGGAAACCCCGATTTATTGAATGGGAGAAAGCAGGAACCAAAAAAAGTCTGCCTATTTAAAGTAGGTTAGTTATTTCAGGGAAGTAATTAAATCAAAAGGCTTTCTACTCTCCAGTATAACAAGAACTAAGCCACTATTTCAGTCAGAAGCTTCTTCATTCTTTTTGTAGAAATTGTGCATCAATAAAGTCAGATGGTTTATTGATTTCTCAGGTAAATCCCATCATATATTCAAAAATGATACTTTCTCAAGGGTTGCTTATGTTTCTTTTACCGGTTTTATATTTCTTATAAAATAAAATGACTAATTCAAAAAACATTTCAGAATATTGGGAAGATGACAGTTCCTAGGAATCATTTAGGACTACTTTGTGCTTTATGACATTGTATATGAAAAATGCTGTTGGTGGAGAAATACATGAAACCTGAGTATCATGTACTTTGGTAATTGTACGTACGTAGATAAGGATACACACAGGTCCACAATCCATAGGTACAAAGCAAATCCCATTCATATAAGATTTTGTGGGTAACACTGAAGTGCTTTCTGCATTAAAAAAATCTTAATGTGTCTTGTGTCTGATGCGCCTTAAGGCACAACTGAGGTAGGAGAAAATAATAGCACTGCATAGCCTTCTGTACAGCTCAAAAAAGCAAAAATTTAGTTGCCACGTGTTGTGTTAGCTGGCCACTTTGAAATTATGTTAGAGCTGTGGAAGTAGGGTTGGATATTTCTGCTGCAGATGGAAAGTGCGTACACATATGTATCTCCCATGTTTTCTCTCGGTATTTGTCAAATAATATATTTTATGTTAACCACTTACAGGTTTTGATGATTAAGCTGTATATAAATCCTGTTAATCATTTCAAAGCAACAATGCTTTGTTTATTTATCAACTGTTCATAGATAATCACTATTGTTTCATTACACAAGGTATGTGTTAGTTGTAAATATGAAGTTTCCTGTGGGGGCGGGAATTGAATTTTCGTAGCACTCAGCTAGTTTTATTGCTGGGAAGATACACTTTTCCATTCCTGTCTTGAATATTCTGAGAAAAGTGACACAACTGATGACCACTGGCTAACGTCTAAGGCCTGCCTTATTTTGAGAATGTTTTGTGTGTGTCGGTGGGTTAAGAGGTAGCTCTTATTGATTTTTAAAACATTGGCAGTTGTAAGTATCAGCAAAGTTATTGCTGACCCTGCAGCATTACCTGAAATTCTGTGGACAAGGGATCACCCCCTTGTCATTCCTTCTAGAGTCTAGACCCTATTTTAATAATTTGGCAAAATCCTTGTTCCTTGAAGATCACTGGGTTGCTTTCAATATACCATGTGCAGTGTCAGGAAGATTTTCCCCCCCAAAATTGCTGCAATTAACTAACATAGCAATTGGGAAAAATCATGGAACTTGCCTAGGAGTACCTTTACTAACTAACCTCTTATTTCTAATAGAACTTGTCCCCAGTAATTTAATATATTAGCCTATATATACACTCTCCTGTTCACACAACCAGAATAAATGAAGACAGGTGCAAGTGTAGATTTTCCCATTTTCAGTTATTGGCCTAGTTCACATGTTATGCAAGCCAGCGTTAATAGTTTATCATGAATGAAGAAATGATTCCTGCTTTGCTTCTCCTGTAGCAGGAATAACAAACCACAAATCCTGGCTTACATTTGAATTAGAGATTCCTTTGTTTCACTAACATATTGATCGGTAAGCCAATAACAAACCTTGACATCCCATTTTGGTCTGTTTAGAGCAAAACAAACCATGAACCCTGGTTCAGACTGTAACACTAAGCCAGGAATCATGATTTGTTGCTCCTGCTTGCTGTAGGGGAAGAACAAAGTGGGTGACATCTACATGTTCATAATAAGCCAGCTACAGTGACTTGCAAATGCTGCAAATGATATTTATAGAGTAACAGTTCTAATCCCTTTTACTAATTGGTGGGAATGGAGGTAAAGAGGTAATGACAAGAAGTATGTTACTTCTTAGGTATCATTGGAGGGATCTCCAGACATATAATATTTTGCTTTTGTTTTGTTCTTACTGTGATTTCTTTTTTGTTAGTTGGTACAGTTCCCATAAGTGTAGCGACTATAACTGCTTTGATGGCCCGATGAGGTTTCCCTCAACCCGTTGCATTTATATTGTTATGAGTTTGTGGGTGCCAGACCATTGCAATCCCTGGACCCAACAAGTGTCATAATTTAATTAAGGCTTGAGAAGTGCTAGACACTTCTAATCCCTGGACCAACAAGTGTTAAAAGCTAATTAAACCAACCTAAGCTATGTTGAGGTGATTGCTCGGGGTGATAGGCCATAAAGAGAACAGAGGATCAGAGGACTCTGTGCCAGATGGCAAAGGGCTGGGGTTGCTCCCCCAGCAAATGAGGCCAGAGTTTAGAGTAGAGAGTTAGAAGTAATGTGAGCTAGAAGAAGATGATGATGATTTTGGATTTGATATCCCGCCTTTCACTCCCCTTAAGGAGTCTCAAAGAACACTGTGAGGTGAGTGAGGCTGAGAGACTTCAGAGAGAAGTGTGACTAGCCCAAGGTCACCCAGCAGCTGCCTGTGGAGGAGCGGGGAAGTGAACCTGGTTCACCAGATTACGAGTCCATCGCCCTTAACCACAACACCACGCTGGCTAGGAGATAGAGTGAGCAAACAGCAGGCAGAGCCTGATGCCTGATGTTTGTCTGAATCCAAGCCTGATCCTGTTGGGAGAAGCAAGACCCTTTTGGGTTGTTAATGCTGGGAACCCTAGGTAAAGCGCTTGGAACCCCTGGAATCTTGCACTGCTCAGCAATTTGGGATGGTGTGCAACAATATTTATATCCCAGTTTTCCTCCCAGCAGCTCAGAGAGGTTTGTGTGGTTTTCGTCCTCTTGAGGTAGATTCCCGAGAGAGAGTTCCTGGCTCTGGTCATTGTGACTAAGCAGAGATTTGGTCTTGGTTTGCATGGGGAAAACCACACTGGTTTTCTTTTATACAGTTTTGTTGATTTCCAGTATATGACAACAGTTATAAAAAATAAAATCATAACAAAATGTACCCCCCTTCTTCATCCAGGATGGATCAGTCTAGTTAAGTTTTCCAAAGTCCAGTCTATGATTTGGGTGGTTGTCATTCTTCAGGGTGATCAGTAAAGTATTTTATAAAAGGATGCCATATTTCAGCAAAATCGTGTACATCATTTGCATTATTCAATGCATGTAATCTCTTTGCTATTTTTTTCTGATATATAAATTGACCATACATTCTGTTTCTAATGAGAAACGCACAGGTGTCCCAATCCTTTCCAATTTTGCCCCGAAATTGGAATGCTGTTACTAAAAGCAAAGTAATTAGTTATTTATTACAAAGGTTTGGATTGTCCTTATTTAAAAATGGTTAACAATCCCAAACTTGGGGTATATTCCACATGTTGACCTGTAACATAGCTTGTTTCTGTAAAAAGCCTCTGCCAGAAGGGTTTTATATGCTCACACACCCACCACATGTGAAATGTTGTACCTATACCATTGCAGTCTTTTCAGCACAAGTGGTGAGATGATTTTATTAATATAGCTACACTTCAGAAATTGCTTTTTTCGTAGAAATTGATGTTCATATATTTTCACTGATCCTTTTAAATGATTATTATCCCCTTGCTACTTCTTGGTAAGGAAACGTAGTTAATCTGTTATAGTTATCTCTGCATCCTTCTGTTTTGTAGAGGGCAAGGCTGATACTGTGTTAAACTAACTAGTGGTCAGCAAAGGACAGGCAGTAGAAATCAAACAGTCCTGCTCCAAGAAGTGATAACTCACCGTTCCATATGCTTTAGATATGTGGGAGTGTGACTGCTGCATAGAAGTAGTGAGGGGCTAAAATGCTTTTTTAGAAGCATAGCATCTAGTTGCATAATAAGTTTTCCTTTATCTATTTTTATGTAATCACTCACGTTACATTTAAGCATAGGCAGATGATAGCATTGACGCGTACAATTGCAATATCTGCAGGAAAGCGTATATTTAAAGGGAGCTGCATGTTACAAAGTCATAGGCATATAGGGCACATGGGAAGCTGCCCTACAGACCTTTGGTCCAACTAGCTTACTGTTGTCCACATGGAGTGACAGCAGCTCTATAGGGTTTCTCTGAGCCGTACTGGAGGTGATGGGGATCGAACCCTCAAAGTGGATGCTCTACCTCTGAACTATGGCCCTTCTCCATGTGCTGTGGCGGCACATGGTTTTTTAAAAAAGGACATGTGGCCACTTCAAATGCTAATTGGATACCATGCACACTTGGCTCTTCCCCTTTGGGCCACACTGCATCGCAAGCAGAAAACCATAATTTTGACTTCTTGTATCATAAACAAATCATGAGCCCAGGTTTGAATGACAGCCCAAAGTTTATTGTTTGCTGTTCACAGTGTGACCAGGAAGGGCAGTGGAGTCTGTTGTGGACTTCTCAACATGTACCAGCATGCTCATGTTCACCTTAAACTACAGTAAACATAAGCTATATTTTTAACTTAGGGGTAGGAAACCATTTTTTTATGGTGGGTCAGATCAAAAAGTGGTCAAGGTTGCACACCAATCAGTCATCTGATGTCTATGATATCAGGTGTATCAAATCACACCTGAAAACAGAGTACCTTTGGTGATAGCTTTAAACAGGGTCACATGTAAGGCAGGACTGCAAAGGAACAATTGGGACTGCATGGCCTCAGGTTTTTCCTTTCCAACTGCAGTTTGCATATGATGCTATTTAATTTTGGTGCCAAATGCATTCCCTGCTTCTTTCAGCAAGGACTTGATCCACTCAGGTACTCTCATTGTTCTTTTAGTGTCAGCTGCGGAGAGTAGGGGTGAGAGGGAAAGCTCAGTTGGATGTTTGGACTTCTGTGTAATGGTTGATGCAAGAGTTTGTTACTACTTTCTGCAGACTGGATTATTGATAATCTGCCCACATGTCAAATTTGGGCCAGTTGCTTGGGGGAGATAATATGTTGGTCTTTTGGCCAGATCCAGTTCCCTACTCTTTCTTGTGTTTGAAATTTCAAATAAATGGGATTTGCTTCTAAGTAAATGGCCACCCAAGGGCGCTTTTATTTGTTTTTTGAATGGTGGACCCCTGACCCAACATGGTGCTTGAAAAATGGCTATTTAAATTGTGGGGAATCTAAAGCTGTGTTTTGTATACTCAAAACTAATAATAAAAAATAACCCTACTGGGCTAGCACAAGCCTTTGCCTGTGTCTAGAATAGCTCTTTGGGGATCCTGCCAGTATATTTACAATTTAAGTGCCAAAATCTTATTTATGGTCATAGTAGCAGATGGGAAACCTAGGAGGAACAGAACTGTTTTGACATCAATGCTGGCAGTAGAGCATAGATTTGGTCCCCATATTGTAGCGCAAAAATATTTTTATGCTATCATAAATTTAATAAATGATAATAATAAAATTGGCTATATATATCTGTGAATATATGAGAGAGGAAGCAATTAGATTCTGGATTACATCCTAAATGCACATTTTTCTGTTGTATAAATCCCAAACTGCTGAAATTGTGAAGGTGGGGGATCATAGGGTATGTTGCTTCTCAGCATGCTGGGGAAACTGGAAAATAAGTGTACAATACAATCCTATGCAGGTATAGGATTGCAGCCTTATGTATGAACGGTTTCTTCCTCCACCTGTTTCTTTTCTCCTTTTTGAGGCATCATTGTGTAATATTTCATAGGATTCTGATTGCTTCTGAGTACTGCATTTGTATCACTAGATACAGGTTTCCTGTACTGTGTTAATGCACTGTATGTGTAAGGTTGCTAACTAAGTAGCTATCTAGCATCTAATTTCATATTGTTCTTTTTTGCTGTGTAGGTGCAAAACTAAATGCTACTGTTGTCTTGAATCTGTGCTTTAAGGCATGAGTTCTGGAGCTGTCAGCTTTTCATTGAATCAAAGTGTCTGTTGTGTTGAACAGACTTCGGTTTTTAATAAATTGCTCTTAGTTTTGGTTTTTTGGTTTCCTGCTTACTCTAGAGCATTCCCCTATCTACTTGCCTCTCTTGAGAAGTCTGCTTGGGAGTGGGTGACCTTAAAAAAAATAAATTTGTAGTATGTTCTTGTAGAAAGATCAGGTGATATTAATGTTGCCTCTAGGTCAGTATGGGCCTACTGACCAGATGATGGATTATAGGGTTCTTTGGTCTAGTCTAGTGTAACAGGGCTCGTATGTTCTTAATGCCACTTGCTTCAGAATTTTTATGTTGAGTATTCTAGGAAAGGCATGACCTCGAAGTGTTTTAAAAGCTGAGTGGACACTATTTTCTGATTGAAAAATAGCAGGAAATAGATTTGCAGATTCTTTTAATTGGGTACCTTAAACTGAGTAGATGCCAAATTCAGAAGCAGGCTTTATAGGTACAGGTTTCCTCTCCTCCTTTCTGAGTAAGGCCACAACATGGATATATATACAAAAGGCAATACAATACAAAGGCATTGCAATAGTGGATATTTCATTTTCATTCCTTTTCCGAATGACCTTTAGCATGGAAGTTTCCGCATTAAGTTCAATTAAGTACATTTAATTGATGTTTTTTATTGAGCTAGCTATCATTTGTTTGCCCTTCTGAGCTTCTTTGGGAGGAAGGTTGGGTTATAAGTTAAATTAATAATTTTTTAAAATGCCAATATTTTATTTAAAAAATTGTAAAGTCACCTTTGAGCAGACCTTCCAGTGTGTCAGACAAAATAACCATAAAAAATTAAATTAAAATCCAAGATAACAGTAATGTGGCAGATAAAAGCAACCTTAAAAGCAGCATTTAAAGCACAATAGCTTTCCTGGCAAGTGACTGCCAGTACAGTACAGACTCTCATCAGTAGAGCTGAATTCTCTCCCCCCCTCTAATGTGCAGCACTCATGGAGCCTCATTTTTACATGGGTACATGCTATTCAAGTGACTGCTATAATGTTGTTTTGTTTGTGAAATTGCTACTGCAGAGTGTGGAGTTTGCAGCAGGGTATAATTGTGTAGTTATGATACCCCATGGGTTCACAATTCTTTATTTAAATTTCCTACCTGGCAATGATCAAGAAGGATTGCATATATAAACAGGCCCTTGATGTTAGAAAGGTAGTGTAGCTTCTGTGTTTGTCATAACACCTGTTGTGCTGTTGTTGGTTCTGCTTAAATGTTTGAGTAGAGAGGGATTCCTTTAAAACAATAGTACAGATCAATGCTGTGTGGTTTGGAAAAGATTTGTTCTGGTTTCTCTCTACAAAGATAACTTTTTTGTTTCTCATCTCTTGGGATGCAGCTCAGTTTCTACGATTGAAAATGTGTGCTATGTTTAGGAATAAAAGTATGAGCATGCTTTCTTGTCTTCAGTGCAAATCTCTGTTTACAGACCTGCTCCTGGAAATAAATAAGTGGATGCAGGGTTACTGGTGTCAGGAAGTCTGTGGCAAGGTGAGCATCAAATTAGGGGAGTTTCCATTTCTTCAGTATCCTTTGCTTGCGAATCTCAGGTGGCACCACCCTTTTCATCATCAAGCAACAGAGAAGTCTGTAAGAATTGTAGCTGGGATGGAGTGTCATCTAGTATGTAAGGTCTAGTTCAGCTATCATGTGAAAACTCGTGCTCTACATGGAAGTATATTTGCTGTGTGATCAACACATCATGTGGAGGTTTGGCATGCCACAAGCACCTAGGAAGAATGGAGGCTTCATGTAATGAACCCCACTTACTTATGCTTACAGACATCATGAGTGCCTCCATCTGAAAGTGTAATTTGGTACTACTAACATTGGAGCCAGCCCTTGGTTGAAGAACGTTGAATTTCCTTTTTATAGCATTGTACGCATGTTTACTTCCAACAATTGAGTTTTTCATACAATAGCATCCCTCAGAGCCTCTCTCTGAATACAATTTTGCTGGAGTCCAGCCACCCACTGGCTTCACATAACAGCATTTCTAACTCTGATGGGAGCGGCACCACAGTGGAACTATAGGATTTATTTTTAAGCAAAGTTGCAGCACAAAGCTTGCTTGTGCTTCTGACGTAAGTAATGAGAAACTAAACAATGGAAGCTTAAGGTGTTGCTGTATTCACAACTCTATTTTGCAGAGATGTCATTTTGATAGGGTTAAACTTTAACAAGTTGTGCAAACCTAACATAGTAGAGGGGGCAATCTTATTTCCTTCGGTATGTTGGTGCATTAGCAAAGCTACATCTTTATTGCAAAAATGGTGTTTTTGCTGACTTCATTCTGTTTGAAAACAGTATTGATTTTTGAATGCTGACAGTGTGCATTTTTGGCAGCATATCAAATATAGAGGTGAGTATGGTGTCTGCTCTGAATACAATCAAAAGGACTGAATATTTTGTGAAGTTGGTTTGTGTTTGTGTTTGTGTGCATGTGTGTGTGTGAGAGATGTGGGTCCATGAAATGAGGCATAAACAATACAGTCCAAATTTTGGTGACCAGTCTAATTAAATCTATCAAGTTCTAGGAAATGTGACTTCCTTTGATACGGATAATGATGTCCCTGAAAAGGCAAAACAGGGATAGCCAACATTGTGCCCTTCAGATATTATTAACCTTCAACACCTATCATTGCTTACCTTGCTGGATGGGGTTGAATGGATTTAGGAGCCTAACAAAATATCTGGAGAGCACCACATTGATTGAAGTATGAAGATCTGGAGAGAAATTAAATAGTAAGTAAAGAAACTTGGCTACTGCAAGGTGATTGAGTGGGTGGTGGGTGCCGAACTCCATACATTCCTGGATGAATTGGTATTTAGACTCAGTTTAGTTGGCTTCTGATCCAGTTTTAGAACCAAAACAACTTTGATGGACAACCTGTGCTGGGTGGGGGGAGAATGTGACCCAGCTGGTTCTCATGCATATATCAAAGGTTTTTTATACCAGTTACTGCGGTATCTAGTTGGACAGACCTTCTGAAGTTGAGGGTTCTCTCCAGTCAAAACTCCTCCTGATGTTTCAGAAGGTGGTACTGGGCAGCTATTGTTTGGCACCATGTATTTATGTTCTTGGTTCTGTCTTGAATATTGTTTAATATTTATATCATCTTTTTCCATCCTAGTGTCCTTCTGACATTTTGGATTGTAAATTCCATTATTGACTAATGGCTGTATTGGCCATTTCTGGTTAGAGCTAATCCAACCACATCTGGAGGGCACCAGCTTGGGGAATGCTGTACTGTATTACCCTCTGGGGGAGATCTTTTGGAGTAAGGCTCTTTCTCCTTTTCATCAAATCCAGATGAGGGAAAAGATGTTCTGAATAGATGTCTAGAGTCAGTAGTTGGTTGGATGAGGACCAAAAAACAAACTCAGTTCAGCTAAGATAGAAGCACTGTTGCCTGGTGACACCTGGCCAGGATATAGGGTTTGGACGGTGTTGCAGAAGCCCTAAAGTAATGGTGGCTAATCTGTGGCTCTCTGGATATTGTTGGACTATAACTTGCATCAGCCTTAGCTAGCGTGGCGAGTCCTTAGGGATGATGCAAGTTGTTACCAGCAACATCAAGGGTTAATTCAGGTAAGTATTTCCCAGCTGACAGCTTTTGAGAGCCTGCATGAAATAGCAGAAAGAACTTGCAGGTGAGGTGACATCCACATTGCTATAGCAACTTCGTTAGCAGGGATAGGTTTTCTAAGTAGAAAAAATTTCTCAGGAAATTTTCTGTCTTGGAAGTTGTGAGTGTGAGGTGTGACCACATTTTCCTGTTTTGTGGTCTCACTTTAAAAAAAAGTATGAACACATTTCTGCGGAGATGAGGTTTATGGTTTGTGGCTCAGTATATGGGAACTGATGATTATTCATAAGTGGGGCTGATTGTGAGCGGCTTAACATGGCAAAAATAAAAATGCTCATAGGCCTATTTGCACTTAGTTTTTCTCTCAGTTTCCCACTCTTAAAAGACAAAGTTTCTCAAAGCATTTTGGGTGCATGTGTTGTTCTTCTGGATTTCAGAATTATTTCTTACTGTCAGAGAGAAACTTGACACCTTTCATAATGCAAGCGTTGGAGCCTCAGAGTTGCAAAAGGTCAAGCGTTTTAGGTTCTCTTATGGGACAAATAAGGAGGAAAACACTCCCGTCTTATTCAGTCCCAGAATAATGCTGCATTTCCTACTGTACTCCACCTACTTTGCATCATAACTTCCTTTCTCATATTTGTGGCTAAATGCCAGAGCTGCACAAACTGAATATTATTTGCAGTTACTCACAAGGCAGGAACATGTGCTGACCGCCACCGATAGATATAGGTAAATCTACTTTTCTTTTACTGTTGAGTCTTGCCCTAGTGCAGTGAGCAATTTATCTCTGAAATAATACAAGATAGCAATGTATTAAATGGGTGAAATAATTTTTAGTAGGTTGGTTTTAGTGTTACTTGGTCTTTAAGCACAGAGAAATTCAGGCATGCTAAGACTGAACAGTTGAATATGTGAGTAATTGGCCTTGAAAGGTGTGGGATTGCATTTTTGCTTGAATTGCAGCAGAGTTAGGTCCCCCCCCCCCCCCCAGTTCTTCTGGTTTCATTTGAAAGCAGCATTTACATATTAGTATGGAATGCTATGTATTAGATTAAAAACCTTCCGTTGTACAGACTGCCTTTTGTCATTCAGAAAGTTGTAGTCAAACAAAGAAACATTTTAGTTGTTGATTTCTTTGTGGTCTGCCTGTGAAGATGTTACACCTCTGCTTTCTGAGATCTGGTAAACTGTTGAAATGAACAGTACTTGGAAACTAGAGTTTTAAATGGGTTTCTGGTTTGGGAAAAACTCCAGCACTGTTTTGCCGTTGAAGTGCGTCTATATAATTTTTGTAACAGCTTAATTGCTAGGTTTTTATTGTTTCCTCCTACTCAGCTTAAAATAACTTCTGTTCTCGTTGGAAAATATGAATTAAGAAGCCCTTTATGGCTTCTAAAAAATGGTTATTGCCTATGTCATTCTTTCTAGAATGCAGGTGTGCAGTTATGCTGTATGGAGAAGAGCAGCTGTATAGAATTGAATGTTGATAGACATAAACTACATTAGACTGGCTTTATGTGATGCTAGCTCTTTTTACGTAGATACCGTAATCTTTACAGGGCCTTTAAAAACACTGCAGTTAAAAAACAGTTATTGGTGGCTTAAACATATGTATCAGAAGTGTAGTTTTGTACCACTGGAGTTCAGATTAATGAAAGATATATATACCATTTTGTTAGAGCTTTGAGTACAGCAGCTTCATTAAAGGTCACCCATACAGATGCTGTTTTTTGCATAGGAAACAGGCATGTAAATGTCTCTTGTGCTACCTTATGTATACTCCATCCTTGACATGTTGTGAACTTGAGAAGTAAGCCTTGTGGCTATTTTTTTTGTCCTATTTGTGAAGGGGATGGTACCCTTTAGAAATGTCCTTTGTGGTGCATTCCCTGAACTAACATTCTTCAATTCTATGCCTTTAAAAAAAAAGTACAGCTGTGTCACTGCAAAAGGAAAACAGGTTCTCAGTTTTGAAGGTAATACTTTCTGTGCACTCTTTGTTTAAGGCGTAAGGTGAAAGAAGCATTTTCATCTTCCATCTGCATTTATGTATTTTTTAAATCCAAGTTAAGCCCTTCTTTGCCTGACCATAGCACGTTAAAGTCTTTTTGTTTTTGTTCTCATTTAGAAGAAATGGGATAAGACAGGTCTGTCCTCCTTTCCTGCATAGTTTGGAGTTAACTTGACATTTTTGTGAGTTGTAGATCTTCAAGCCCGAAACAAGGTGACTCAAATGGTTTTGAAAACTTGATATAAATAAGCATATAAATCAAATTCTAAGTGATTGACATAATTGAATAAGATAGAAGACTTGAAGATTGCCCGTATTGTGCGTGTGTGCCGCTGACTAAAAGGGGAGTCTACACATGAGTGTTGTTGTACAAGGTTGGGGAGACTCGAGTTCAAATCCCTACTTGGTGGCTTTGGCTCAGTCACCAACTCTCAACCCAACCCACCTCACCAGACTGCTTGTGAGGATGGAGAGAACCCATTATGCCTCCAGGGCTCCTTGGAGGAAGGGTGAAATAAAATCTGCAATGGCTAACAACGAACATGTTTGTGGTTAACAGGGTAAATACAGTTTCCTTCTTACCATTTTGTATTCATATTCCTGACACGAGAAGCTACAGCTAATCTGTTTCTTGTGAACGTCTGGAAAATTGTAGAAAGGATTTTGAAATTAAGTTGATTTTTTTTAGGGCATATCAGTAGTTAGAAATAGAAATATGGCACACAGAATTGAAAAAGGTGACAGTTTTTTTTAAAGTACTCATATGTGAGAAGGTTAAACATTACTTTCTACCATAAGGATTTGTGTAGTAAAGCTATATTTACAATAAGCAATCTGGCAACAGTGCTGGGGAACCTGGCATTTCAAAGAACCCTTAGCACAGCTTTAGCACTGAATAGTTCAAAGAAGAAATACACTTAATGCAGGCTGTCTCTCATTATAACTTACCGCTTCAAATCCCCACTCGTTTTTCCTGTTTCACCTTCTTCTTCCGGCTGCAGGGTGTGTTGGAGCTCTGCCCTACAGCGAGTAATATGATGTAGAGATGTTCAAGGTATATAATTGGCATGTGAGCAGGCAGGTGTTTGATGAAGGAAGGTGTAGAAAAGTTTTTGAATTACAATTGGGTAACAGATGATGTGAGAGCAAGAGAAGGTGTAACTTGCATCTATGCAAGTTGCACAGGAATGATATCCCATCCACATACTAATTTTCAAAGATACAAACTCATTCTCCTCCCTCCCCCCACAAAAAAGCCCCCCAGTTGTTTCCCTTTCTGACACGGGTAGGTTCTCTGTTCAGCAAGAATCATCAGCCTCCTTCGATGTAACCCAATGGTTAGCCGATTTTTCTTTTCTAGAATCATGGTCAACTAGTAATGCAGCTCTTGGTGAATTTTATCAGTACTTTCTAATACAATTTTAGCATCTTTATATGCTTTTATGGCACACAGTTTCACATACTGAAAACATGATTGTATATGAAAAATGACGAGGTGCATTGAGTCAAAGTTTGTTTTTGGCGATGTAACGTGAAGGAGGATTTTGTGCCTTCTGTTTAAAGTGTCTGCAACTAAGAACTCTAGAAAGCAGCAATGATGTGGTATGTTGGTTAAAATTATATTTTGTATATCTGTATCAAGATATATTAGGAATTTGGATGCTCATAACTACTATGAGCTCAGAGCTAGTATAACATCAGCTGAGTTGTGAACTCCCTTGATAGCCTTAAGCTAATCTTGAGCTCCTTCCACGTCATCTGCTATAGGGTGACAATACTGCCTCACCTTACAGAGCTATTGAAAGTATTATTAAGATATGGGAAACATTTTGATGTCTTAAGAAAAAGTGGTGCGTAAATATAAAGTTATTGCTTTAAAAAGTGTTATGAGAGATGAGGTCTTGTTTTGATTTAGCAGCTCAGTTCAGACAACATGCTAAACCTTGGATTGAACTTGTAAATATTTAAACAAACACCTGTGGTTTAGAGCTGTGTGTCTGGTCGTAGCTCCATTCAGTGTGCTGGTCTTTGGAGGCAGAACAATGGCCACCATGTAGTTTGTCAACTCACACATCATGTCAAGCCATATGTAGCACACACAATGGTTTCTAATTCCTGTATGCTACCCAGTCACAAGCTGTGGTTTGATTTGATGTCTAACCAAACCTGAATGTTAACAAGTTTTAAAAGTTATTTTTAAATGACAGGGAAATGCGTGTTCTCATCTACCTAATCTGCGTAACTCAGTGTGCTGTCACATAATTTGAAGCGTATGTGTGTGTTGGAATCAAGCGTCTGGCTTGGAACTCTGGCTTTGATTTTATATCTCTTAAACATTTTTGCTGATAGACCTATAAATGAAATATTAATTAGTGGGATGATAGTAACTCCTGTTGAAGATATTTTGCTGCTAGAAACCTTAAGTTTGGCAGCTATTGCAGATATCAAAGTTCAAGGTAGCTCCAGGAAGCAAATAAACGGATTAATTATTTAGTCATCAGTTAGATCATAGTTGCCTGCAATTTGCTTAGCCTAAACTACGACTGAAATTACCTTTAGTGAATACTGGACATACCATTTAACCTGAAGAAGCGGCCAGCTTCAGAGTTCATGAATTTATTGAGGGATCACTTTGCCATTTCTTAAAACAGAGCTAGGGTAAGACCTACCACAACTTAACCTTCAATGCCTAAATTAAGAGAATGGTTAGCTCAAATAGATTTCAGAGTTAGTCTAATGAACACTACTTAATTTGCAATGTAGTATATAAAAATGACTTAGAAAATGAATTATTTTGAAACAAAGTGAAGAAGGTTATGACATTATTTTAAGATTCATGGTTACAGATTTTGGGCAGAGGTGGGGCTAGATAACATTGGCTCTTTCAACACATAATATTCTGTGCTTCCAGAGTGGCTTTCTAATTAACGTGGATTTTATTCCTGTTGTAAGCTTGTTAATTTTGGAGTGATAATGGGCCATGTGATGGTGAAATCCAGATGTTTAGCACCTCCTTAGGGGATTGCAAACAGTTTTGTATATAGCACTAGGTGGTTGGGGATTCATATAGCAAGATACCACCTGTTTAAATGTATTACTTTAAATAGCAACAAGTTTTTATCTGGTTATTTGAACTTAATCTCTGGAGTTGTGTGATGTTGCCTTTGGCTGAGTTGGGTCATACAAATAAAATATATATTTATAAATTAAGCAAGTATGTTCTAGGAAATGGCTCTGTGCCTTATCCAAAGTTGCATTCATCTGAGCTGTAAGGATTTTTTTTCAGGAGTTGGCACCTTTCAAGCTGTTTGTACTTTTACATACAAGAGCATGATCCTTTATGCTGTATTGTGTTTTTAATATTTGGTTGGGAGCCGCCCAGAGTGGCTGGGGAAACCCAGCCAGATGGGCAGGGTGTGTGTGTGTGTGTGTGTGTGTGTGTTATATATATATATAGGGATGAAGCATGCAAACCACCCCAGACATCTCCTTTTGTCTGGATAATTCTACAGTGGTACCTTGGGTTACAGACGCTTCGGGTTACAGACTCCGCTAACCCAGAAATAGTACCTCAGGTTAAGAACTTTGCTTCAGGATGAGAACAGAAATCATGCTCCGCAACAGCAGCAGCAGGCCCCATTAGCTAAAGTGGTGCTTCAGGTTAAGAACAGTTTCGGGTTAAGAATGGACCTCCAGAATGAATTAAGTTCTTAACCCGAGGTACCACTGTATGTCTTTATCCTCTGTAGCCAATTGCTATACAGTGTTGCTTTTTATAGAGAAATAATTGAAGCAGTATATTTGGGCTCCATTCCAGTCAGGTTGTCACATAGAAGAAAACTAAAGAGCTAACATTGAGGTTTCTGCTTCTAGAAACTTCCATCAGTGAGAACCAGAGATAAAATACATTTAGGATTTATGGGACTCTGATCTGCTCTCTTCCAGATGTTTCTTACTGTGTACCTCAGTAACAACGAGCAGCACTTCACTGAGGTGCCAATCACCCCAGAAACGACCTGCAGAGATGTAGTGGATTTGTGTAAAGAGCCTGGTGAGACTGAATGCCACCTGGCTGAAGTGTGGTGCGGCTCAGGTAAGGGAAACATGCCAATTGTAACCTGCCAGGCATCTAGATAAGTGTCTCTCTAGTTTCTTTTAACACCAGGATTAATTGAACTTTTAATCACATGAGTTCATATAATGATTTGCATTGTGCAGCTTTGTTTTTAATATTAGTTGCCTTCATGTTAGTGTAAAATGAAAACCAGACTATTACAGTGGCAGCAGCAAACAATTGTCTGCAGATCAGTTGCTCCTCTCCCAGCTGGTCTTGGAGTGAAATTACAGGCTTTTGTTTCACAGTCTATAAGAGGCCTTGGCTTAGCCTCTGTCAAGGCATGCCCTTACATGGTACCCAGAGTAGTGAGAAAGAAAACCTCTCTGAGGATCCACAGGTGGAAACGGCCTCCAAGGCAGCCTCCACCTCCCCAAAGGGCTGCTCAACACTTTTTTTTTTGTCCACCTGTATGCTTTCTTGATATTTTATAGCTTTGTTGTTTAGTCGTTTAGTCGTGTCCGACTCTTCGTGACCCCATGGACCAGAGCATGCCAGGCATTCCTGTCTTCCACTGCCTCCCGCAGTTTGGTCAGTCTCATGTTTGTAGCTTCGAGAACACTGTCCAACCATCTCGTCCTCTGTCGTCCCCTTCTCCTTGTGCCCTCCATCTTTCCCAACATCAGGGTCTTTTCCAGGAAGTCTTTTCTTCTCATGAGGTGGCCAAAGTATTGGAGCCTCAGCTTCACGATCTGTCCTTGCAGTGAGCACTCAGGGCTGATTTCCTTAAGAATGGATACGTTTGATCTTCTTGCAGTCCATGGGACTCTCAAGAGTCTATAAGCTATTTTATAGCTTAACAAAGCTAATATAGTAGGAGGGCCAGAGGTGTAGCGCTTTGGCAAAGCTGGTGACTTGTGAGTTCTTCACACAAGACACAAATGTGGGTTCCTCCACATCTTTAAGGTAAATGTAAAATCTGTCTTGGCTAGAATGTATATTGACTTTGAAATTGGCTCTTTTAATTGGCACAAGAGAGGCTCAGATGTGCATTGGGCATTCTACTCTATGCCAGGGGTGGGAAACATCTTCTGGCCAGTGGGCCGTATGCTGACCTTGCGAGCAGATGGGTGAGGCTGCCAGCCTGTCAGTTACTTGATGTCATTATGATGATGGTTGGCAACTTCAAAAGATGTTCGCTGTCAGCGCCAATTAGCACTAAAAGCAACCCTTTTTGAAGGTGTGATTGGAGTTGACAGATGATTGGAGCTGACATCTTGCCTTCCAAAAAGCCTGCTGTGCCCAACTGTAGGTATGAATGGATTCAAGGAACAATCTGGAGGGCACTTTAAGCTCCCTGCAGCTGCCTCCTTCCTTGGCTTCAAATACAACATCAGGGCAGGTGGGCATAGTTTGGTGGAAATGGCCTCACCTGACAAATGAGGATCCATGGCAGGCGTAATTTGGCCCATTGGCTAGAGGTTCCCCATAGCTTGCTCTGTAGGTTCTGTAAAACTAGGTTCTGCTCTTTCCACAAAATTATTGTGAATAAACAAATGATATAAAGAATGATTATGCAAGCATTTATCTAGCAAAATGCTTTAAAAAATCCCAGAAGAGAATTGGGGATTTTCACTTCGAAAGTGGGCACTTAAATTCTGGACATGGCCCCTGAAATTAATGTGGAATACCACATTTATTCATGGGTGAATGAACAGCAACAATTTTAGAATTGATGTAGGAGAAGAAGCCTCATGCTGAAGCTAAGCATGGTAGATAAAGTGAAGTTAAAATGTTGTTCCCCCTCAACCCATGTATTCAAATTTTTGAAACCAATCCTAATTATATGTACGACTATGATGATTCACGAAGCTACTGAAATCATGGAAGCCTCTTGTGTAAGCTTGGTGGGTATGTACCACCAAGGGGTATTCTTTGTATTAAGTTGTTAGGCTACTACCCAGCTCTTCTCACTTTTCTTATCTAGTATCTTTAGACAATGGTTCTTTGTCACATTGAGCAGTGATGGCTGTTTGAATAGAGTGGCATTGGTTTTAAGTATGCTGTGTTGACATGCTTTACCTAGGTCAGCTTGCCAAAAGGGTACAACAGAACAGGTTGTGACATTAGTACAGCAGTTATTCTGTATTGTCCAAAACACTGATTTCCTGATACCGTTACTCATCAGATTAGTTTTTTAATAGTTTCCTCGCTTTGCCTGACCCATAAGATTGCACCCTGATTATATGTCTGAATCCTCAGATTTTCTGCTCTATTCACTTTATATGATTTTATATTGCTGTTTTATATTGTGTATTATTATTATTATTGATCAGTTTGCCACCCTGGACTTCTTCAGAAAGAAAGGCATGACATAAATGCAACTAATAGGGAGCTTGCTTTTTAGATTGTACTTTAGAGATTTTGCCCTGCTATGTTTAATACAATGTATGTGGAAATATGTTGCAGATGTTTGAAGCATTCAGCTGTAAATGCACACTGAAGACACGTGTAGGTTTGCCAGTATACCTATAAATTCTAGAAACAAATTTTGTATCATACAACCTTATTGATAAGAGCAAACTCGAGACTTTCTCCAATGCTGATTATATTTAATTGGATTGAGGATGATGTGTCTGTGGAACAAAAGCCTTTTGTCAAAATTTTGCTGATTGTAGTTAGAGTAGTGTAGGTCTGAAAATGGAAGGGCTCTCAATCCCCATATAGACGGGACTGGCTATTGAAATCTTCAATTAGCAGAAAATGATGAATTGGCTAATCTGGTTTATTAGAGGTATTTTCCACAGTACAAAATTTTCTGAGAGGTGACTGTTTTGTGAAATAGTGTAATATGAATTTTATTTGAAATAAATTGAATTATGTAGCTTTGTATTTATGAATAAATGAGCTTAAAAAATTAAGAGGTTTTTCTAAAAAAAAAATAATGCAGCAGAACTCTCATCTCTTTGATAAGCCTGTCCTTTTATATTGACTGCTGGTTCCATGGTAAAGCTGGTCTACTTGTTGTTGACAGTTTATTGCCTGTAAATGGGGCTGTCCATCAGTGTATCAGCCAGCCAGCCATGCTACATGATACCTTATTCCTCCAAATTTCCCCCTACAGTCAGTATTCTGTGGCCACAGAACACACTTTGTTCTCATTGGGTTATATTTGTGTTTCTTCCTAGCATTTCCCCCTTAAAATTGTACTTTTGCAAACTTTGGGGTTTCTCCAAGCCTGCTGGTACCTCTTCCTTCTATGTGAATGATGTTTGGCTGTATAAGTAGCAGCATTCACAGAAATAGTGGAAGTGATTATGCATTAGCAACATTTATTTATAAAAATACTTACTGTAATATCATAAAAAATATCAAGGCAGTGTACAACAATATATATAAAAATGATGTTCACTGCTTTGATAGATATAGATATAAACACCAGAATGAGTCAATGCATTGAGAATCCTAGCAAAAAAAGGGCATTTCCTTAACTTTTAGCTAATTTTTACTAGAATATTGTCTAAAACTACCATAAACAAATCGGCTTAGCCTCATCCAGACCCTGCTTATTCTAAATGATAGCGATACTTTCCTTTGTGATTTACAAGATGAGCTGTTTAGCTGTCTAGACAAATAACCACGGTAGCTGCTTTTTCTGTAACAGTGACCTACTTGCTTATACTGTAAAACTAATCAGCTTTGACAGTAACCCCAGAAAATTTCCTTCTTAGGTTGTTTCAACATGGCTGCAGTTTTTTCCCTCCTTAAAGAAAACCCTTTTGTTTTTTAAAAAATTAAGCTAAGAACCTGTTAGACATCATAAAAATCCTACACATCTTGTAGGAAAGTTTATAATGAGAACCACAATTGAACTACTGGAATATAAAAAAGGCTTACATGCAGGGGTAGGGTGTGGTGTCCTAATGTCATTAATCATTTGTACACTTCCATCTTTATCCTTGAATGAAGACAAACATTATTGTCTCACTAAACCAGCAATTACCTATCATTATGACCAGTTTTTACCGTAATCTATTCTGTGTTCATTACCTTTTGTTTTTATGTCTTGTCCCTATAGAGCATTCAGTAAAATTGGAAGCTTGCTGTTATTAGGCATTTGGGTGCTACCATGATAAAAGTATAGGTTTTTTATTTTGCCTTTAATTCAGATTGAAAATGGTGGGAAGAATTTTTTTAAAAAAAGTTTCAGCCAGGGCTGTCAGCAGGGCATTATTTTCTAAATAAGTGCTGTATTTCTTTTCATCTAAAAAGTTCCTTCCGTCTAAAATAACAATTCAAAAGACTTCCTTTTTAAATTTATGTAACTAAATAGAGCTGTACAGTTGCACCCTGGCTGACAAACGCCTTGTGACTCGGAACGTTTTGGCTCCTGAACGCTGCAAACCCGGAAGTGATTGTTCTGGTTTGCGAATGTTCTTTGGAACCCAAATGTCCGTCACGGCTTGGATTACAAACATTTTGGAAGGCGAATGGACTTCGGGAACGGATTCCGTTCGACTTCTGAGGTACGACTGTATTAGGATTGTGTGACAGACATGTTAGCAAAAATATATTGACTGGATCCTAGTGAACTAGTTCTACAACTCATGGTCAGCTTGGCAGCTTAAACCAGAGTTAAACAAAGCCAAAGTTTCCTTCCCTACCAGACGAAGCAACAGTTTAACATGTAATGTGTACATAGCTTAATGAATTGACACCATGGTACCATCCATTAGATTTACTCAAACCTGTCCCCTGAACTGGGACAAGGGATATTCCTGTCACTGTTGCATGCACCATTAGGGCTCCATCCAGTAGGATTCAGTTGCATAGGGGGATAGGAAGTTGCCTTATGCAGAGTGTGACCATTAATCTATCTAACTCTGTATTGTCTACACTGACTGGCAGTTGCTCTCCAGGATTTCTGACACAATTCCTTCCCAGCCCTACCTGGAGATGCTTGAGATTGAACCTTAGACCTTCTGTACGCAAAGCTGGTGTTCTGTTCTTTCCTGCACTGCAATGAGTAACGAGGAATTTCTAAACTGGAAATGCTAAGCTTCTGTTTAGGGTTCAGCAATGAGAAATGGAAGTCTTGTGCAACATGTTTGCAGTGTTTACTTGTACCCTACTTTCAGCCCGAAACAGGACTCCAAGGCAGCAATGTTCAAGAAAGATTTGAACTGAAAAGGCTGTTTCTATAAGTTAAAGGTCAAATTGGGGGAAAAGAAATCGGTGAACAGCTCTCCATAAGCTGGACCTTTTTCTCTCCAAACACTTTCTGTTACCTGAAGTTCATTGCTAAATGAGTGCATAGAAAGCATAGCAGAGGCATATTCTGTTAAGAGAATTTTGCTTAATCCTTTAAGTCATCTCCATCTTTGTGTCTGTAACATGAACATTTTTAAGCAAGATGTACTGAGTTGATGATAAGTGTACACAAATAGTTAAGCTACATGAAAAAATAACACCCCGAGAATTCAAGAGGATGAGATATTAAAACAGAATACAGTGGTACCTCTAGTTACGAACTTAATTCATTCCGGGGTCTGTTCTTAACCTGAAACTGTTCTTAACTAGAGGCATGCTTGCTGCCACTGCGCCACCGGCACATGATTTCCATTCTTATCCTGGGACAAAGTTTTCAACTCAAGGTAACTCTTCCAGGTTAGCGGAGTTTGTAACCTGAAGCGTTTGTAACCTGAGGCGTTTGTAACTCGAGGTACCACAGTATGCCGACATATTTGGCACATGGGCGCATTTGCAAACTGCAGAAGCTGCAATCACACTCGCTGCAACAAAGCACACACCACATCCTATTTTCTGCTGTTAGAATGCTTCTTTAAAGCCAGATTTTAGCAGAAGGTGAGGCATCTGTGTCTGCATGTGTACCCAGAGCTGCTACACTGGCGACTTCTGAGATGCTTCTTGCCCATGTGTGTTGCTGTATTTATTGGTAAAAGGGACATAGCTGTTCGGTATCAAGTTCTCTGGTTTGTTAGGAAAGCACTTCCCTGTTTCACCTTCCACCCTTTTAAAGACTGCTTTCACGTGATTCAAAAGGGACATACTCAGTGTGGATGAACTCTGCAACTTTTGAATAGGAGGCTGTGATGGATACACTGCAAATACACTTTGGTTCATCACATAAAATATCCTATGGAGGCAGGTTTTGTTTATTACCTTACTACTGAAAGAGAGAGAGAATATAGAGAGAACTTGCTCTGTATCTTTCAGAGCGCCCTGTAGCTGACAACGAGCGCATGTTGGATCTTCTGCAGCGCCATGGAATCCAGAGAAATGAAGTTAGGTTCTTTCTTCGCCATGAGCGGTCTCCTAATCGAGAAGCAGGTGAGTGTTAATTCTACTTTTTTGAGTTCAAGCCCAGTGTGAAACTTTGGAGAGGGTGCAGTGGCTCTTCATGCAAGTTCCTTTAACCTAAATTAGGGGTGGGGAACTGGGTTTGACTGGCGTGCAGGATCCTGAGGCTCCTGAAGCTCCACAGGCCCTTTTGACAGGTGGGACATGACACGAGACGAAGCATTTACCATCATGGTTTGAAATCACACTGACCGGGCAAATACGCAAGGCTTTGCTGATGCTACTAATGGGTGTTGCTTGCAAACCTGCTTTCGACAGGGAGTTATGTAATTACCTACCTCACACCCGACATAGTCTTGGCCTTAATTAGGCCTACTGGCTGGAGACTCCCCACTGGTGGCTTAGATGTATTGGATACCCAGCTGTGTGGAAGGCAGAAGTACAGCAGAATGTAAAGCTCCCAGGATTGTGTGATGGAAATCTCCTTTTAGAGGCACATTAATGCTTTTGCCAACTGGATAAATGTTGCATTCCATACTTGCTTCTTGTTGAATTCAGTGATGCAGTGATTTCAGAAACCACAATTTCTTTTTCTTAATTCATGTCTATTCTTCATGTTCTTTACTGATTAATCAGGAAGCCCCTTTGGCTGTTTTGGTTGGCTGGGACATGTGTTTGAATTTTTGTCACAATTGCAAGCTAGCTATGGTGCAATGAAGCTAAAGGGTCCCTGTTTCACAGACCAGTCCCTGTTTCACAGACCAGCTTAAAAGCTGAGTTCATGCAAACCATTTATTTGGCCTGCTGCTATTTTTTAAAATATATATAACTTGTCCACTTTAATTTTCATGAAAAAGGTACCTCTTGTTTCTCTTCTCTTGTCCCCTGCATATCTGACAAGGTTAATACATTTATTGCACAGGCAGCATTTTGTATGGCAGGGCTGCTGTTGCGCTTACATTGATTTTCAAGTGTTGTTGGATGACTTTGTACCAAGTCTGAAACTGCAAACCTGCTTGTTTCTTCATTTCCTCCTCCCAACCTTGTAGAGAGGTAGTTTATATTAAAAGCATTCTTCTTTTTTTAAAAAAACTACTTACCTCCCCCCCCCCCCCACTTCATACTTAAAAGGGAGCGGACCAAGAGTGCAAGATCCAGGCTTGAAGAGAAATGGTGTAAAAATGCCCGGTGAGCGGAGAATAGAGAATGGAGTAAGTATTTAGCATAAAACTACTTAAATGCAATCAAGGAAATAATTTCCTTTTGGTTTACAAATTTATTTTTTCTCCAGAACACCTAATTATTAAATTAGAAATATTTATATGACTTCCACGGTCAGTTCTTATATTAGTTAATAGGTTCAATCACAGAATACTACCTGGTCTCTGAAGGGATTTCACTTTGTGATGAGATCTCTCTGTATTTTGTTACTATTTTTTGAAGAAAAGCTTGTAAATTCTCCTTATGTGAAGTCTAGATTGAGGAATCTCAAACTGGCTGCAAAAAGCAGGAGGCGGGGAGCCCTCTTGCCAGTTAGAAATATGTGACCAGTCTGCTCTGTATTTGTTTGGGGGGGGGGGGGGAGCCTCAGCAGAACAGGCTGAGTGTTTTGCCCAAGGTTTCATGTTCCAAGCCTCCCAAGAAGTGATGTGGGAACCAGTTGCTTTAATAGCCACTGTGTAGTATAAAGTGTGAGGCTTCCTGACATTACTGGTATCAGTTCAACCTTTTCAAAAGCCCACAGAAGTCACCAATCCTCAAAGTATTTACTAGCCTGTCAAGAAGTCAGTAGCTGGCATTTCCTTGCTGGCCGCAAAGAAAAGAAGCTAGCTCCTTCACAACCAGCATGGAAATTCAAGCTCCTGGGCTCTTAACAGGTAAAAATTAAAAAAAAGGTGCCTTCTGACATTGGGAGCTGGCAGGGATGTGATGACGTGTCCCTCCTCTACCTGCCTGCACTCTCATTTTCATGGTATTCCTGGTCACCTATGGTCACAAAGTTGTTTATGGCTACCTGGCAAATTGTATCTTAGGAATTGAGAAAATGGTCCTTAATTTTAAAAAGTTAGAAGTTTAACATATTTAGACTATGTGAGAGGGGTGGGATAGACATGTGTCAAAAAGAGGTTCAAAGATTCTCTCAAGGCAAATCTAAAAAAAAGTAGTATAAATACCGACAACTGGGAAACACTGGCCTGCGAGCGCTCCAATTGGAGAACAGCCTTTACCAAAGGTGTCTTGGGTTTTGAAGATGCCTGAACTCAGGACGAAAGGGAGAAACACACTAAGATGAAGGCACACTTGGCAAATCCTCACCATGATCAACTCCTGTCCAGAAACCTATGTCTCCACTGTGGAAGGACGTGTGGATCCAGAATCAGCCTTCACAGTCACTTAGGGACTCATTGTTAAAACCGTGCTTATGGAAGACAATATTCCTTGGCAAAGAAGAAGAAGAGACATGTGCCCAGTATAATGATGTTCTTCGAACCTTTGCTGGATAGGTTTTTCTTGATGCTCACCATGTTTGGGATCTGAAAAAATTGTCTTTCGCACTCCAAAATCAGTTCCTATGTGTTTGTGTTGTGTCATTGCCTGAACCCCGCTACAGCATGTAGCTTGACTCTGTTGTTGGGGTTGTGCACCTGCTTCTGACTTGTGGTGCTCTGTGGATCAGGATGGAGCAAATTGATGTCTGGATTCTATTAGTTTGAGTTGGAGGTTGAACATAGATGACCCCTGTGTACCTTCTGGTTTGGTGATTGTCCAGAATGCACTGGAACAAAAGTATGCTAGTAGCCTGTTTATATCTTCTTCAGTAGTCCTTGCTTTTTACCTTCCACCATGTCTCCAAAATGGTGCAGCAATCAGGCCTTTAATTCTGAAGCCAGATGGGCAATGTACTATATAGACTTCAGCACAATAGTACGCTTATACCAAACTCTTACATATTTATATATATTTAATTACTGAAGGTCAATGCTCCTCGGATGGATATGACTCTAGCTGAATTGCAGGAAATGGCATCACGTCAACAGCAACAAATAGAGGCCCAACAGCAAATGCTGGCTAACAAGGTTTGTTGAAATAAGTTTCCCCCCTGTAAAAATTACCTATGAATAAAAAAGTATGAGAAAAGCAGCTTCTAAAAAATGTGAATTTTGTAAAGCGCTAAATATTAAAAGTGGCATCCTTGGATTTCTTAAAACAGACTGTTTTGGGGGCAAACAAGTTAGTTACTGTGGACTGAGTGCTGTGCCTTAATTTGGCCATGACCACCTTCAGTGCCAAATGTTATGTGTTCTTTTTGAATATATCATATATGTGTTAGGAAATCCTGTGGTTTCCTGAAAAGTTGCTAGAGTTCTGAACTGGGAAGATCGGTTATTGAAGGCATGCGTTTCTAAAAGAGGGTTTGCTCACCAAATTGAGGGCCAAATAAAATGTTGCTGGGGGATTTAAGTTGAAGACCTAAGCTCTTTTTAAAAAGAGAATTGCAGTGTTTTTGTCTCCAGCCTTTTCCTTGGAAGCCATTTTTAATGATATAAATTGCTGTGGCTGGAGGAAGATATGGAAACCCTAAACTATTTGTTTAGCTTTGTACACTCATCTTCCTTTAGTTTAGTTGGGTTTTTAAATATTTTTAGTAATTATGTGAACTGCAGTGCTTATTATTGTAATGCACAATGCATAAGGTGAAGTAGGTTTTCTCTGCTCTAGAAATCATATGTCATTAGTATAACACAATTAAATAGCTTAATCACAATGAGCATAATGCTTGTTCTGTTGACTTGTAGGAGCAGCGGTTAAAATTTCTGAAACAGCAGGACCAACGGCAGCAACAACAAGCTGCAGAGCAGGAAAAACTCAAAAGATTAAAAGAAATTGCTGAGAATCAGGAAGCCAAGTTGAAGAAAGTGAGAGCTCTCAAAGGTCATGTGGAACAAAAACGGCTCAGTAATGGGAAGCTAGGTGAGTTGCTAGAGGTTTTTTGGATAACTGGTTTATAACGTCTGTTTCAAGTTAGTGTTCAGATGTTCCTACCTAGAATTGTTTAGATATTGGCTGTATTCTCATATAATGTTGGGTCATGGTTTATTCAACAATTGAGTTGTCTCACAGACAAGCAAACAAGCAAGCCATGGCACGTTTCTCCAAAGCATGGTTTGTTTTCCAGCTACTCTTGCCTCATGCCTCTGTAGCTTGGTGAGTATCTAGAGTGGGGTGGGCAAACAAACCATGGTTAAGCAAGGCTTTGTATTGAGGCATAATGCTAAAACACAGTTAAAACAAGCCATGGTTTTTTAAACCAACAACAAACTTGCAGTGTGGCAGACCTTGCCTTGTAGAACTGCCTGCCTCTAGAGGTTTGGTTGGCCTGCCTGTCTTTAGACATCCTCTGAAAACTCTTGTCTAGACAGTTCAGTGTGATTTCCACATTTTAACCAACCAGTATCCACTGATGTTTTCTCGGTGTTTTTAAATGACATTTTTATTGATACTTTGACTGATTTTATTATATTTGTATGTAGTAAGCCACCTTGATAAAATTTTTGAAAGTGAAGATGATAAATATTTCAATAAACAGACAAAGAATATTGATACTGATATTCTCCCTTGCTTTGATATGGTACATTTTGCAAGTGTATCTTCCCAACGCTGAATTTTTCTTGTTCCTCCCCAGGCTGTTTCAATGCAGCAAAAGTGTACTGTAAATGAATTCAGAGGCATACAGTCCAATATCATTTTATAGCTCCCTTACCTAGCAGAAAATTGCTTCAATTCAAACTCTGTGTGGCACTACCTTCTTCAGATCCTAGAACAAAATCTCTCAAATTTGTTCAGGGCTTAAATAATGCACATCTACCTGTCTTCTCCCCCCCCCCCCCCACAAAAGAGTGAAAATGTTTTTTGATGAAAAAATAGTGCCCAGAAGACCTTTCTTCTGATAAATAAACTATATAAATTCTGAAGCTGATAACTTGATAGCTTGATCAGCTGCCTAGCTTCTGATTGGTGTAACCTTCTTTGAGCTTCTGGTCATATCTTCCCCATTAGCAGCTGCCTTGGAAGCAGCCAACATTTGGTCATCTCTCAGCAACAGCCATTGTGTTCTGTCTTCTTCCTCTACAGTGGAGGAGATTGAGCAGATGAACAGTTTGTTCCAGCAAAAACAACGAGAGCTGGTACTGGCTGTGTCAAAGGTAGAGGAACTTACTAGGCAGTTGGAGATGCTGAAGAATGGCCGGATTGATGGTTACCATGACAACCAGTCAGCTGTCGCTGAGCTTGACCGACTGTACAAGGAGCTTCAGGTAACTGCAAGACTGCTCTACAGACCTGGAGTAAGGGAGGCGGGCAGGTCACACATTGCCTTGCGAAGGAATTTGCTTTCACCTCTTGTCTCTGACAAAGCCAGAATTGTCCAACCTGCTTAACAGTCAGCATAGTTTGTGTCTTCTGTATTATTCTCAGTGTCGATTATTGTCTACCTGACGCACTTGTGTACAGAAGCAAAGCCCACCTAGAACTTCCATGCGGGCTCCTACCCTTTCAGAACTTTTTTTTTTTAAATATAAAAAAATAGTTTCGTGCTTCACGGCAACCACCCTGGAAGTTATTTATTTTGCATTCCTAATTTCCCCTCCTGAATGCATTCAGCTGAGGAACAAACTGAACCAGGAGCAGAATGCCAAGCTGCAGCAACAGAGGGACTCTTTAAACAAACGCAACTCAGAGGTGGCAGTTATGGATAAGCGTGTTAATGAGCTGAGGGAACGGCTGTGGAAGAAGAAGGCTGCGCTGCAGCAAAAGGAGAATGTCCCGGTGAGTGCCAGGCGCCCCCCCCAACCCCCACAAAAATGCTACTCTTAACACTGAAGTATTTGCCGAGAAGTATTTGGTGAGAAGTTGCTGAGAAGCTTTGTGTCTGCCATATCCCTAACATTTTCATTGTAGCATGAAAACCGCTTTAAATAATACATTAGCATTAACCTATTTAGTCCTTTATAAAGGGAAGAGCGGTTCCCACACCTTTAGTGCTTTCTTTCCACGAAAGAAAATATATTGTGTATACAGAGCCTATACTGTGTGTGTGTGTGTGTATGTATGTATGTATGTATGTGTGTGTTCCTGGGGGGGGGGGAGATTCCCCAAAAGATGGATTGTATGGATTGCTTAATTATTTCTTAAATCTTGATGCATCTTGTGTAGGTGTCTCCAGATGGGAATCAGCCACAGCCAGTGGTATCTACTCCAAGTAGAGTGGCAGCTGTTGGTCCTTACATCCAGTCTTCCACCATGCCACGCATTGCCTCAAGGAATGAACTTTTAGTCAAACCAGTCTACCCTGATGGAACTTCAGCCTTGCAAGCCCTTGATGGTCCATTGAAAACGCAGACTCTCCCAAACATGAGAGCTGGGATTCTTTCACAAGTGAAAGCTCCTGGAGGTAACTATATATATATATCATTATTATTTTCTTCCGGTTTTTATTAATGCAACGTGTGCTGGTGTTTCCTGTTGTCGCCTGGTCCATATTTTTTTAATCCTTCTGATGCAGAACTTGCTAAGTATAGCATTTAGCCATCTATGTTTAATTTAGCTGTTTGAAAGGAACATTTTTCTTGAAGTAACTAATCTTTTCTCTCTCTGTTTCCTCTAATCATCTTAACTAGGTGAGGGGCAGTGCATTCTGTATGGTAGTTTCAAGAATAAATGAAATCATAAATGCTAAACAGTGATCATTTAGACATATATTCAAAACACTCACTGCTCAACAAGATTTTTTTTTAATCTCAGCATTAGTTCCATTTATATCATATGGCAATATCCCATGTTTCTGGCATTAGTGTTTAAGCATAATCCTGAAAATAAGGATTTTATTGGATAATGCTGTATTTGTAAATTGTAAATATTAGAAGCAAGTTGGTTATCCAGAAGAAGAGGCACTGTATAGTTAATTCTTCTTTGTATGGTATTCTTGCTTTGTCTTCAGTGAGCAAGAGTGTTTATGGATTTCAATCTTGCTATTAAAAACACTTTGAGAACATATTTTTTGTGAAGTGCTTATGAAAGTTGTACAAAATACTCATGTCCCAATATGTACAACTGTTAAAAGAAGACTGTACATGTCTTTGAAATGTTATTTTTGGATGAGCTTGAGCTGTTTGGTGTTTTATCCTAGTTTTAAAGTTACATATTTTAATTATAGCATAGAAATAGGATGCATTAATTTTAAATTGTGCATTCTCTCCCTGCCTCTCTCTCAGTAGTCCATTTGCTCAAGCAGTGCTAAGTGTTCTGTGAAAACTGCCTTGTTATTAAGCCTGTGAGATTTGTGAATGTTAGGCTTGCGTTAGGGGAGATTTAATTCACATTCCTCTCTATCTATGAATTCATGTGAGTGGTCTTCAGTGAATTAAGCCTGTTTTAGCGTTCTCCATCTGCAAGAAAAAGGAATTACGACTTTCACTTAGTTATTGTTACAAGGATGATAGATAGCTACTGAGTGTTGTAACGCAATGCATTTTTGTATAAAGGCTACAGCTGCTGCTCCAGAAATTAAGAGATCATATGGAGGCGCCAGATTTGTTGATAGCCGATTATAAATATCAGTTATCAACAGAGTTCTTGTTATGAATTTGTACTGATTTTTAAAAGCAAGTTGTGCTTACCAATACATAAACCGAGTTTCCATTTCCGTAAGTTAATTCCTTTATCTGGGTACTTGTAGGCAGTATCCCTACAAGCTGTGTAATGCTACCAGACCTCACAATCAGTGTAGTCCTTGGTGTTTTCACAGTTCTTTGGATATTGGAAATAATCCCCTGATTGTACACCACTGTGCTTGACTTGCTTCTAATAACGATACTCCTTTCAACAGCAGAGCCCAGTTAACACCAGAGAATCCTGATTTGTCATAATCAGCTAAGCTCAGTCTATATCTTTTGTATCTGGAACATAAATGTGATTCTTCTGTTCTTGAACTAGCATTATTTATTTTCCTCTACTGTCACTGTTTCTGGGGAAAATGCTAACTCAAATTGTGCTAATAATTTAATACTGTAACCGTAATTAACAAATGGGCAAAAGCTAATAGGTCCAGTGGAACATGTCTCCAGCCACACCTATTTCTGACTCCTTGAGTGCTTTTGCCTGGGTAGACTGGGCCATTGATATGTGACAATGCCTCTTGCTTGCCTGGATGAAGAGATAATGTGCATGTATGTGTAGTGTGCCTTGTATTCTGGAGAAGGGGTCCCGTCCCCCCATTTTCCTTCTCCTTATTTTCTCTGTTTCCTTTTACTCCAGGTACTACACCTGCTGGTTCAAAACCTCCACTCGCTATCAGTGACTGGAATAATGCGAGCGCTGGCCATGTTATCAGCCAAGGACTAACTTCCATGGTGACCAAAGCCAACAGTAGCAACGAAGTGCAAGGTAGGTCTGTTTTTGTGGGTGTTTCTGCCTCTTTCCAAATTAAGCAGAGTATATCTTTGTAACCCTAATGTTACATAGTGTACTTTAGAGAGGATTAACTGCCTGTCACAAAGGTTATTTGCTCTTATTCTGGGTTGGGGTGGCTTCTCTCTCCCAGAATCTTGCTGGTGTGCTTAGTCCAGGGGTCAGCAAACTTTTTCAGCAGGGGGCTGGTCCACTGTCCCTCAGACCTTGTGGGGGGCCGGACTATATTTTGAAAAATAAATAAATAAATAAATAAATAAATTCATATGCCCCACAAATAACCCAGAGATGCATTTTAAATAAAAGCACACATTCTACTCATGTAAAAACACACTGATTCCTGGACTGTCCGCAGGCCAGATTTAGAAGGCAATTGGGCCAGATCCGGCCCCTGGGCCTTAGTTTGCCTACCCATGAGTCAGCTCAGATGCTTCTCTTCATTTCAGTAGCTCAGGTGGTGGAATGGTTAACCTAATTTCCTAATGGAGCTGTGACAGTTCTCTGTTGATCCCTCTTCAGCTTAATGTTTTGACCCTTAAAGTTGTAACAGGGCTGCTTGCAACAGATGGCACTGGCTTCCAACTGGTCTGCTTTATTCGTGGCTGATATTATTATATGACACACACCTGGTCCATTTCTTATGAGAAGACAAGTGTCACTTCATGCAGAATCTTTTTAGCTTTTTTAAAAAAAGGTTTTAGTTTTTTTCAAAAGTATTACAAATGCTTACTTCAAATCTAACCTTCCTTTTGTCTTTTTAGTTGGTGAGGGAGATGTTCCTCTTAGAGAAAGGGAGAAAAAAGTACGCCCCTTTTCCATGTTTGATTCTGTTGACTCCAATGGAGCTGTTGGAGTGCCTACAACAGGTACACTGAGAAAAAACCAGAGCAGCGAAGACCTCCTGCGAGACGGCCAGGTATTTGGACGTCTAGTGCCTTTTGAGTTGCAATCTGAAAGTGCTCTCCAAGCATGCTTGAGAAGCGTCTAAATCCATGTGCTACTGTGAAGAGCGGTCATGAATTTATGCTAAACGTCTCAGTCTCTTGTTAGCTAGTATGATCTGCTGGGCATAATTAAAAACTTGATTTTAGATGGGCCAAAGATTCAGTGGGTTTTTTTGGCATATAATAACCACTCCCTTCTGTTCTCAACCTGTAAAAACTAGGATTGATAACAACAACGAAAAAGGCTCCTTGACAGGCTGGCGGTTCCTTACATGATTGAGAAGGGAAATTGTACCACCTGTCTACAGGGACAAGGGACGGAAAGTAAATATTTAAAAGAAGATTGTAGAAATATGAGAGAACCCCAGTAGTGCAGTTAGGTAATTTTAGTCTCTGGACTTAATAGTCTTCACCGGGTGTATCACTTTTTATGGCAACGTGCATTTATTTTAATTAACAAATACCCCATAACACAGTTCTCCAGGCAGTGTGTTATCTGACCTGCTTCAAAATGAAGCATGTCATTTGAGGGGGGTTGCTCCTGGTTTTTTTTTGTTTTTTTTAACTGTTCATTAAGGCCCTGGACATTTGCTAAAAGATCTTCCCTGATGGCGATTTGGTGCATCTCATTTTAGTCTTCGGGTGGAGCCGATGTCAGATGCTGCCTCTTACATATCTGCTACCAACTTCAGAACTGAGAAATAATTGGAAAGTTATCAAAAGTTATATTGGAAATGGGAAAGTTATACTGTGAAAGTGTACCTTCTTAAGCTATACAATTCATGTTCAGGATTAGAAGTTGGTAATCTTAATAATTATTCATAAAGGAAACAGTTTATAAGAAGTAAATAAGGAGGCCAGATACAGAAAGGAAGTCTTTTATTTTGTTGTTTGTATTGTTGTATGTTATGTTCACGTTTAACGAAGGTGAATTTGTGTATTGGGGGTGGGGGGCTTGTGTTGTAAATAAAATTCCAATAAAAATTTAAAAATAAAAAAGGAGGTAGTAATAACTTGGCGTAAGTAAAGGTAAAGTTACTCCTGACAGTTAGGTCCCGTCTCAGACGACTCTGGGGTTGTGCGCTCATTTCGCTCTATAGGCCGAGGGAGCTGGCGTTTGTCCGCAGACAGTTTCCAGGTCATGTGGCCAGCATGACTAAGCCGCTTCTAGCATGACTAAGCCGCTTCTAGCGAAGCCAGAACAGCGCATGGAAATGCCATTTACCTTCCCGCCTATTTATCTACTTGCACTTGACGTGCTTTCGAACTGCTAGGTGGGCAGGAGCTGGGACCGAACAATGGGAGCTCACCCTGTCGCGGGGATTCGAACCGCCGACCTCCTGATCAGCAGGCCCTAGGCTCAGTGGTTTAGACCACAGCGCCACCCATGCAAACTCGTGTGTCTTTGATTTGCTGTTCTACAGCAGTTTGGCTTCTCCTTTGACCCCATCACTCTTAGAATAGATTTTCTATTTTCCTGACAATTGTTTTCTCTTACAGACTGGCACTAAAAATGTGGCAAAAGTGCCGCCACCTGTTCCCACCAAACCAAAACAGATAAACTTACCTTACTTTGGCCAAGCTGGTCAGCTGCCTTCTCCACATGTTAAGCCTGATGGTAATATCCAGAAGCTGCCTCTGACAATTGCTGCTGCAGGAAACAAGCAGAAGCCACCAACCCAGCTAACTCCACCAGCATCTCAGCAGGCCCAGCAAAAGATCTGTGTGTCTCCAAGTGGCCTTCCTGCTAATCCGGACCTGACTCTTCTCAAGCAAGAGAGTCCTCCTGCGGCAGCTGTGAGGCCTTTCACCCCTCAGCCAGCCAAAGAGGCTCCCCCGCCACCTTTCCGAAAGCCGCAGACGGTTGCCGCAAGTTCAATCTATAGCATGTACACAAAGCAGCAGACTCCTGGGAAGAACTTCCAACAGGCAGTGCAGAGTGCACTGACAAGGGCACAGACCAGAGGACCCCATTTTCCAAGTGGTGAGCATTTGGTTTCACTTTGCTTTTCCAAAGCATGCCCTGCGTTACCGAGGAAACTTAGATTCTCTAAAGGGGTGTTGGGCGGGGGGGGGGGGGGAGGAAGAGGCCACAGGATGAGAAGTCACTGCGAACCCAAGTGAGAATTCAAAGAGCCAGTATGTCTTTAAATAACCTGTTCTAGTTACACCAGTCATATTTTCGGTGGGATCTAGAACAAGTTAGTGGTGCTTAAGCTCCTGAGAAGATCAATATGGAAAGCTAGTAAAGTGGTAACGTAACATTTCCTTCCTGAAGGGTTTACTCCCCCTCCCCAATAACTATACAAGTAAAATGTCCAAATTAAACTTATAAGCGCATACGGCGCTTTCATATACGTTCATTCTGCTACAATGAGGTAATCAATATTGATGTGTTGCTTTTCATTTCATATTGATTACACAATATAACATAAAAAATGTCATTCCCTCTTAATACTCAAGTGGGGGTGGTTTGTTTGTTTGTTTGAAAGATGTGTGCTGTCAGGTGCAGATCTGAGTGACCCCGTTTCTCCCAGAACTCTGCCGTGTAGCTCAGTGGGGGAGAAATAACTGCCCTTCCTACACTTGTATTGCTCAGATTCAGGGATTCCTGCCTTTTGAGCCTCTGTCAAAGAGCATTCTATAGTATTCTGTAGTGTTACATTGCTTCTCTTTAGGCCTAACACGACTCCAGCTGGAATTGGAACGCTGTTGCCCAGTGCTAGGTTTAGGACTGACCAAATAGTGATGCCTCAGAGTACAATGCTTAGGCTGGGAGAGCACCATATTTTTGTTGCAGGTCCCCTACTTCTACATGCTTTTAATCATATTTACCGTATTTTTTGCACCACAACACTCACTTTTTTCCTTCTAGAAAGTAAGGGGAAATGTCTGTGCGTGTTATGGAGCGAATGCCTACGGGTGCCGGGGGGGGGGGGGATCTGCTGCAGTCGTGAGCAGAGGATCCATGGTTCCCCTTCCTTCCCTCCTCCATGGCTCGCTTTGAAACAGCAAAGCGGGAGAGGAGCCGCTTACACAGGTGTAAGCGGCTCCTGTCTGGTTGGCTGCTTTAAACCGTGATCTCTGTCCCTCTCTCCTCCCCACTCAGGTCACTAAATAGCAGAAAAGCTTTTCAGCTCTCTAAGCCAGGGAGGAGGGAGAGAAGCAGAGCCTGCTTGTTTTAAAGGAGCAAAGCGGGAGAGGAGAGGAGCCTTCTCCCCTTATACCCCTCTTCTGCATTGATAGCAGCATCCTTCTCCACACACCCCACGCATGCTCCTTGTCCCTTGAGTGCTTTTCCTTCCCTCCCCACTTAAAACGTGGTTACAAAACACAGATCCACATGGATCCTCAGGATTTTTGCATTGGGCTACCCCAAACTCACCGTCAGATCACATGTCTGTGGCCACAGCATGAACCACAAAAATCATACATCCACTGTTTCATTTAGAATATTTTTTTTCTTGTTTTCCTCCTCTAAAAACTAAGTGCGTGTTATGGTCAGGTGCGTGTTACAGAGCGAAAAATACGGTATATGAAAACCTTTTTGGTCATATTAGCAATTTTGATACAAACACGCTGGATTTGTGTTGATAAGTCTCATGTTGAAAAGTCTCACCTGTGTAATGTTTGTGCTCGTAGGTTTTGCATTTCCCTGTTCTTGCTGCCAAACTATTTACAGCTTCCTTTTTCTGATTTGTTCCTCAGTGTATGGAAAGCCAGTTATTGCTGGAGCCGGTCCCCCAAATCAACAGCAGCAGGCTGAGAATATTTATTCAACTACTCAAGGCAAGCCAGGCAGTCCAGAACCTGAAATGGAGACTACAGCTTCAGCCAGTGAAAATAATGAAACGGAGCGTATTCCTCGTCCCCTCAGCCCAACAAAGCTGTTGCCTTTCTTGTCAAATCCTTACAGAAATCAAAGTGATGCAGATCTGGAAGCCCTTCGGAAGAAGCTATCCAACGCCCCAAGACCACTGAAGAAGCGTAGTTCTATTACTGAGCCAGAGGGTCCTAATGGCCCCAATATTCAAAAGCTCTTGTACCAGAGAACAACTCTGGCTGCTATGGAGACTATCTCTGCCCCATCCTACCCATCGAAGCAAACTTCCGTAGCTGCCGCTGAAAACTCAGCGGAAATCCCAAACCCTTATTTAAGCACAGAAGTGGCCAAAGAGTTAGTTCCTCCTTCACCTGAGCCAACTATTGAAGAAGAGGCAGAAACGCCAAATGCCGACCAGAACGCAGGGCCTCTTCCTCCGTCAGGCCTAGAGAGTGTTCCTGAGGGGATTTCTGACGACGTCGCCCTCGCTCCGCCTGAAATGGAAGAACCGAGTCTGGACGTTCCCTTGCCCATAGACATGTACATGGAGGAGTACCCGCCCTACCCACCGCCTCCCTACCCTTCAGGAGAACCAGAGAGTTTGGGAGAGGACTCGTTCAGCATGCAACCTCCCGAAGTCACGGGGCAGTTCTCTTTGCCACCTGTAAGTAAAAACAGTTCGTCTTGGTCGTTTTAGGCACTTAACACTGAGGTGGTATATTGTGATGCTTCTCTGTAGACCAGGTGACGCAGGTCTGATGATTGCCCACCACACATTGCCGTGACGCATTATCTTTTAATTTTCATTTGGTGGAAGCCCTGTTCCAACTCAAGTAAGGGAAAGATGTGCTTCGCTGTGTCCAGTGAATTGCTCTTCTTATTGCAGAACAAGTTTTAAATGTGATTCTTCGATACACCCATGGTAGAAGCCGCTTTATGTAGCATCTCCTCTTGAAGCAGGTGCTAGGTTAATAATATTGGATATCCTCAGTGATGTTTCTGGGTCATCTTGTTGGAAATGCAAGCTACTAGGGAATAGTAAAGGTGAGAACCCGAAAGCATGCAAATGAGCTTCTTCATTCCTGCCCCTTTTCTTGCCAGCTTACACATGGCAAGACAGTTTGCTCCCTCAGAACCTTATTTGCTCCTGCATCCCACAATTATTTTTGCCACCTCTGTCTCTTTGGCTGAATATTTGACTATGTTCTGTTTGAGATTCGTTCTGGTATAGTCTTGTTAATGGCGTCCCTTCGTGTGTTACAAGAAGGTTGAAGCACAAAAATTTGTCATAGACCATTAGTTTGGAATGGGACGCGGCTGGTGCTGTGGGTTAAGCCACTTTGCCTAGGACTTGCTGATCAGAAGGGCGGAGGTTCGAATCCCCGCAGCGGGGTGAGCTCCCGTTGCTCGGTCCCTGCTCAGTTCGAAAGCACGTCAAAGTGTAAGTAGATAGGTACCGCTCCGGCGGGAAGGTAAACGGCATTTCTGTGCGCTGCTCTGGCTCGCCAGAAGCGGCTTAGTCATGCTGGCCACATGACCCGGAAACTGTACGCCGGCTCCCTCGGCCATTAAAGCGAGATGAGTGCCGCAACCCCAGAGTCGGTCACGACTGGACCTAATGGTCAGGGGTCCCTTTACGTTTTATTAGTTTGGAGTAGAGGGGAAAGATCTCCAAATTCCACCTTGCTACACAAGTTTTCATAGTCTAGGCTAGTTTGTTACCAGGGCCTGGACATACTGGACATTAATAATGCACTCCCAGAACGTGTTTTGCTTTGTGCCAGTTTTGAGTTGGTTGCCTGTGCAACTAGTATCTTGTGAAAGGAGGCATAGGTTGTTCGAATTCTAGCCATTAGGATGTTTCAAAGTTTGGCATTCTGTTGATTCTAGAGTAGTTGAAGAGAAGACGACATTGTGAGTCACGTCCTCCTCCCTTTTCACTATGCGCTGATGTCAGATTTGTAATGTATTCAGGTGGCACATGCAGTGCTCATTGGCAGCTGTTGCCCCACCCTTTTCACACAATGTGCCTTTGTCACATATCCTGTCTGTGTGCGTCGTGCTCATACACAAGTCTCCGTTTCTTCTTTTTTACCCCACTTGGCATCTCCCACACTTTTGGGCCAGCTTCAACATTCATTCTTCCCACAGTTTTTGCCCTGCTGCTTTAAATCATCTAGCATGTTTTGGGACTGGATATAACTGCCCCTTGGAACTGCTATTTGAGCTGTGCCAGCATTATGTTAATAAGTAACCCCAGTCTAGCAACGTTGGTATTGACTGGTATTAATTGTGTACTTAAACACACACACCAGTTTTTGCAAGAAAGTAGATTCTGCAAAGAAGAGAAGAGTCACCCTCTCTCCTGTGGTGTGAATTGAACAAAAATAAACATGGTTCTTTATTATCCTGACATTTAATAAAATTTACATATGCCTCTGAATAGTGTTTATTGCTGCTTCTCAACCAGCTGGGGATATCTGGTTACGAAATAAGTACTGAACACAGAAATCCTGAGTCCCTTCCAACTTTTTGGTTCTGTGATAGCGTGGCAGGATCTGAGCTGTATTTCAAGCAGCCAGGTCCCAATGGGCACAGGGTCTAAATCAGGGGTCAGCAAACTTTTTCAGCAGGGGGCCGGTCCACTGTCCCTCAGACCTTGTGGGAGGCTGGACTATATTTTGAAAAAAATATATGAATGAATTCCTATGCCCCACAAATAACCCAGAGATGCATTTTAAATAAAAGGACACATTCTACTCATGTAAAAACACGCTGATTCCTGGACCATCTGTGGGCCGGATTTAGAAGGCGATTGGGCCGGATCCAGCCCCCGGGCCTTAGGTTGCCTACCCATCGTCTAAATGGATCCCTTGACTCTTCCCTTTCCACCTCAAACCACAGTCATTCTTCTTGGCCCCACCCCTTCAAACTAAAAGACATTTTGATGAATATGGCAAAGAAAAGCATACATGGTAACTTTTTATTTGGCTTTGTTTGATTGTGTGTATTCACATCTTTATCCCTCTGCTTCTTCTCGGCACCCTTTGTACCTTGCTTCTGCTTTCCTCATTCCAGCCATAATCTGGCATATATCAGTTAGTAGAGCATAAGACTCCTCATCTCAGGGTTGTGGGTTCAAGCTCCATGTTGGGCAAAAGATTCCTTCATTTGCAGGAGGTTGGACTAGATGACCCTCATGGTCCCTTCCAGGTCTACAGTTCTATGATTATGGCAGCGACTCCCTATTGTTCACATTGCTGTGCTCCTCCCTTTCTCGAAACCACTTGTGTCTAGGACTCTAGGAGCACTGTTTGGACGTGGTTTACTGATAACAATGGTTACATTTGGGAAATATTTCCGAGGGTGGAGTATGCAAACTTCTTTTTATCCAATTGAGGCGTTTCTTTTTATCAAATTGAGATTTTCAGCACAATACTACTATTGTTTATTGTAAATCAAAGCTTTTAGATTCCCAAGGAGATGGAATTGTGCTAATTGTATCAGTTTTTAATCATTTTGCATTTTTTTCCCCATTGCAAAAAGCCCCTACAAACTATTTTGCCGTCTTTTCCTCTCCAGGGCAAGAGGACCAATTTGCGCAAAGTTGGCTCAGACAGGATTGCTCATGGAATGCGAGTGAAATTCAACCCCCTTGCTTTGCTTCTTGATTCTTCTCTTGAAGGAGAATTTGACCTTGTTCAGCGGATCATCTACGAGGTATGAATTCCATGTTTCCCCATATTGAGGGCTAAAGCTGCATGAATTCTTGGTTACAGCCATTCAAGAAACGGTATAGGAGAGCTCCACGTTTGAACACTTTCAGATGGTAGTAGAGTTACACCAACAAACTGGGATGTATGAAAAGGCACTGGGATTAATGGAAATCTTAAACTTAGCACCCAGTGTCTCTTTTTCTCTCTCTACAGGTTGAAGATCCCAGCTTGCCCAATGATGAGGGCATCACTGCACTTCACAATGCTGTGTGTGCTGGCCATACAGAGATCGTGAAATTCCTGGTCCAGTTTGGTGTCAACGTAAATGCTGCAGATAGTGATGGATGGTAAGGACAATTTTTGGCTTCTTAACAGAGCATTCCAACCTGACGGTTCTTACGCTGTTCAGGTTAGCATTCAGGTATGACAATCCCACTAATATTGCTGCTTTTCTTGTGTTTTTTGTTCCGTTTCCTGGAGGGGAGGAGTGGGCACCAGTCGGACAGAATAGTTGGTGGTCTGAACAGCTCTGGAATGAAGCTCTGGGTCAGACTTTTGTCTTCTGTCTAAACCAGTGTTTCCCCAACCCTTGGGTCTCCAGCTGTTTTTTCAGACTGCAATTCCCATCATCCCTGACTGCTGGTCTTGCTAGCCAGGGCTGATGGGAGTTGTAGTTCAAAAACAGCTGGAGACCCAAGGTTGGGGAAACACTGAAGGGATGTTTGGGATTATAGATGGCAAAAGTGTCTCTTCAAGTTGAAATTGGATATTATAGAATGAATGCGTGAAAGTGGGTGCCTATTTTGGACATTCGAAGTAGTTGTTGGTAAGAGGAAGTGATGAAGCTTATTGGTGGAGCATCTGTATTGCGTGCTGAAGGTTCAAGGCTCAATCTCTTGCATCTCCAGGTAGGGCTGAGAGAGAGAGAGCCATATTTGAAGCCCTGGAGAGCCTCTGCCTGTCAACATATATAACACTGAGCTGTCCTAAGAATCAGGAATTCCTCCCCCGCCACCAAGCTTTAATTTCCCTATTTTTCACATTTTAATAGTCGAAGGCAGTCAGAACATTCTGTCACTTTTGCTTCCTCCTTGCAATCCCCAGGACCCCACTGCACTGTGCAGCATCTTGCAATAATGTCCAAGTGTGCAAATTCTTAGTGGAATCGGGTGCTGCTGTTTTTGCCACAACCTACAGTGACCTGCAGACTGCGGCAGACAAGTGTGAAGAAATGGAAGAAGGCTACACGCAGTGCTCCCAGTTTCTTTATGGTATGTACTAGTGTGGCGTTCCAGTTAAGACTGTTGGATTAGAACTGCGGAGACCAGGGTTCAAGTGTGGCGTTCCAGTTAAGACTGTTGGATTAGAACTGCGGAGACTCAGCTGTGGAGTTGACTGGCTTAGGGAAGGTTAAGATAAACAGAGGGATCTTCCTACTCTTGGTGAAAGCACTCCAAAGTAGGTGCATGGTTTTTTTCTTATGGAGAACGTTCCATAATAGTGGACATCACAACAGAAAAGTCCTTTCTCCAGATTCCCACTAATCTGGAATTGCTTTTATGTGGTTTTCCTCCATGGGTTTAGAAGCCAAAGAATAAGGATTGCTTCTGTTCCGATTTCTGGATCGATCAAGCATGTCAAGTCCCTGGCCTCTAGTAATGTAGTTTACCAAATATAACCTTAGTTGGTTAAAAACAAAACAAAACATTATTTGGTCCTCTTTTGTTTTCTCATAACTTCTCCATGGACAACAATTATTGGTCTCTTCTTTATTTTTTTAAGGTTACTACGTTTACTTTGGACAGTTTTTGGACACAATTTTTTACTTTGTAGAAGCAATAGCAACACAGATGGTGTGCTAATTGTTGCTGTTTTAGGAAGTCTTTTCACATGCTTTCCAGAGAGGAGATTCCCCCCTCCCCGCACTTTGTGTTTCTTTCTAGTTAGTGTATTGCTCCATTAATTGGTTGGGAACTCTCTACAGCCTTTTGGAAAAGCTCTATTAGGTTTACAACTAGCACAAAGATTAGAATGGTCTTACCTCTGTTTACACTTAATGGAAAGACCACAGCAAACTGCAGTTCCCATAAAAAAAGGTACCCCTGCCCATACGGGCCAGTCTTGACAGACTCTAGGGTTGTGCGCTCATCTCACTCTAGAGGCTGAGAGCCAGCGCTGTCCGCAGACACTTCCGGGTCACATGGCCAGCGTGACGAAGCTGCTCTGGCGAACCGGCACCAGAGCAGCACACGGAAACACCATTTACCTTCCCGCTATAAAGCGGTACCTATTTATCTACTTGCACTTAAGGGTGCTTTCGAACTGCTAGGTGGGCAGGAGCTGGGACCGAACGACGGGAGCTCACCCCGCCGCGGGGATTCGAACCGCCGACCATGCGATCGGCAAGTCCTAGGCGCTGAGGTTTTACCCACAGCGCCACCTGCGTCCCTATTGGACGCAGTTCCCATATTGGAGTATTAAAATGAAGAAATGTTTTGTTACGAATCAGTTGCTTAGTACTCTCTTTCTGCATTGCAGGAGTGCAAGAGAAAATGGGAATAATGAACAAAGGAGTTGTGTATGCTCTTTGGGATTATGAAGCTCAGAACGATGACGAACTGTCCATGAAAGGAGGAGACTGCATGATGGTTCTTCGCCGGGAAGATGAAGAAGAAATAGAGTGGTGGTGGGCACAGCTAAACGACAAAGAAGGATATGTGCCACGTAATTTACTTGGGGTAAGTAAAAATTAGCATCAGAACCATTGCAAAGTATTTGTAACCATTACTTGCACCATTTGGCTTTATAACTCGTCTGCCTGTTTGTATCCACATAATAACCCTGTGAAGTAGGTTAGGATGTATCCCATAATGGCAGCAACACACTTGAATTATGATCTTCCAAGCTTCAGGACTTCAATACTGATGGACTCTTGATATCTTTTCACTAGGGTGTTACAGGCTGAGGGTATACTTCTCAATCTTTTTGAGCAAATGTCTGTTTCTTCTTGTGGTGCAAAAGTGCTCTGTAATTAGCCAGTAAAAGAAACAGGGCTTTTGGAAGGCTTCCTAGTCATGTGATCTTACCTAGAAAGTTTCCTTCCTGCTTCTTCTGCTTAAATCTTGGCATGCTTGCAGATTGAGGAGAGTTTTGCTTGTGTGTTTATACAGGGTTTTTTGTTTTTTAAAAAAGTGGCTTCCTTGTATTTTCTAATCATTTTGAGGACAAGTAAAAGTTTCATAACAAGTTACAAGCTATTCTTTACAGGGAGAACTGTGTTTTGAGTTCTTTTCTTTTCTTCAATTTGCTGCCCTTGCAGCAATGTGGCAAATCTCTTCGGACTATATTTTCAATTTATATCATTCTGTGCCTCCACAATACAGTAAAACAGTAGCAGATGGACTTTGGCATCACTTTATTTCTAAGTCCTCTCTTTGTTAATCTTTTTATACACGTCTAGTATCTCTGGTCTGGCAGATAATCCGTCAGTGCTGGTAGGGTCTTAACTTGTCTTGGTTTCAGCTGATTGATATTTGATTCCTGGCAGTGCTACATCCTCAAAACAGATAATTCATGTGTTCACAAACCTGAACATTTTCAAAAGCCAGCTTTGAAGGATTGGAATCCTTGTTCTTTCAAAATCAGCTTTATAAACTGAATCTCTTCTCATCCTTGTATTTGTCAGAAATATTGCTCTGTTGGTGCTTATCTGTGCTTAAAATGACTTGCACCAAACGTATCTTTAGAACTCTTGAGAACAGTCTTCAAACACTATTTCCCCCCCTTCAAACAACTGTTTCTAATATTGTGCAGATAACATGTTAGTGTTTTTATAAAATATTTTGACATTCTTGTTTTTCCAACCCATAGTCCTCCCTGGTTAAGCCTTTTGCCTCATTACTGATTGATAATTTAATAATTCAGTATGCCTTTTTCACATCGGACAGTGATCTGCTACTTTTAGCGTTGACTGTCACATCAAGAGTTAGAAATTATCCTGTAATACTGTTTTTTGAGGTTATTGCTAGATTAGGGAAGCAAACACACCATAAAGCATCGTAATAATGAATTATGGCTGCTGGATGAAGGCCATTGAAGTAGGGGTGTATTTATAGCAGTGTTGCCCCTGGGCAGAAGAGACCTGCTGCTCCCACCATTTTTCTCCATGCCAAGACAGGTGAGGGAGGAGGCTCAGGTGAGGGAAGGTTTGCTGTATATTGCAGGGCTGCCTCCTGATTCTGTAGCTGTCTCTTCAGTAGCTGCTGCCCAGGCATCTTGCTCACATCCAAGCCAGTCTACCAGCCATCCCTGCACTGCTGGTTGCAGCCTTTTTCTCTCCCCGGTTCAGGGCAAGGAAGGAGATCCTACCACCCTAGACTCTTATCTATCCTAATGGTGGCAGTGGGGCGACTCAAAGTAAAATAAACCAAACATGGCAAGGAGACTGGAGCTCATATGTCAGCCTGCCCAGACTGGAGCCCTATTGCATGCTCATTGTCCAGAAAAACACCGCCAACCAGCCAATCGGATGGGGATTCTGTTCACCATCATCATCACCACCTCCTTCTCCCCATACAGTTTTATTCCCTTTTCTGTGCCAGCAAAAAAAGCAAAAGTCCTCTTGCACCATCTGAAAGGAGGCTACAGTGCCCCAGAATGCTTGCTGCTGCCTGTCCCCATTGGCTGCCCTGGGGAGCTGCCCAGTTTGCCCTCCTGTTAATACATCTCTGCATAGCAGCACTGCTGTTTTTTGTGCTATAGCAATAGACCAAAACAAAGTAAGGCACAAGGAACCCCTGCAAAAAACCAAACAAGCTTTAAAATAAGAAATGGGTTATGCCCATTTTAATGCACTGTCTACTAAAGCAGTGGTTGACAGCTGAAAGTGGCCTGCAAATGAGTCTCTTGCTGTTGTATCAGTTTATGCTTCTAGAATGATTGTCCAGGGCTAAAAGTCTCAAAACACTTCGCTTAAGATCTCTGCAGATAAGTGGAAGTGCCAGGCTGTACCAATCGTGTGTTTTTTTTAAATAAGCGCGCTGCCGCTAAGTTTTCGGGTCTTACAGTTAGCACATGATCTGCTCTTAGAGGGCTTGCCAGCCAAGCTACTTGTCCATCACAGCATTAAGGTGTGGGATTTTGCTCTGAGATCACAATACATTTGCTACTCCCAGCCCAACTGTGTAACATTTTGGTTCCTGCCGTAGAGCTCCAAGATACTAAACTAGTTTGGTATTTGAATGTCAGCTTTGCTTTAGTGCTTCCACTCACTGTTGAGCATTCTTAGTGAAATGCTCTAGCCATTTTCATGAAATGATTGATATTCTTGAGACGTTGAGTGACATTCACTTCAAGATACTTAGCCAACAGGAGGATAGCAGTTTTATTGTATCTTCTTGGGATTTCTCATAACTGCTTTCCCATTTGATGCTGATACGCATTTCCGGAGTCCAGGTAAGCATGCCCTACAATCAGAGCAACTTAATAGACATGCCTGGAAATGCCCTTCTCTGCAAATGGAGGGTAAAAGGTAATTGCATCTAATTGGTTTTGCCTGTGGCGTTTCTCCTGTGATTTCAGCAGACCTCAGCTCCTGAGGAAGAAACTTTTTTTCTGCATGGAGAATATGAGGGAAGCAAAGGAGATGTGGTTTCTTAAATTTCCCTTTGGGCTTGTGTCAACGACATCAGCTTTCACCTTTTACAAAAACCTGTCACAAGGCAAAAACATACTCCAGTCTCCCAGATTCTCTGCAGATGAAGTGCTTAGCTCCTAAGGCAAACCAAAATTGTGCACTTCTGAGTGTGTTCAAGGAGTCTGTCCCATGTACCAAGGACCAAAACAAGGGGGTAAGCAGCCAATTTTGGACAGTATCTAATTTACACATCCTGTCAGCACAAGGATTTGCGCTTCTGCAATGTACCCTTCCCCTCTGTTTTAGGGGTTTCTCCAACTGTCTGGAGCAGATTTGGGGCGGCATGCATGTGGGAAATTTGGCTGCGCAAATGTAAATCCGTGTGCTGATGGGACATGCTATTTGGATACTGTTCATTGTTGTTAGTATGGACTGTTCAACCCCACTTGGATCAGTTGGCTCCAAGGTGGTCCAAATGAAATAAAAGGGACTGTGTGCAAGAGAACTTGATGTATGGCATGCTGTTCTAAATGTAGGTGAAAGGCGGCAGGTGGTAGATTGTTCTGGGAATGGGGAGAAGCCAAGGTGTCACAGCTTTTGAGAGAGAAGTTTTCATTTTCCATGTAGCTGTAACTGGAAGACTCTCTGAGTCACACTATCAGATCTTGAGATGAGTTGCTGTTATTATGAGAGGTATTTTGTGTTTTCATTTTGTATCTTTATGCTGTAAATCGGACTGTGATCTTCGGATGAAGGGTGGTACATAAAATTTAATAATACTGTACAGTGGTACCTCGGGTTAAGTACTTAATTTGTTCCGGAGGTCCATTCTTAACCTGAAACTGTTCTTAACCTGAAGCACCACTTTAGCTAATGGGGCCTCCTGCTGTTGCCGTGCCGCCGGAGCACGACTTCTGTTCTCATCCTGAAGCAAAGTTCTTAACCCGAGGTAATATTTCTAGGTTAGCGGAGTCTGTAACCTGAAGCGTATGCAACCCGAGGTACCACTGTATAACTATTTATTGCATCATCAGTACTCATAGTGCTTTGCAGAGTACAAGGCGGCAGATCTCTGCCCAGAGCACAGGGTCAAGAAGAAGAGGAGTGCATAAGCAAGAAAAGGGTATGCAGTTTCCCACTAGCAGAGCACCTCTTGCCTTGAGGTGGTTTAATAAAGAATTTTTTTAAGGGAAGGGCAAGCCCTGCTATGTAAAGAGGCTGGTCAGATCAAGGCATGACACATGGCAATCTAACACCCACTTCCCTGCAAAGAATAAGAAAGTGGGCCAAGACCAAGGTGGCCGTGGGAGAATGCATGTTGCCTCGCCTTGTACCTGCCACCCTGTTCCATTCAGAGCAGTTTCAAGTCAGTACGGCAACTTTTTTGGTATGCAGCCCTGCAGCAAAGAGGATTTCCCTCTCCCTCCTCCTGTGGAGGAATATAAATAGCCAGGAGTGCTGCCAAGCCCAGCTGCTCCCTTCTTTTCCCTCTGTCACTAAAGAAGGTGGTCGAGAGGTAGCAGGCCTAAGATGTAGACACGGTTGCCAAGGGCCGCCCAAAAAGGCCTCATGGGCCGCATGCAGCCCTTGAGTTGTGTGTTGGACCACCCTGATATGAAGCATTGCTTCTGCTATTCATACCCACTTGGCTGCGGCTAGCAATTGATGCAGGCCTGTAGGATGTGAAGGTTCCCTGGAGTTGGCAGCAATTTTAAAAAAGTGAATTGGTAGATCAGTAGGAATTGCTATGGCAACGTATGTGTTTTTACAAAATATAAATTGCACAGTAAAATAGGCACAGATCCTGCTGATCTATTCCTTTTCATACAGGTAACTCACGAGTTAACGTGCATTTAACTTGTATGCATTCATCTTTATATGCTTGGCAATGAGAAATAAAAAGGGGCTGGGAAGCGTTTGTGGCGGGAAAGACTTTGGCAATCCCACCCACCATTGAGCTCCATGTGTTTTGACTCTATGTGATGTTGGCTTTATGTGCTATCCCTGGAGTGTAACCCCAGCATAAGTTGAGAGTCACCTGAATTAAGGATTTGTTAAGCACGTCTTACGTACCTTGAATTGCTTATTTTATTCTCTTTCTCCCTCCCCAGCTCTACCCAAGGATTAAGCCAAGGCAAAGAAGCTTGGCGTGAAAACATTTTGAACCGATTTTATGAAGTACCAACCGCAGGACAAGCTTATCCTTCTTACGGAAAAGAATGCATTCTTTGTGGGTTTGCGCCAATCTCGGGAGACATTTCTATTTACAGTGTGATATGAAAGCAATACTGAGTGTGCTTTGAAAACAGATGAAGGATAGAGTCCATTCACAAGTGGCGGAAGACATTCCCCAATCTGGAATGTGACTTTCAAGCAAATGGATTTAGCTCCATTTAGGGAAACTAAGCCCTATTGGTCAGTCACTGCCCTTTTTGCCTCTGCAGGTGGCTCCCCCCCCCTAATGCTAATGTACCAGCAAGAACCAATCATTGCTCATCTAGACAGTTATTCTCTTGCTCCTCTGGTTCCCTTCTCTAAAAAAGGGCCCAGTGCAAGTTAACCAATCTTTTCGTACAGAAACAAATAATGAACATTTTGCTTACGGAATGTATTTTAGTAGCCGAGTTAATGGTGTGAAAATGACATAATGCATCTTAATAAATAAGGAACCTAAATTCAGTTTTGAGCAATAACCTTCAAGGGCAGTAGCATTTTAGGATTTCCAAAGTATTTGAAATGTGTTATACTGCAAGTAATGTAGTTTCTATAGTGTTTTTTAAAATAAATCTTGTCTGTGTTTTGTAACTTGAGCGTTCGATATAGAAAACCTGTGTACTCTACATCTCACAAATTTTGTTATAACTATCTTTTTATTCTTAACTGTGATTAAATTTTTGCTTCAGAAATACCAATTTGTCTGGTGTCAGCTTTTAACACTCGGCTTCACAAGGCTTCTGTCATTGAGCTGCCCTCCATGTGCTGACAGGGGCACATGAAAGAGAGACTACAGTTCGTGACTCCTTTATATAGTCAGCATTCTGTGGTTATTAGGTTTGGAAGATGTTCTCTCTGACCTGCAATTTCTATAAATTGCACTGCGCCTCGTATCTAAGCCATGTTGGTTTATCCCAAATTGATTAGTTTACACTGCTAACATTGAGATTTTTTAAAATATGTTTACAAAGAAAACCCCTTGTATCAAAATTGTTTACTTGTATTGGCAATAACCTGCCTGCTTGAATGATGATCTTCCAAGCTTCAGGACTCGATAACTACAATATTGATGGCCTCTTGATAGCTTTTCACTAGGGTGTTATATAGGCTGTGAGGGTATTGTGCTGACTCCTCAGTCTTGTTTAGCAAACTTCTACTTCTTCTTGGTGTTCAAAAGTGCTCAGTTAATTACCCAGTAAAAGAAACCAGGTTTTTGGAAGGCTTCCTAGTCATATGATCTTACCCAGAAAGTTTTCTTCCTGCTGCTTCTGCTTAAATCTTGGCATGTCTGCAGATTGAGGAGAGATCTGCTGTGCGTGTACATTGCATTTTTAAAGTGAGTTTCTCTTCTGGAGCACAAATTACTTTAGAAATTATTTGATTTACAAATTGGAAAACCAAACACGTTCTTGCATGTCTTTTCAAAACTGATTGTGGCGTGTTAACAATTTTGTTAGTGGAACAACACATTGGATTAACAGCAAATTGAACAGGTCAGCTGCCCTCTGTAAATCCATACCTTGGATATGGCCTTTGCCTTGGTATGTGATGTGTGAACCCTCTAGCATTTGTAAGAATGCTATCAAATCTTGAAAATATCATGCGCCATACTTTTCTGAAATGGCTGATTTATCACTGTCTACACATTACAGCAGTAAACACCTTGATGCTATGTAATCCTAAGGAATTTACACAATTCTCAGCTGTTTAAATGTTGCTAGTGGACTTTATAATTACCTTTTAAAATTCCCATGTATTAGGGGAATGTAAGCATCTTTCAGTCAATAGTTCATTTAGTTGTAGTATGCATAAGGGAAGCATACATTTTATTATGATGATTTTCTGAATGGCTGCTGATATGGATCCAACTGGTAGCAAATTTGCTCATGGTGATCAAGTGCAGACTTCTTGATTTCATTAAAGCTATGAAGATGTCTTGCTGATCAAACCAAGAATATTGTTACTTCACTTAAGAACCATCATTCCACATTTTCTTTTTTAAAAAAGTTTGGGATTTAAATATCATCTGGTGAAAACTAAAGGTTGGTATAATGCATGTAATATTTGGCACGAAACTGATTTTAGTTGATTAGTTCAAGTAGCATTCTTAAATACTGTACTTGGGCTTGGAAAGTGAAGTTGATGGTGTAAGTTTATTGCTGAGCATCTTGAGGATGCATCTTCGGATGTTTAGGTTCTTATAATTCTGAATAATTGTAGGCTGAATGACGAATGCGCCATGTTGCCATTTAAAAGAAGACCGCTACTCATCAGCTTTCATTTAAAACTAACTTCTTGAAATTAGCAAACTTAAGCAAATTAGCTCAAGCAAATAAAATAGAATTACATAAAAAGTTAAAAGCTTGTATACAGAAGCTACCAAGGTAAGTAACTTCCACGGTGTGCTCATTTTGCTTTTTCAGTATTCTTCTCTTGCTTAGCAGCTTCATTCATAAATATAAGATATGCAATAGCTTTTTTCTTTTAACGCTCCATTTTGGTCTTGGATTGATGTTCACGTTCCTAGGAGAATCATCAGCTGAGGCTCATGGCTTCTTCATATGATAGTAAAACACACCCACTATGGGACAGAAGGAAAAACATGTTACAAACAAGTGTCCCTCCGCCCTCTTGGAATATATTCCGTGAAGCTAGACCAAATTTAGTATGTGTTTCGTAAAAGGAAGTTATCTATCCGCAAAAAGCACTTGAGGCTAAAAGAGGAAGTGAAATTCACTCTATAGAAGAAGTTGTTGGCAGCTTCGCTTCTGAGAATGAAAGAATGAAAGAAAAGAATGAACACTAATCCCTCTTGGTGTTTTATTCCTATGTAATGAGGACTGCTAACTTTACAATATATCAGATGACACTGGCTGTGGTGTTATCCTGCCAAAAGGCTACATGTTGCTCAGTTCACACACAGTTTTGGAATTGTTAGCCTGCTCCCAGATATAGTGGATAATGAAAAATATATCAGGAGTAGGAAATGTACTACTGCACCCCTAAAATGATTAATAAATGAGCTGCAAATCTGCCAGCATATGAGTGACTTCTGCCATTAGGTTGCTTGTTCAGACACAGAGAAAGCATTAAATTTGGCTGAGGCAGCTCTGCAATGGACTCAGTAATTTTATGTATCTGGTCCATGTATGTTCACATGCTGCTTCCATATGATCAAAGGGAAAACACAAGATGGAGAACGTTTGCATGTAAGCTATATACTGCTGTTTCTGCCTGTGTGAGTCGGCTGAAGTCCCGGATTGTTTTTCCCTTGGTGCATCTGCAGAAGTACACACAGGAAGCGCTTGTAAAAGCCAGTTCACGTGCTTTTGTCTTCAGAGATGCAGGGGCACCATTTTTCATCTGCCACATTATATGTTTCAGGAGGAAGTACATATAAAGCAGCAGTACACAAATTCCACCAGTGTACTTATTCTACATACATCTGACCAAGGGTGATGGTGTGTTAGTGCTTCATACATCACTTCAAACCTGCAAGGGTGTTCTGTATGCAAAACAAGGTTGAAGGAGTGTGTACCCTGGCCCAAGGCTCATTGGTGCCTGTTCATGCCCCTGATTATATTGAACCAGCAGTTCAATAGTTGCAGGAAAATCTTAAACCTTGTGCAAAATCTACTGCCCTGTGCTTTTGAGAACACAAACATCACTTTCTTTCCAAGTGATCATTAGCTCTGGGTGAAAATGTGTTCCTCTCTGCTGGATGTTCCTGGAAATTTGGTAAAAAAGAAATAAAAAGTATCTAGTGTCTAGCCTGTATGCCAAATGCTGTACATATCTAGATTGCAAATTGCAAACAAAAGCTTTGCAGTTCTTCCTCTGAAGTGACTCTAGCCTCTGCTAGAATTGTGCTTTTGGATCTTGATAGGAGGAATAACTTACAGTGACAAGATTCATCTGTATCGTTCCTGTTTTCTCAGTATCCAGTTTCTTAAATATCTCTGCATAGAGAGGAGAGAGAAAGAAGAGCAGAGTATTAATAACAAAGTGGAGGCTTCCCGGAAAAGACAAAGCAGCAGTGAAAGGTTTCAGCATGAGAAATAAGGGTGAAAGCTGCAAGTTCATCATCATCATCATCATCATCATAATAAAAAAGACTTAAATTATTTCATACTAAAAAGCATTCATTGTCAGAGGATCACAATATATACTTGAAGGCTGACTACTGTAGCTTTGCATTTTTCTTTTTTTAAATGAAGAGCCATATGGTTTTTAGTGAAGGATTTGATTTTTTTTTTTGCTTTTCTCGTTCCTACCATTGGCATATGACTTATTTCATCTTGAACTCATTCTCACACCTTAAGATGCAATTAAATTGTCTGAGCAGTCCCTTCATCTGGCTTCCCTGCAGTGAGAAGGGTAATGATGGTACCTCCCTTCCTGCTTGTGCCTCTGCACTACAGCAAACAACTTGGGAACATAATTTGGCCATGTGGAAGAAGACTTACTTCTTTCCACGCCAACAACCCCCCTCCCAAAAGCCAGCCATGTGGCTGGAAGAAGCTGCAGTATGGCCGCCTCCCATGTGGGCCCATATCATCTGTCATTACTGAAGCCGTGTTGGGCAAGCATTTATTCTATATATTTTTTCATTGCTAATGTTTTTGTTAAATCACTTTGAGACGTTTCATAGGAAGTGACTCATAATGGAAGAAAATAAAATAAGTGCCTTGTGTGCTGCCAAAAATACATTCAGAAGGTGACTAATTTAGCTTTTCCTGCAGGGGAGTGTTGTAATGGCAGACATTACAACAGCATCATAGAGCTGCCAGCACAGGTGAGGTGTTTTGTTTTGTTTTGTTTTGTTTTGGCAGCCACTGCTTTGCCAATGGGATTTGAACTACACCTTCAACCTGCATGTATAAGTTGATATGGGAAGAGCTCAATCTTGCACTAGGACTGTGAAAAAAATGTCTAAGCTGCTTGACATGGACTCTGCACTGAATGAAATTGCAGCCAACCTGATGTGTGCTACTATATGTAACGTACAAAAACCTTACTGCACCCATAAGCATTATGCCATCAGGCATAGAGTATTATTAAACACGTACAGCACTATACAGATATTTAAAGATAGAACTGTCCACAGGCTCAAAGTGAATAGACTACAGCGAAGGAAGAAGAAACCACAGGAACTTGCTGTGCAGAAACACAGGACCAACCCCCCCCCACCGAACCTCTGGAAATACAGTAAGTTTTTTTAAAAAAAATCCATAACATGGTTTTAGGATGGAGATCTTAATATAAATGGATGCTGCGGCTGTGAGATACTCACTGAACAAAGTTTCCAGTCGAATCAGGCATCGAACGAAATTGTCGAAATCGATTATCAGCTGCTCATCAGCAAAACGAGCCACAATGACTTGGTGCAATTGGCAATCCAGCTTAAAACCTACAGGACAAGGAAGCAGAATCTCATTGGCACAGGTGCATTCTCGGGTAGTGTGACCAAACACGTGGTAGGGGTTGCCAACCATTTTGTATTTTAGAAAACCCTGATCAAATAAACATAAGGTTTGTGCACTGGAAGCTACATATCTTAGCTGGTTGTTGTTGGTTTTTAAATTGGCTATGCTGTCTCCAGGATGATGAACAGAAATGTGTGCCTGCTCCCTGAATAAGGCCAGTTTTCTGTTAATAAGCCTATCGCTGTATAAAGCCCAAGCTGCCTTTGTTTAAGATGACTGTACAAGAAGGAAAACATGACTCATGATTTGTTAACCTGCCTCTTATACAAACAAGCAAGCAGGCACACCCCAGCAGAAATGGTTTGGTTTCTTTCATGTGACAATAATAGCTTTTTAGCACACCATGTGTCCCTCTATGCACAGGTTGCAAGAAAAAAGAAATTGGATAAAATTGCTAGAAATTGGTGATTCGGAGCTTTAATCTGAACTCAAGCTGGATTTGAGTTTGTTGGAATCTCTGCTAACTTCTCTCTCTTACATAAGGATGTCGGCAAACTGGATTTTAAAAGGGCAAAATCGAGCTGTCAGAGATACGCAAGGGAAACCGTTTCAATTCTCAGGAACTTGGCAACGTCTTTGCAGATTTTTCTATTACGGTTACATGTTTTGTATTATCTTAGTCATACTATTGCTTAATGTAAGTTTGTTATGGCCTTTGGATAGAACAATAAACTTATGAACTTTACTGTAACTGTATAAGAGGTACCTGCTGCTTCTAAGGCTTTCCGCATCTCATAGGAGTTCATGGTTCCAGAGCGATCGACATCCATGTCCCTATAAATTTTCTGCAGAACACAAAACCCAGAGTTAGAGGCCTGACAGCACTTCAAAGCAGAGCAATCTTTCTACAAAACAATCTCTGTGCTTCGCAATGATGCCATAAAATGCTCCTTCCATTGCTTTAATCTATTCCCATTTTTGCGGGGGTTTTTCTGGGATGAATTTAAAGAGCTATGCCTGTCTTTCTTAAAGTTACTCTTGCGCTCCATAAACTTGACCTAATAATAGTGTCATAACTGAGCACTGCTACTGCTAATGGTGCATTTATACACCTTGATCGCAGTAACCACTACAAGGCCACTGTTCATACATATCTGCGCTAACAGGTCCCAGGAAGGTTAACACACTTCCACAGTCTTAGATGCCAAAGTATGTTTTAGGTAACAGAAGTCTCCCACACGTCTTCATTTAAAGATGTCTTCTTACCTGGTATTTCTGAATCTTTGTCCAAAGTACATTAAATTCCTTCAGTCCCAGCTTACCGCTACCATCAGTCTGTTTTTAGTTAGGGATATTTCGATTTCACAAAGGAAACCTAATTGCTCCCCCCCTTTTTTTTAAAACAGTGGTTATTTTTGAAAATCAGAGTAGATAACAATGCCAGTCCCATTCTAGATTCCTTTTCCTATGTACTGGTAAACTCCCTGATGTATTTTACATGTTTAAAAAGCAACCAGCATCAAAACTTGATTAGAACTCCAAATTTCCTGACACCTACCAGATTATCAGGCGTATTGTGAATACCCCCAGGTTGCCTCCATGGCAAAGAGTGTTTATGATCTGCTTCAGCTGGTGAGTCAACGGTGCAGTTTCCTGGACAAGGATAGCTTTGCCACTGTGACTCACATGTGGGTAACCTCATGCTTATAAAATACTGCAATGTGCTCTGTGTGGGGCTTTCCTTATAGCTGGTTCAGAGGCTGCCGCTGGAGCAGAATGCCATGGGCACAGTAGTGCCCCTTAGTTGGTACATATCACACCAGTACTGAGGGACCTGTACTGGCTGCTTATTAGTTACTGAGCCAGTTTTAAGGCATTCTAGCTTTCATATGAAGCCCTAAGCTACTCTGGGCCCAGGTTACCCAGCGAGGACATTGACCTCAACAAATGGAACTCTTGCCACAGTATGATGATTATTGACTTATGGTGATATGGCGGTGGGCTTTTTCACTAGCAGCACCAGTGACATGGAACGCATTCCCTGTTGAAATGTAAGAGGCTCTTTTGTATTGGCATCCTGCCTTTGAAGGATTTACAGAGGGACATCTCTGTCATTATTTCTCAACCAGAGTCTCCTGCTTTTATCACTTTATTGTTTTAATGGCACTGTCTTATTGTGTATAAGGCTATTTATATTTTAACAGTTTGTATATCTTGTGTTATATATACATACATATAGAAAGAAAGAACCTATTTTGGCATGTAGCAGTATATAAATTAATAACTGATTATGACACTATGTATACGGGCTACTTCATATCAACGCGACACCTAGGTCAATATTGTCTCTTCTGACCAGCAGTGCATCTTCAAGGTATCAGCTGAAGGTATGATGTTAACTCTGGTACAAGTGTATTGCCTGCATACAAAACTCGTGTCCCAGCACTGATCCATATAAAGCCCCTTCAGATATTAGATATCTGCTAAAATGCTGCAGTTGTGAATGAATCAGATTCTCTCCCCTCCCCCAATAAAGCATTTCCCATTCTCTCCCTTAGGTGGGTGGGAACATGTATCTCATAACTACAAGGTGTTTTATCAAATCAAAGGGAATGTTGACAAAGTATGTCACAGTTAGGTCTTAAAAAACCAAAAACCACTCCCTTCCCTATTATGTTGCCCTGTAAGCAGAAAGCCTGTAGATTTGGAAGAAGAAGGATACGTCTAATAGATCAACCATTATTTTGCATGTTTCAATGCTGAAGCCATCTGATTTAATATCTTGGCCTGCAAAGAAAAACAACACACTTATTACACACAAACAATGTACTCTTTCTGTTTTCAGCATTCACGTTTGATTTTGTGGGGAACTGTGGATGTTCACAGGACTGCGAGAGAAGAACTTACGTTTTGCCATGACTTTTTTCAGAATGTTGCACAATTCAAAAGCGGAGATCTCAGCATCCTGTGGGCAATGAAGGAACAACCACAATGGCTTACTTTAAATGATCACCTCTACTATCACTGTGAATCAGCATGTTTTCCCAGATCTAGTTCTGCATTTTCGAATTCTGGCTCTTGGAGATGGTGCATTTTGTAAAAGAGCCACGGGCCCCCAACCTGATGGAAAACTAAGCTACTCACCTCTCCAGCTAATTGCCTAAATAGTTTCTTAAAACTGGGTTCAATTTCATCTTCTGTGAGTTCTTTCTAGAAAAATGAATGACAGGGGAAACATCAGCAGAGGTCTCTGACCCAGTAACCGTCAAATATTTAAGCAAACAGATTCCTCTTCTAGGGCTATATTAAATATATACATAGTTATGTGTGTATATACATATCCTTTTGCTAGGGCAACGAATTAAAATTTAATTTTCACTCTCAATGACTGGTTCGAATTCTGTTCAGATTGAATAATGCATAAACCCTCCAGAGAATCTCAGGTTGCTTTTTTTCATACCGCAGCGTTAAAGATGACAAACTGTTCAAGATAAGAAACCCATTTTACTATTTGCAATGAAGTACAGAAAAGCCTATCAAATCCAATGTCAGAAATGTGTGCATAGAGGGCAATGCTCCAGTATGGGTTTTTTTAAAAAAAGATGTTAACATTTTAACCTCAGTATTGAAAAATAAAAGTATAAGAATGAAGCCCTAATTGTGATAAAATGTACGAACAGCCGTACATTTAATGGTACATTAAACCTGTGAATCAGGACTGGCAACACAGTGTATATCTCTCTGTGTAGGCAGGATTAACCCTTTCTCCCAGCTCTGCTGTTCTAGCCAAAAACAGACACTCCACCCCACCGGCAACCCTGCAGACCTGGGTTTCTTTGTAAGTTAGCAAGCTCCAAAATTCAGGGCCCTCAACAGCAACAACTGTCTTCTATGAGTCAATAGGTTAATGATGGCATAATCACTCCTAAAAGCTTTGTGCATCTTCTACAATCGCTCAGAACCCGCCCCCCCCAGCAACCCTGGAAAGCAAGCGCATGTTCTCTCTTTTGCCTGTAGCACTTTGCTGTCAGCAAAAAAAGTTTTCATATTAGGCAGCATACCTCTTCAATATTGGCTTCAATTTCATCATCAACAACTCTAAAAATGAGCAGAGGAATGGCTGTTAGTTTTATTTCATGCAAGCAGACTTAGATTGACATTTGAACTTCTAAAGAAGGGTTGGGGGGAATCTAGGAGTTGGAATTCAGCAACATCCGGAGACCCATAGTTTTCCTACCCCATTCTAAAGGTTCCCTGGGTATTTAATATTTGGAAAAGTTTCTCTCTGCAGCTGCTACAGGTTTTGTAACATTCAGGTATACCCAAATGAAGCAGATCATTGGAAACTTAGGGATCATTTTTTGTGCACATTACACAGAATTAATTTTTTTGAGTGAGGGCCTAAGGCAGAGGCAAGGAACCTGTGGCCCACCAGAGATTGCTGAACTACAACTCCCATCATTCCTCACCACTGGCTATGCTGGCTGGGGCTGATGGGAGTTTGAGGCCAACAACATCTGGGAAGGCCTCATCCCTGGCCTAGGTGGGCAGTAGGTATTTTACCTTCAACTTCACTGAGTAGCATTTTAAGTGAAATCATTTACAATGTGCACACCTCTTCTCGGCACTGACAGCGATGGGAAGGGGAAGGGGAAAGCGAATGGGGTGATGGAGGGTTGTGAAGGCAACAACACGCACCAAACTTTCCATGAGTTCCTGATGCATTGAAGTAGGCCCAAGAGGCAAGAAAAACAACTTGAGAATTATCCACAGACGAAATGCATATAACACAGCCACTCTTATGACTTGTCTGGACAGATGTTTGAAAAAACCCTAAGACTACTTACATTATACTGAAAGACAAAAGGATGGATGTAGCACCAAAATCTTATGCTGTGCAACTATGATAAAACATGGTTTTAAAGTTCTTTCACATATGCCTGTGGATTTGTAGCCCTCTGTTCCCAGAAACATGGTCTGATGAAAGAGAGGGCGTACTAGGAAGCTTACTCCAAATCACACACTCACACAGTGGGTTCAAGTTCTGCCTCTCTCTGCTTAACATTATTCAGGAGTAATTATATACCACTCAAAATAATTATGGGTGGTTTATAGAAAACCCTCACTAATTTCCTGTAATGGCAGATAAAAAATTAGGATGTCTCAACAGTCCTTGAAACCTGACTGGTTGGGCCCCATGGAACGAAGGATTAAGTATACCCTACTAGGTTGGGACGCGGGTGGCGCTGTGGGTTAAACCACACAGCCTAAACCACACTGCCGATCAGAAGGTCGGCAGTTCAAATCCCTGCAATGGAGTGAGCTCCTGTTGCTCGGTCCCTGCTCCTGCCAACCTAGCAGTTCGAAAGCACATCAAAGTGCAAGTAGATAAATAGGTACCTGCGGGAAGGTAAACCGCATTTCTGTGCGCTGCTCTGGTTCTCCAGAAGCGGCTTAAACATGCTGGCCACATGACCCGGAAGCTGTATGCCAGCTCCCTCGGCCAATAAAGTGAGATGAGCGCCGCAACCCCAGAGTCGGTCACGACTGGACCTAATGGTCACGGGTCCCTTTATCTTACTAGGTTGTTCAAGTCCTTTGGTCCAGCCTTTCCCAATCTGGTGCTCTCCATATGTTGTCGGACTACAACTCCCATTAACCATTGGCCATGCTGGCTGGGATTGACAGGCGTTGTAGTCCGAAACACCTGGGGAGTACCAATCTGGGGGGAAAACACCATCACACAACAGCCCTCTTTCCTTTTAACTTTCACCAGATAGACTGTCTAATTGAATGGGATGCACAACATGATCCTGAAGCAATATGGTTCCTCCAGTGCTTTGAGATTCATAAAACCATTCAAGATAGGGAGAAACAAAGAAAAATAGAGTAGAGGCAGTGACATACTGTGAATCTGCATTCTTTTCTGAGAAGACTCGGAGGCAGAAATCCCCGTTCTTGTTGGGTTCAAAAGTGGATGGCACAATGATGTACTCTCCTGGGGGAAGCTTGAACCGATTTAACACCTCTCGGAGGTTGATGAATGTGTTTGATCGTTCTCTCGCTCGGTTCGTTAGAAAGTAGTTTTTGCTCAGGTGGACATTTGTTTGGCCGGAAGACTTCATTGGAGAAAACAAAAAAAGCAACGGTATTATTCCAGTTCAGAATGTAACTGAAGAAGGGCCATGAGGACACTACACAGTTCTAAACAGCTGAGTTAATGATTACAAATATAAGAATGTTACATGGGAAGAGAAATACATTGAAGCATAGAAAATGAGTTCTATTGGCTTGAAAAGAACCTTCAGCTCAGCCAGAAAGAGGTGTCCCTCAGAACATCTGCCACAGATCAAAAGCTGAAACAGCCACGTGGGTGGAGCAGGGATGGTAGTGGGAGGGGTAAATTGAGAGCAAACCATACAACTGGAACCAGACATCAGAATTGAGATAAAGTTGAGATGAGGTATCACAGAAGGATTAAAAGGTGCTGGTGGAAAATTTGCATTTTAAGGGCTTTAGAGTCCAGGGAAAGAAAAGCAGACCTTTGGCAAATAAAGTCAACAGATGGCTGTAAAATTCTATGTGCTTACATCGCCCATGGTGAAAGACAAAACTTGCATGTTAAACAACATACATTTCTGGAAGTTTAAACATCTGGTTTAAAATAGTTCTTTAAATGCTGATTGGAAGTTCCCCATCCTCAGGACATTCTTAGACCAGGAACACACGTTCCATTGCACAGAAGTTGCACATACCTGTGGAGGTACCTGTGGGAAAGCAAGAAGAAGAAAAAGGTGTACATTAAATCAACAACACTCAACAATGCTTCATTTGCCACTTCTGCACAACTCCTTTAACTGGGAAAATCTTTGCCTGCTCTTGCCCTTGTAAATGTTGCAAGTATGTATTATTCTAGAATCTAGATCAGCCTTTCCCAACATCTGTGCCCTCCAGATGTTTTGGGCTACAACTCCCATCATCCCTGACCAGTGACTATGCAACAGGCGCTGATGAGAGAGTTTTAGTCCAAAACATCTGGAAGGTAACAGGTTGGGGAATGCTGACCCAGGTATTATCATTCAACAAGACAACCCATTTTTCTATTAGTAGTCTTCAACATCTATGACCTCCCTAAAGGCCTGCAGTAGACCAGAAAATGTTCGTCTGTTTTTGACTTTGGGGCTGATTCATGCATGAATGTTAATCACTTGATGCCTTTCTGCCAAGGGTGCGATCCATCTCCACCGAAAAAGCATTTTGAATCAGATGGTGTGCATGTTTTAGCTGCCATGTCTATGATGGCTAATGCAGAAATGCAAACTATCACATGATGCTACACACAAATAAGTGACAAAAGTGCATTTGGTGAACCATTTTTTAATGGTAAAGGGAGATTTGCGTTTTGTCAATAAGCCACCATCAATCTATGGATTATGCAACCCATGCACTATGCATTTCTGAACATGTCAGCTTTGACCCTGAAAAGTAATGACTCCCTCTCAGTTTGCAAAGAAGAAAGGAAAGCGGCAACAAGGAGCTTGCCTCATAGATGGCAAATCCAATGGTGTGCATATCCTCCCCCATCTTCCGCTGCTTCCGACGGTGCTTCTGAATCAGGCCAACAAGGAAGGTGCAGCCTCTCTCGGGGTCATCGGGATCTTCATCTTCTTGCTCAAGTTTGATCAAATATTGCGGATTCATCCAGAATGTATCTGATGAAAGAAGGGAGGTTACTTGAAACCATATTCAGCTTACAGCGACTCAGCTTGTGCTGATGGCACAAAGCCGTCTTCCTGGTTTGGGAAGATACAGCCCCTTCCACTTCAGATTTCCACGCTCATTTTAAGGATGTTAAACATGTAGCTCTTTAAAGAAGCTTCAGAATTATTTTCACATGGGGTGCAGCTGCTTGTAGCTCCTTTTTTGAATCTCTGCATTCCAGTAAAGGTCAGGTTCCAGAATCGGTGGACCATTTTTGACAGTATGTGACAGGCCTATTTTCCCACAAAGGTCAGTGGTATCAAAACTCCTGGTAGTTGATATTGCAGACTGAACAGGAGGCATTGTGCAGAGACCTCACTTACTTTGGCCAAACAGACTTTGACTAAACTGAAGAGGATGTTTTGCAAAGTAAATCTTGTAGATCCACAGACTTTGTAGGCCTTTCTAGGTGATTTTTGAAAAAATTACCATGCCATGCAGCTTTCATATAAATTTTCTTTCGAATAGGATCTTAAACACTGAGATCCAGGATTATTCCCTCCCCGCCAATCAAGCTGTTTTCACCATGCCAACTCACTATGCTCAATAAATCTGCCTTCTACCACTGCAACCTCCGCTGCTCTCTGGGGAAACAAAGCTTTCTGTTTTCCTTCATGACTCCTCACAACACAGATTCCACTTTCCACTGCCTCCCCTCTGCTGTTTATAGAGCAGTTGCTGTGGCTTGGGTGTGCTGCTCATCCCTGGGCCAAGACCAAGTTGAAATCCAGACACATATAAAAACTGTTCTGAAAATGCTTCTTAAAAACAGAATGAATTTTCCATAAGGCTCACCATTGCCATCTAGTGTCACATTGTATACTGCACTTAATACACACTTAAATTGTTTTATTTGCAGCTGTATAGCTGAGTCCTAAGAGGGCAGTGGGGGTTCAGAAGCTTTGTGGGTACCCGAGTGAACATGTGCCTAAACACTGAAGTGTTGGTGTAGAAGGGCTCTATATAATTTTGTTTGGATGTTGTTAGGAAATTCCAGAAAAAAACTACAACTGGTGTGGACTACAACTCCCATCAGCCCCGACTATTGGCTGTGCTGATTGTAAGTGATAGGAACTGGAGTACAACATCTGGATGGCACCAGGCTGGCTACTTCTATGCCAAAGAGTGACTTACCAGGGTAATTTCTGCATCCGCCAGCGGTGGATCCTCTCCTCCAGTTCCCATCCAACAAATTCAGGCTCCACTTCTTGAACTTGTCACTGGCCAGAGTATCTGGAGTCAAGTTGCAGATCTCAAGGCGGGAGTAATGCCTCAGGAAATCACTAAACGACATCCTATGGGATAGTGCCAGGGGGAAAAAAATACCTACTAAGAAAAGACGATCCTAATATGCTTCTTCCCATCAGTTTTATTATAGGATTAGAGGATGGCTCAGCTGGTAAGAGCGTGAGACTCTTAATCTCAGGGTTGTGAGTTCGAGTTCCACCTTGGGCAAAAAGTTCCTGCACTGCAGCAGACTAGACTAGATAAGCCTCATGGTCCCTTCCAACTCTACGATTCTATCAAATCAATTGCCCCCAGAACAATCTCTGGGCAACATGATGGCAAGCTCCATTGGCAAGCTGCAACATTAGTTGGCTATTATGCCTTTAGGATAAGAAATGTTTTTTTTAAAAAAAGATCACCCACTTGAAATCTTTCTCCTACAGACCATTTACTCAAGTTAGAAAAACTCTGTATTTTCCACCAGCCATCCAGGTGTTTTAGGTATTATTATTCATTTTTATTATAAGAGAAACAAAACTAAATATAGCAAAGCAAAGACAATGTTTTGGGTGTTCTATACTGGGTCTGTGTGTATTCCAATCAGAACTGGTTCCAGAGATCCATTTACAATTTGATGGCTGCAAGTATGTCAGCTTTCTGTATACTAGAATAGTATTCCTAATGTCTTCCCCTCCATTTGGAAAGTTAGGGAAGGGGCATCCTGGACAGCTGTTGTCAGTCAGTTGGTGGAGACAATATTGAGTGAGATGAGCTCCATGTAAAGCTGCTTCATTATGTTTCAACCTTACCAAAATTCTCCATCTTCATGTCTCTGCGTGAGCCTCTCTCTTACTTTAGGATCAACTCCGTTCCAGCTTGGACAGCTAAAAACATAAAGCCAGTTTAATGTCCATCTTTAGAGCAGCAGATGGCCTCTCCAGAATTCCTCGTCCCCCCCCCACCGCTAATGCTTGCTGGGACAGATGCAGCAGCATTTAAAGCAAGAAAAGCATAACTTACATGCAGTGGGAATACACTTAACTGAAGCAGGGAAAGATTCCCAAAAGGCTCATTAAAGTGCTAGAAAATGCATCTGTGATCTAGGTCTTACAGTTGCCAGACTGCTTTCAAGAAGTCATTGCAGTGACACCGCTTTAGAGTTTGGCAACCTGTAATGTGAAACTTTACGCCCAAATGTGGTTTATTGGAAATGTACAGCTCTGGCCTCCAGGCTTGAAACTCACTTGTCGTTCCATTTTCCAGTCCATTCTACTTCCCCCCAGGGGTTCCGGATTCTGATCAATTTCTGCAGGCTGCCTCGGAAATTCACCTGGCAGGATTAGAAAAATGTTAAGTTCACTATCAGACGGGAACTGGGGAAAGAAATCAGGTGCTCTCCATTTTCTTTATGCCGAGAAACCAGCTGCTTATATTGAATAAGCCTGCACTGTTGCCAGGTTGTTATTGTTTGTTAAATGTCTTTTGCATCAAGACTTGTTATTTCCTGTGGAATATGGGGTGGTTTTTTTTGTCCGACCAATAGTCACATCATGCAAAAAAAAAGCAGCAATGGTTTTCCCAAACTCTTCCATGTTATTCTCTGGCCTTCTTGCCTTCGCCTTCAGCATTGACTTCTGAACTCCCAATGAAACTGCAGCAACAGCAATGTAAGCGACTCGCTGTACAATCTTGTGTGAACTTACTCAAACATAAGCGGCACTCAGGTCAGTGGGGTTTGCTTCCAGGTATGTGGGAGTAAGCCCCATTGAATTCAACAATTACGTTTGTGTAGCCATGTACAGGATTGCACGGTTAGCTGCCCTTCATACTTCCTCTTCCACAATGGCAGGGGAGCTGCTTCCTCGGGGCATAATCTCATTTGCTTGGCGGATGTGGGAATATTCCAATTGGAATATTGTGTAGGTCTTTTTCACCCAATGGGCTGTGTGAAGTGGGGCAACACAGAAAATCTAATAAACTATGTATAGGAATGTCCATTATATGAATCCAAAGAAATATGACATGATAGGTTAGGTAAATGCTAAAAAACGTGAGCCGTGGTGGAAGGGAGGGGCACGTTAACCCTTTTGCCCCCCCATGGCCCTGATCTTAAGCAGCCCCCTCCACATTGGCTATTTTGATTGGAACTGGCACTAATGGGAGCCTTCTTCCCAGTGGAAATACTAAGTGTGTGTGTCTGATTCCCAAAGCCCCTCTGTGTGTCATGGATCCACCCTGGCTTCCTCACCCCCCCAACTACCTATTTTTAATTAATTTTTTAAAAAACAGCTCTGTAGTGCCAAACTGCATAACACACATTGCATCAAATTTGCCTTAATAGAGCGTAGCTCACAGCACTGCTATGAGGATGAATTGGGTGGGGAACAGATTGCAAAGACCTATGCATCATATGCACTATGGCAGCAGTTGTTGGAATAGCAGTTATCAAGGGCAGCCACAGTGCTTGGCTAGTGGCCTGGAATAAAAGAAGCCCCTTGGAACATCCTGGAGAGGCTTCAGAGGCAGAATTCAGTTCCCTTCTCAATTGGAGCAGCATATTCCCCCTGACTGTTGATACTGGGAAATACTGAAGCCAAAGCATCCAAGGCCAGCTGCAATCAGAAGTCTGCCAACTGCTCATTATCATGCCCGCCCTTTGTACAGCCTGCCAGGGAGTCAGCTTTAGACAACATTTTAATCAGAAGGGCAGGGATGTTTCCAGCATAATCACTCTGGGTGTCTTCCAAAGATCAATGAAGTTATTAGCGAGAGAGAGAGAGGGCTGAGATTATTATATATTATCTCCCTTTCCCCTTTCTCATTCTACCATACCTGCTATCCATAATAAATTAATCCTTTCCAAACTGTGATTTGTCTTTTACAGCAGGCCATTGAGCTGGCAGAGAGAGGTGGTGAACAATGAATTTCAGTGCTTGGATCTGCACCACTTTGCTTTGGGGTAAGTGCAGGTGATGACATGGGGTGCTCCTAGCTGGTGGGGCAACAGTTAATTGCACTAGAAGCCTCCAGGGTAACACAAGTGCAGGAGCTGTCTAAAAGCCCTTTGCAAAAGTGCTTTTTGAAGCAGTCCTGCATGTCTCCTCTAAGTGGGCAGGGCTGGGGAAGAGCAGGCACCTCTCCCACCTCAGTTTAAAGGATAAGCATAGTGCTGCTTCAAAGAGTGCTTTTGCAATGAACTTTAACAGCTGCTCAGATTATGTGCAGATTAAATCCTGCTGCTTTGGTTGCCTAATCCTGTTCCCTTCTGCAGGATTAAGCCGTCTCCTTCCACCTACCAGTGATATCAGCTGGTGGATGAGTGTGGTTTGGGTGAAATGGCCTCATGGACCAAACTGGACCTCTTGGTGGGCATGGACTGAAGATTCCCCATCTTGGCTATAAGATGTACCCTGTGATGGAGCCAGGGGGAAACACAGTTCCCCACTATGCTTGTGTGCACCTCGTATGTTATGTGATTTCCCGGAAAAACAAAACTTAAGCACATTGTGGGTTCACTAACTGGCAACATGTGATACAGCTCACAGTAAATATTTATTAGCATTTCAAGAGGGCTAATAAGGCAAAATTTGGCTGGTGGGAGACTTCATAGCCACAAGAGGGCAGTACATTCAAACATTTCACAGATAATATCTCAGATGCCTAGGAAATAATACTGGCCCAAAATGATATCATATCCTTAGCGCACTACATTTTGCCATTTCCCAAGATGGAGAGCTTACCTCTTCTGCACCTGTAACGGAGTATGCATGCCCTTTGACCAGCTTCTGTGTGGTGACAGCCTCCGTCTCAGCAGCGCTTGTGATCTGCAAACACACACGGAAATATCATTGCTCCTGTGGTGACACAATCCCTCACTGAAGCACCAGTGCCATGCTGAATGCTACAGCGGCAATTGCTCCTGCAGGGGGCTTGACAGCTCCATGAGCTCCTCTCGTTTTTCCCTTCATACTCTGCACCCTGGTCTTTGACAAGAGGAATTGGCGAATACGAACCAGCACTGCCCCATGCCCTACATTGTTGACTTCTGCTTGTGTCAGCTGAGGTGCTGGGGCTTGCCAAATTTCTCACTGCCTCTGAGAAACAATTGATTGCATTCTCACTCTATGAAGACTCTCTTCCATCTCGTATAAACAGTATTATTGTATGCATCTTTGGCTCTCAGGCCTATTTACAGTTCAAACCTTGAGAATGGGCAACCTGACAAAACAACGCAATTTTGAATGCAATTTCTTTAAAAAATTGCTCTCCTAGTTGCATACATGTTTAATGCAAATTTCTTAATATACACATTTTTTTCAGGCAATTTCCACCTTCTGTATGCAATTTTTCACTAGTATATGCATTTGTATGCAGCTTCTCCTTACACACACATATCTTTGCCCATATTTTGTGCTGCATCACAGCCTTTGGAGAAGTGTGGATTTTTAAGGCTAGATGTGTTTTCGTGTATTGTTCTTCTGGGAAGTGCAAATTAAAGTCAGTTCACTCTGCTACAGTTAGGATTTAGATATCACAGAGAATGAATCAGGGCATCAGAGCCTGGGGGATGTTGGGGGGGGATGCAGTTTTGTCCTCAGATGGAAGAAGTTTTCTTGTGAAGGCTGAGAATGAGAAGCCAGCAGAGGCAGGAATTTCTGGGAACTATAAGGTTGTATTACTTAATTTTTGACTTGGCTGTTTGCCCTGCTATGTGCTACTATGAAAGTGAATTCTAAACAACTTGCCCCTCCTTCTCTGAAAAATAACAAAAATAGCATCCCCACATCCCAGGGAGCTACTTGCAGCCTGTTACCATACTGATAATACTTAGCCTTTGCTGTGTGTCTTCCAAATATATTTTATCTATTAAAGATTTGCATTCTTGGCCTTGAGTTCCTGTCCTTGGGTCTTATTACACTGTCTTTTTATTGTATCTTGAAACCAAGGGATTATAGTCAAGCCCCCTTAAGCCTCCGGCAGAAGCTCCTTCCTGGAGTGATAGCCTTTTGTTTACAGAAATACTGTTTACATTATCAAGCCTCTGCCCACCTGAATACTTATCCAAACTGGCCCTTTTCCAACAAGGCTTTCTCAATTCTGAGCCTGAAATGTATGCAACCTCTAGGATCGGTTTCTGCAGCTGTAAGACAAAGGGGGCTTTGCACCACTCACGTCTGGCCATCTGCTATCTGATGCTTTGGTTTGCAGATCTGAAAGAACTCGATCTGCCACAATCCAGAAATTTTGAATCCAGAGTGGTGTGAGGGATAGAATGCCGGGGGTGGAAAACACTGGACCCCATTATGTTTGTTTAGAAAAGGGCTATCTAAGGCAGGAGTCAGCAACCTTTTTCAGCCGTGGGCCAGTCCACCGCCCCTCAGACCATGTGGTGGGCCGGATTAATGTTTTTTTTGGGGGGGGGAATGAACGAATTCCTATGCCCCACAAATAACCCAGAGATGCATTTTAAATAAAAGCACACATTCTACTCATGTAAAAACACCAGGCAGGTCCCACAAATAACCCGGAGATGCATTTTAAATAAAAGGACACATTCTACTCATGTAAAAACACCAGGCAGGTCCCACAAATAACCCGGAGATGCATTTTAAATAAAAGGACACATTCTACTCATGTAAAAACACGCTGATTCCCGGACTGTCGTGTGCCAGATTGAGAAGGCGATTGGGCCGCATCCGGCCCCCAGGCCTTAGGTTGCCTACCCCTGACCTAAGGTATCTAACTGTTGCAGATGCAACAGGGATAATGCTTCTCTGTAACCTATGTTTTTCATTGTCCTATATTGAAAGATTTCTGGCAGAAGGTAACTGAAACTATCAACAGAACCGTACAGAACAACCTTACATTTACGAAGCAAAATATCCTCTTGAATTATATGCCCAGCACATGGAACCTTACAAAAGGACAATATGAGTGGACTCTCTGTGCCCTTACCACAGCAAAAAGTTTATACTGATGAATTAAAATAATAATAATGCCGCTCCCTACTATGATTGGATTGAAGACCTATACAAACTCGCAACCTATGAACAACTTGCATATAAATGCAGACTTGCCATGGACAAATTTGATGATATTTTGAATCCATTCTTACAAATACAGTGGTGCCTCGCAAGACGAAATTAATTCGTTCCGCGAGTTTTGTCGTCTTGCGATTTTTTTCGTCTTGCGAAGCACGGTGTCGGGAAAGTTTAGGAAAAGCTTCAAAAATCACCAAAGTCTTTAAAAACCTCAAAAAAGGCTACCACACCGCGTGCTATGAGTTGCTCCTCAAAGTCAAGTCGCAACTGTATTAACGGTGTTAAGAAAAAGGAGACAAACTTGCAAGACGTTTCCGTCTTGCGAAGCAAGCCCATAGGGAAAATCGTCTTGCGAAGCAGCTCAAAAAACGAAAAACCCTTTCGTCTAGCGAGTTTTTTGTCTTGCGAGGCATTCGTCTTGCGAGGTACCACTGTACTGTAATAGGTTAAGATCCGGTGAAGTACAATAACAACTTTGTAAAGTATAAAGTTTCGGGGTCCCCCCTCCCCCTTTACTTTCCCTTCTACACGGGTGCTGTTTCTCTTTTTCTCTCTTTTATTTACGTCTCACCATGTTTAGTGCACATATAATTTTGTACTTTTCAACTTTCAATAAAGATGTCTGGGGGGGAAAAAAGAAAGAAAGAATGCTGGGCGTGGGCTAGAGAAAACTAGTTGGTTTTGCAGCCAGGGTGAAATGACAAGTGAAGGCAGATGCCCTGTGGTTTTTGAAAGATCGCCCCATAATCACTCACAGAAGGGCGAGTGATTTAAAGCACAAAGCAGATTTATGGGTAAGGAGGCGCAGATCCCTGCCCTGCCTGCCGCTCCCCACTCCACAGCCTGTGCCCCGTCATCAGGCTGTTTTCTTCAGGGCTTCAGTAATGGAAGCAAATTTGGCCATGAGGAAAAAGCTGCTGGGGCAGAGGAGCAACAGGAAGCAAAAGCAGGAAGAGGGTGGCAAGAGTTTAGCACTCCCCATACTTGCACTATAGATTCAATCCCTCACCCTCCACTTTTTTTTAAAAAAAAATGATATTTATTAAAAGTTTAAGAATTACAGAAAAAAGAAAAAAAGGAAACCAACAAAAAAATAATAATTGACAAAACATACATTACAATACATAAAAGGAAAAGCATAAAAAACAATACAACAATGCAGCAAAAAACCCAATAACATTAAAACACACATCCAATGTTCCATATCTTTATCTTTCATTTACTTGTTTCATCGACCTCCTCACACCTCCCTTTCTGTATTCTAATTTAATTAATTGTTTCAGCAAATTCTTTCCATCTTTCTCAATTTTTGTTATATAATTTATCTTAACGATCTAACCTTTTAATTAACTCAACAAATCCTTTCCATCTTTCACTATATTCTGTCATTCAATTTACCTTAATTTATTTAACCTTATCTTACCGTAAAAAAAACCCTTAAAACTTAATACTTATTTGTACATAACTCCTTATATCATTTCTACTAAAGCCAAATAGTTTCATTCCAACATTTTTCCTAATACTCATTAATTTTACACTAATTCTCAAAATAATTTTTTAAAAAACTTTCTTCCAATCTTCATCCAACGTCTCTTCTTCCTGGTCTCGGGTTTTGTCAGTCCTTCTTGTCCATTCCATCTAGTCCATCAACCTGGTGATCTTATGTCCGAGGCTCTTAAGTCTTTTCCATGTCCCTTCTGCAGATCTTCTTCTTGTTTATACCTGCACTTTACTTTGTCTTTTGTTGATCTTTTTCTTAATTTCTTTCCTTTCTCATTGGGGGGGTAGGTCTCGGGAGGACTCCAATCCAAAAATATCTCCATCTTCCCTCAGCAAATCAGCCCAATCCCCACAGTCCCATTCCCCACAGTCAACACTGTAATCCAGGAAGTATTTAAAAGCATGTTTCAAAGTCCTTCCAAAATTAAGAGCCCTCACAACTCCAGACCCCCCCTGGTCCATTCCAGATTCAAACTTCAAGAACAGCGGCTTATGCTCCTGCAAGGCCTCGGATCTCTCCATTTGTGTTACTTGAGATTCAACAGCAACCTCCTCCATTATCTTCTGCACTTGCGCTTGCCCTGTCAAAACAAGTTCCTGGGCTGGTTCCTGAATGGTTTCTATATGAGTATTCGCCGTTTGTCCAAAGTTTTTAACTGCAACAGTCATCAAATCCATCTTCTCATGCATCTGCTCCAGCAAAGCGCTTGTCTTGCAAAAAGCAAGCACCAAAACTTCTTCTAAACACATTTTTATTCAAGGTCAGAGTCTGGTCTCACGATCCTAATCTTACAGCTGTGAAATCCCCAGATCGACTCCAGCAACAAATTAACAAGCTCCCTCTAGAGGAGACAATTTCTATTTGTATCCATCTTTTGAAAGCAGGACCAACAAAAGAAAATTACTTTCATTTTTCAAATATTTTGTTTCTTTTGAATGCAAGAGGCAACATTGGAGTCAATTTGTTTCTCTTTTTTTACTATCTGTCAAAAGACGTTCCATTCACAGTCGATGAACTTCCCCATAAATTTCTGTCTCTGACACCCTGTTCCCAGGTTTGAGACGGTGGAAATTTATCTTTCTTACTCTCTCTCCTGCAGGCTTAAACAGTCAAAAATTCCCCCCCTTTTCTCCTGCTTCCAAGAGGGGTTTTGGTGGTAATAACTGAAGGAAATTTAGACCTTTATATACGACTTTCCAGACTTTAGCTTCCAAAGTTTTTGCTTCAATCTATTTACAAAACCGGGAGGCGGACTTCCTGTTTAGAGCCTTCCCGCTTCAGTGCCAAATTAAAATGTTTCTTAATCCAATTTTCCGTTCTACTCACGGGTACTTATTTAGAGTCCAATTGTCCACAGGAGAAAGTCAGCGCTCTCCGGCAACGGCTGTGCGGCTTCACTCCGTAAAAGTAGCGGTTGATTCAAAACACCGCGCCACTCACCCCACGTCGCTTCGGATCCCCGAAAAAGGGTTTCCCTGCGAGTAGGGGAGGCGCTCCTGGTGTCAGCCGAATCCCACGTTCCCAGGCTTCCTCCGCCTGGGATTTTTAGAGGGTCTCCGCCTTCGCCGCGGCGGCAAGACCCAATTTTCACAGAGCGGGTTCCTCTCAGTCAGAGGAACTCCGCCATTGCCGATGGCGCTAACCCGGAAGTCCCCCTTACCCTCCACTTTAAAGGTTATTGAGAAGACAGATCAGATCCAAAAAAAGCTCACCAGATGATTGAAGGCTAGCTATCATCTCTCAGCCTAACTTACTTCATTAGGGGCAGGGTGGAGCATCCCAAAATGTAGATGACGATTATGGTTCCTTGGCATTATCCCTTAAGTTATTATTGCATGTGGGAGTTCTGATTCACATTCACAGCTCTCTCGCCTGCAAATGCTTCTTCATTCATTACAATGCTGGAAACAACTTATAGGGATGCATGTTCAGAGTTAATAACTGCACTGAAGTGAGTGAGGAAACCTAATTCCACAGGAGAGCAATGTACATGCAACATAACATGCCTCAGTGATGAGGAATCACTGGCTTCTAGATGTTGCTGGACTACAACTCCCATCATCCCTGACCATTATCTATGCTTGCCATGACTGATGGGAGCTGGAGTCCAACAACATCTGGAGGGAGGGGCAGGTTCCCCATCCCTGGTGTACACGGAACTTGGAATCAGATATGTTGTCTGCAGCTACATGGTGGAGGTCTCCAAAGAGACCCTTCTTTTCTTAGAGTCACACATTTGGGGATTTATTTCAGACAGGGAAATTAAAGGTGTGTGCAGGTATATTCTTAAAAAGGATAGTCAGAGCAGTCTTATTTATTTTTTATTCTTTTAAAAAGCAATCTGATTTAGAAGCGTCTAATGAAGTGGAAGCCTAGTCCATGAAAGCTTGTGCCCTACTAGAATTTGTTAGCATTTCAGATGCCACAAGACCCTTTGTGTACTGAGGCAGGACTCTCGGGACCCAGCAAAGAATTGCTCAAATGCAACTATGAGGTGAAAATACACCCAGCCACTGAAGAGCAGCAACAGCTGCCTTTGCGCTGCTCAGCTGTTGCAAAGGGATGTTAACATACACAATGGAAGAGGTAAGGAGAATTCTTCTTTTGGGGCCCTTTTTTGCCCTAAAGTCTCATTCAAATTAACACCAGCCATTCTTATAGGAGGGGAAGGGCTCAGGATTTTCCAGTCCCTGTGCACTACCTGGAGGTTTGGAATTCTGTACTACCTCACAGTCCCCTAACTAAAGCAACCTTCCAGTTGCTGCATGCACAAAAGAACGTGGGACAGCTGGAAAGAAAACAACACTAACTCACATCAATAGAGCATCCCAGGAGAGAGCCCTTCTGAAGAGCCTTCTGGATGATTTTGAACAGGTTCGGCGGTGGCTTTTGCAGCTCGTACCACTCTGCAATTCCTCCAGTGAAGTCCTCAAAGCCCTCAGTGGTGCTTCCTCCAGAGAGAGCCTCATACGATCCATTCACCCTGTGTAAGAGGCAAACATGACATTTCAACTTTCTTTTCTCGGCCTTTGAAATTAAAGTGTAGCATAGCTGAAGCCTCACAATCAGGTGTCTGCACTACTACTTCTTTTTCATTCACAAAGAGCCCAAGGTCAACATGGGATACATCAAAATGTTTGACACACAGATCTGATCATGTACCTTAGCTACATGTATATTAAATAACCACACTATTAATCCATATGGACTAGGGCCCCTGATGCTACAAAGAGGAATGATCCCTTCCTAATGCAAACCATTATGACTCCATGATGTGAAAGGTGTGGCAAGAGAAGGTTTGGCCTGAGCAGAGTCCCAAGGGTCACGCAGAGGGGCTTGGAGTGCTCAGCCCCTGGGTCTGAGATTCCCCACCTCTGATGCTGTGCTTTACTTACTTGGCGTAAGCCTTCTCCAGCAGAGCGCTCCAGAACTCACTCCTTTGGGCTGAATGAACAAAGAGGAGCTCTCCATCTTTGGTAGGTAGCTTGTCATCAACAACAACATCCACCCACTCTCCATACTGCCAGAACTGAAAACAAATAATCATCATCACCACAATGTGTTAGAAGGCATGCTCTTGACCACAGCTGAAAACAGCTTGGGACCAGGTTAGCTGAAGGAGCTTCTCCCCTTACATAATGGTCGAGACTTCAAGATAAGTTTCAGCAACGCTTCTCTGGGTGCCCTCAGTGAGGAAAGGGACTTCTTGGTGATGGCAGCTAAGTTATGGGATGCCCTCTGCAGAGCGTACTGCCTGGTGCCAGCTCGCTTCACCAAACATTTCACTTAAGTTTTGAGAAAGAGCTTTTTGAAGCTCTAAAAGCTTGCCACCTTATCTGCAGTGTAAGAGTAGGTTAAGTATCTTCTAACAAAATATATAACCAATACCAGCCCCTTTCCTCAACCTGGTGCATTCCAGATCTTGTTGGACTATAACTCCCATCATCCATGATCACTGGCCAAGTTTGCTGGGGAGTCAGACCCCAACATTAACCTGAGGGCACCAGGCTGAGGAAGGGTGACTGATACCACTATTCATCCCAGAAAAATCCCTATAGCTCAGGTGTACAAAAAGGTACTTGTATCAGGAGAGCATTACTTCCAGTCAAGCATGCAACTTTAAAGTTGTTTTAGGCAAAAGAATCAATCACTGCCTTGAGCAACATCCAAAGGGTAATTGTACAATGTGCACATTCTTCCGGGAGGGGTGGATCAGGTCGGTTCACACCTGATTCTGCAGAAACCAAATTCCTGAAGCTTCCCTACCCTCCATTGCATGCATACCAGGGTATCAGTTGATCTGGCAAATACAGTGCTAATAAAGCAGCGTAACCCTTCCAGGGAAAAGGCAGAAATCAGTATCTGTGGTACCTGGAAGTGGAATATTCCTGCATATCGGTCTTTGAAGCTTTGATCGCTGGGCACAACTCTAGCCAAAACTTCTTCATTCAATGTGAGAGAAGCAATGGCTGCCAGGAGCCAACAGTCTCCTGTGAAAGCAAAACAAAAGTATTTCCCATTAGTCTCCATGCTCTTAAATAAATAAAGAGGGGTGGGGGGAGAAGAAGAAGTAAGGCACTTTAAGTCCTATTGTTCTTACCAGGAGAGATTAACATAAGAGCAGGACAGAGTACTGTACTTCTATACTCTAACTATGGTGGGGGGGGGGAGCCTGTATTGTGCTGCTGTGGTAATGTGAGGAGGGCAATTTTTAATTACCTGCTCCCCTTAAAATCAACTGGGGAGTTGATCTGCAACAGCTCCAGCTGTCAAGTTGCACCACCAACAGAGACATGGGCATGGTCTTGGAAGACACAGCCGAAGTGTGTTCTTTCCCTGTGCTGTCCTATCCTGCTCAAAACTACATCTCATTCTAGCAATTCCGCTGGCACATCTTTGGTGGTGTTGCGCCAGCATATCTGGGGTATTCCATTAGGGTATCTGCCATGGCAGTAGGTAATCTGCCATCCCATTCTGCCCTGCAAGTCACCTAATGAGACCTGTGGGTATAAGGCGGTATGCAAATTTTAATAATAATAATAATAATAATAATAATAATAGTAATAATAATCCACAAAAAGTGGGCTGAATTACACCCAGTGATATTTGGCATAGAATAGTTGGGAAGCCTTCCTTAAAAAAATGGGAACAGTAATAAGCTTTTCCCAAGACGGATGACTACAGAATTACCAGCATGTTTGGACTTTCACATGTTTTTAAAAAGCTGATTTCAGTCTCTGCAGAATCTTGCTTTGAGAATTCTGGATTAATCTGATCCGTCTAAATGATATTAACAAACAAGGTCCTCCCCAACATGTGTGGAAATTCACTGATGCCCTTCTGTTCCAGCAGACTTTTCCATCTTTCATAGTTTTGCCACCTGTGAGTCAGAGAAGCTCTGTAGACTGGCTCTGCCTTCCAGAATCGGATGGTTAGCTGCTAACCAGTGCTGCTGGATGAGAGCCAATGTACACTCGCCTCCTCACCTTTGGTGCCTCCAGCAGCACTGCAGTTTACCAAACACACAAACAAAACACAAATTACTGAATAAAGAAGTCAATGGCGGGGAGGGGGGAAATAACTTCAGCATTTTCAAACTGAATAAACAGAACTCTACTGTCAAGATCAACTGTCTGTGATGACTGTTCAATGCTAATGAACTCCACTGGTGCATCAAAACACCTTGAGATCTCTTATCATCCAAAGGCTAGACAGGTCCTAAGAATCTGAAGTAGCAGCTCACAAGAAAATTCCAACATTTGTCCACCATTACCAAGAAGCAAGTACGAAAAGTAAGGATGGCCAATGGACTCCCTGGACACCAATGTTGAGCAGTAACTAAATAGCAATGTATCAGTTAAACTCACTTTTCAGAGGTACTGCACCTATGTCCATAGTAGTACGCATTGCCATGAGCCAATAAAGATCTTGGTTTTGCAACTGTAGAGTGGCTGTGCTTGCATCATACACTCCTTCTCTTTAGTAACTGCTCATCAACAGTGATGCTTGGCAAATAAAAAGGTAAAGGTAAAGTACCCCTGGATGGTTAAGTCCAGTCAAAGGCGACTATGGGGTTGCGGCGCTCATCTCACTTTCAGGCCAAGGGAGCTGGCATTTGTCCATAGACAGCTTTGCGGGTCATGTGGCCAGCATGACTAAACTGCTTCTGGCACAATGGAACACCGTGACAAAAGCCAGAACACATGGAAATGCCGTTTACCTTCCTGCCACAGCAGTACCTATTTATCTACTTGCACTGGCGTTCTTTCAAACTGCTAGGCTGGCAGGAGCTGGGACAGAGCAATGGGAGCTCACTCCGTTGCGGGGATTCAAACCGTCAACCTTCCGATCAGCAAGCCCAAGAGACTCAGTGGTTTAGACCACAGCGCCACCCATGTCGCTGCTTGGGCAAGTACTTAGCAACAGACATACAGAAAATGACAATTACAAAAACAGGCTGGGATCCTTTGAACAAAGAGGTGCCTCTCATGGAAACCCAAGATAGTTACCCAGAAAGAGTTGCAACTTCTATTTAAGGCTCATTCTTGTGGCATTTTTGGATTCCCCGTAATACTACATGGTGGGAAAGTGCTTCGTTTTTAACAAAGCTGATTTGGATCCCAAACAAGAGGTGAACCAGACATACCAGAAACCAGAATGAACTGATAGATACAGATCTGAACCAAATCTTGTGGAAAGTGCTTTAATTAGCGCACAGATTCTGACAAGTGTGTCCCCCTATATAAGCTATTGTATCTTCTTAAAAAAGTTGATGGTTTTGCCTCTGTTCTCCTGCATGCTGTTTTGGCACAAGAATTTCCTTCCCTTCTATAGTGGTTTCACTTACTGTGAGATTTCCAGAAGAGAATCTTCTGGTTATGGTAAAAAAAAAGTAGATACATGAGAAATGGGCAGTAGAAGATGCACTTGAAAAAGAATACATAATCAGCAGAAGCAATTGGGAAAGCTCAACTGCTTCAATCTGTGCACATATTAAACTGTTCCACCTCAAAGCCCACAGCAGGATAGGGTGAACATGAATATATGTATTGCAAGCAGTGATGATGGTGCTGTCAACAGCACCTCCCCCGCTGAAAATATTAGAACTGTACACCGCCCTAGTGAGTAAAATGGGAGATCCTCACAGCACAACCACACAGTATTGTAGAAAAATGCATACATGAATTTTTACAATGTAAATGTGGTTTTAATTTCTGGGGAAGATATATCTGCTACTGAAATCAGAGGGGAAACACTAGCCTATTTATAGGTCATTGCTGTGATACTATAGCAACATCCTTTGAAAAAAAAAACCCCATAAATATTGAGCATGCTTCCTCTATGCAAAAACCATTCTGCTGAAATGACTCACTGTGCGCAGCGAGCTTTGCAGTAATATGCAACTATGCAACAATACAAGATACACATAAACATAAAAAATACTAGAACCTGAGAAAACTCATCTAAAAATTCTTAAAAGATTCATTAATTAATTCAAAGGAAGGGCTTTTTTAAACCCACAAAGCTTTATAAATTTTACAGTGTAGTAAGTTTGCTAGAGTCTGTAATGTTCAGAGGCCCGATTTCCACATCACATTAAGTCACAGTTAAAAACAAGCTATTGTTTTATGTGTAAGAAAACCACGCCGGTGTATGCTGCTGAAAACTTTTCACTCTGCTCCAGCTATGCCACTGGGTAACATGTCTGGCTTGTTGTGACATCCAAATCTGGACTCGTGAATCTTTTCCTGTGTATGGATGTCACGACAAACTGCACTTTCTTGCTTTTTGGCAGCACACATATAGCAGCAATGTGCATACTGCATACTCAGATTAAACCACACAGTTTGCTTCAAACTAAGGTTTAATGTTTGTTTTAAACTATGGTTTAATGTGATGTGCAAACCAGGCCATTATGCTACATTCTTCTTAGTTAAAACAAGCTTCATTTTTAGAAGGGGGAAAGGTATTCTAAGTGTTAAATGACTGATTGCTACACCTAACTTTCTCCCCATGTCACAATGCTGGCGTGCCTTCCATCAGCTTTGGCTGGTGGCCCAGCTACGTCCATATCTGGACAGGGATAGCCTAACTACTGTTGTCTACGCTCTGGTAACCTCAAGGTTAGATTACTGCAATGTGTAGGGCTGCCTCTGAAGACGGTTCGGAAACTTCAGCTGGTGCAGAATTCAGTGGCCAGGTTGCTCACCGGAGCAAGACGGTTTGTGCATATTACACCGATCCTGGTCCCACTGCATTGGCTACCAGTTAGTTTCCGGGTCCAATTCAAAGTGCTGGTTTTGACCTATAAAGCCTTAAACAGCTCAGAATATGCCAACCAGTGCCACAGTGTACACTACTTTGATAATGGAAGGTTAGAGGAATGTTGCAGACTGGTGAATGACACAGTTTCTTCAAACACAAATCTGCTTAATCCCTGAAGTTTCTAAGTGGTGTACATAAAAATTACAAAAAGTGGATAAAATCAATTAAAGTTAATAATAATAGAGACAGAAAACTTCCTTAAAATGCTTGTTGGAATAGTAAGGTCTTGCTGCGACTACTTGAGGTGCGTGACAACATGAAATCCAGAACAAAGGTGCAGTATGGCTCTGCGTCCAAGAAAAATGCAACATTAAATAGGGTTTAATCTGTAGTTTGTGACACCGCAAGGGCAAAAAGAAAGGAAACCTTACAACAGAACATAGTAGTCTGCAGCTATGAAGTAAGGCCAGTGTCATGGTTTTATTTATCCCTGGATGCAGCCTGTTGAAATCAATGCATACCTGCCCTGAAGCACAAACAACATTCTTTTCTTGGAATGAAGTGCAATTTGCATGAAGGATGAAAAAAAGGAGTCTCTTATCTGGAAGTTAAAGTCAAATGCCACAAGCCAGCGTTATCTCATGGATATGGAGCGCACACAACACTTTGGAGGGAAAATGATTCAGGAAGAGGCAAAACTGTGGGAACTGAAGGGTGCTAAAATCAGAATTCTGATGCAATGATAAAAGAACCCAAGGTGGAGTAAGATGTGGTGGTAGTCTGATCTTTGTCTAATCACAAGATAAAGAGAAAATATGATGGTTTACATGGCTGAGAGGAAGCTATGCTTCCCTCCAAAAGGTGAAGAGAAAAATAGCCTGGTTTAGTTTGAGGCCGACATGATGAAAAGCAGGTTTATACATTCTTAAAATAAAGTAAATAGATCTAAAACAAGGTAGGCATCATGTTAAGAGTGCTTCAGCAGGAAGTTAAGCATGGTCTCCATCTTACCTAAAGCTCCTTGGCAGATATCAGTCCTGGTGGCACCTCCAACAATAAACTGAGGATTGGAACACAACTCCTGGCAAAGCAAGTAGTAAGAAGAAACATGTAAGAAAATAAATTTATTTAAAGTTATGGACATTCCAGGCTGATCTCCAACGGCAACCCTGGTATCTGTACATGCATGTCTGTGGAGTGTTGGGATTATGTTTCCCATCAGCTGCAATCCTGAACATGGTTAGGCTGGCTAAAGCTCTTTGAAGTCACTGGGGTCTAAGCAGACCAGCTATGTACATGACTATAATCCAAAGGAGGCACTAAGTCAGCAAAGGCTGCGTATAATGAAAAGCCAAAACCTCCAAAATATTTGTTCTAGGCAATGTTCTAACCACGTAATTCAAGGGATCCAAAAGGCATCCAAAAAGGAGTTCTTAGTGGCAATTTGTGCTATTACCCTAACCCAGGGTCTCCCAAACTTGGGTCTCTGTCAGTTTTGGACTACAACTCCCATCATCCCTAGCTAGCAGGACCAATGGTCAGGGATGATGGAAACTGTAGTCCAAAAACAGCCGGAGTTTTGGGGGAAACCTGCCCTAACCCCTTTCTCTAGTTCAGAATTGTGGGCAACTTTTTGATGCACTCAGAGACAGAAACAGCACAGGAGATATTTCTTACTTTTTGATCTGGTAACTGCTGGGAGCCAAAGTGGGGTGAGTAAGCCCCACTGAACACAGTGGGACTTGCTTTGGAGTAAAAACCTATAGGGTTGCGCTGTGCTGATACTTTCTGTGGTTTCCCTCTCTACATGGACGTTAATGTATTCCTTACTTCTGGTTTCATATGACTGATGCTATTTTTCTGTCAATTTTGTTAACGGTTAAACTCAAGGAGATTTTCTTCTGGATTTACTAAGCTGAAATCTGAGATTCTCTGCCCTTATGCAAAGCATGCAGCCATGGAAACATCATCCTTGAATACACAGAGGCCTCCACTTTCCTCAGCTGACTTCTCCTTCTTCAAAGAGCATAATGCTAAGACTTATGGAGGTCTGGTTGGCTCGTACCCTCAAGGAAAAATATTTATTTTCATGTGTTCCTGGTGCTGCTTAAAAGCTGCTGGACATGTTGAGCAAGAAAATCCCCTCTATTCAAAAGAAAACCACATAGCCTCTGAAACACAGAGGGGTCTTTCTTCACAGTATGTTTTGGTACAGAGCAGTTTGCAACTATACACACCTTCACGAGATAACATCACCTAAAGCAGGGTTTCCCAAACTTGAGTCTCCAGCTGTTGTGAGACTACAACTCCCATCATCCCCTGTGGTCAGGGATGATGGGATTTGTACTCCAAAAACAGCTGGAGACCCAAGTTTGGGAAACCCTGATCTAAAGTGGCAGCTAATATCCATTTGTTCATACACACAGATGGGCATGTTTTCAAATTAGTGCTGAACGGTGTTCTCTGTTCCCCTCCCCTCAATTAGTGCTTCCACAGACCTTAGTCTTATTTAAAAATAAAAAAAACCCTAGTCTTCCAAAAGGGTGGGGATGGAAACTGGTGTGTTGATATACTGATATACAGAGGATATACTGAAATACAGAGGATATATATATATACAGAGGATATATACCACTTCCAATTTTACCTACTTCATCCATAGACAAGTTAAATATGGTGATGGGGAGTAGCTCACCCCTGCAACGTCACTAGGCCTGCCCCAATAGAAGATGACCTGAGAAAAAACACTCTCAGTGTAAAAAGGTGTTGTGCCAAGAATGCGCTTGAGAAGTACATTCTTGGCACGAAACAGATTGTAACTGTTCCAGCAGAATGTACTTTAGACTGACAAGTAGTGTGGAGCAGGGATGAAACAGTGATGTCATGTGTACAGCACCCCCCAAAAAAGAGCCTGAATGCACATCATCACGCAGTGTGTACGCGCCACATATTACAAGCAAAATTTGCTCTTTCAGCATTGTAAATAAAGCATGCAAGCATGTAAATAATTGCGCATTCAAATTGGACTCTGAAAAGTACAGGTACTAGATGGATAGAAGGCAGATGCATCAATAAATGCATCTATGGAAGTGAGTGGCTGCCAAGATAAGAAAAGGACAGGCAAGGAAATGAAGGGTGGAGGTGACTTAAACACAGAGTTCAAAGCCATCAAACCCAGCCTCTTGCTGCAAATCCACTCATGCAGCATCCCTGATCAGTGGACATCCAGCTACTGCTTACAAACTTTTAAAGAAGGACTATCCACCACCTTTTGAAGCCTAGTATATGGCCTAATATAAAAGGAAAGCAGGAGGAAATGAAACAACAGGTGAGGGCACACCATCTATTGTCCCTCCTGAAAACATAAAACAGGAATATTTCACAATGTAGGGGTAGGGTGTGGTGCACAGGGTGGGTACAGTGCATGCATAGGACTGCTGAATGAGCATAAGAACGTAAGAAGAGCCTGCTGGATCAGGCCAAAGGCCCATCAAGGCTAGCATCCTGTTCCCACAGTAGCCAACCAGATGCCTGCAAGAAACCTGCAAGCAGGAAATGAACACAAAAGTACTCTCCCCCTGCAGTTTCCAGCTTCCATTCAGAAGCATTGCTAGCCATCACGGCTAGTTGACAATGTAAAACTACTTTGCGAGGTTACTGCTAAATGAGAATCCAGGATTTGCGTACACTTGGGCATATTCACCAAAAGCAGCCTCCCCAGTCAGTGGCTGTCTCTGCTTCAGCCATAATATTTAGAAGACCTCATCACAATGATCAATCCCATGGGTAGGCAAACTAAGGCCCGGATCCAGCCCAATCGCCTTCTAAATCCGTCCCGCGGACGGTCTAGGAATCAGCGTGTTTTTACATGAGTAGAATGTGTGCTTTTATTTAAAACACACCTCTGGGTTATTTGTGGGGAGTAGGAATTCATTATTATTATTTTTTTCCAAAATATAGTCTGGCCCCCCACAAGGTCTGAGGGACAGTGGACCGGCTCCCTGCTGAAAAAGTTTGCTGACCCCTATACTATGGATAATGACTGCATACAGGCATCCTATGGAGCTGCAGAGACTCTCAACATGATGTGGCATCCCCATGGCAAGTGAAAGATGCATTTTGGCCTTATGAACAGGAGTATGATTATGAGTGTGGTTCATGAAGCATAGGGCAAAAAAAGGTAAGCATAAATGCATCCATGATTTGAGTAAAGATGGAACTTTGGCGTTCTAACTACCATTTATCCATTTCACCTCATTTCACCTGTGCCTTGGTATTTTCAGACTTGGCATACTTCCTAAATGCCTACAGCCTTCCTAGCCCACATGAGATAGAGGGCTCATGGCCTGCTTGGAGGTGTTGTTCCCATAGGCAACTGGTTGGTCACTGTAACCACAGGATATTGGATTAGCTAGGCCCTTGGTCTGATCCAAGAGGGCTCTTACGTTCACACGAAACAAAGATAGTCAGTGAGCTTAAACAATCAAAACTAGATTTTTGAATCCTCCATATTAGTCTCTCAGAAATCCTCTTAATTACCACTGTGTTTGGATTGATGGGCGCTTCCTCTCACAGAATATGGGAACTTCTTTCCCTGTAGAAAGCGACAAGTGCATTTTGATATTGCCTCTGTGCCTTAAACACACTTGCTGCAGTGTGTAGATGAATCCCCATGAAATAAAGTGGTACTTACTTCTGAGTAAACAGGCCTAGGATCCCACTAGCTTACAGGAAATTATATTGTATCTGGAGAAGTGTGCATGCACCCGAAAGCTTATACCCAGAACAAACTTAGTTGGTCTCTAAGGTGCTACTGGACAATTTTAAAAAAATTTTCGACTGCGTCAGACCAACACGGCTACCTACCTGAATCAGGAAATTATATATTAGCTCTGTAACATCCTACGGAAACTAGTATTCCTATCAGGCATTAGTTTGTATAGAAGCAAATGGACATGCTGCCAATCTCAGTCCCACCCTACTCTGCCTCCCTATACAAAGGAAACATTTTTTCTAACTTACTCATAACTTCTGCTGCATACGCAGTAAGCACACCATCCTACTCTGCATCAACTCTAAACCACAATAATTACCACCTCCCATGCTCCCTACAACCTACCCAAATTAGAATCCCTACTTCTAGTATAAAAATACATTGAAATGATAAGCACAAGCAAACCCTTTTGGCACCCTAACTGGATGCATACCAGATTGGCAAAAGGATGACTACGGGATTTGGAGTGATCCTGAGTATCAGAAGTTGATCTTTTCCTTTCCTCCCTTCCACTGTGATGGGCCACAGCCAAGAAAGCCAGATCCCGCACAATTCAGGCAGGGGTGGGCCGATTCCAGGAGTATATACAATGCAAGGGATCCCATAGGATCTTTAGTTTAGGAATCCAGGCCTTCTGAACAGAAAGTTCCACCCACAGTCCCAGTTGCTAGTTACACTCAAACTCCCAAAGAACTAAATTCAGGTTCAATTCCCCGCCCCTTTTCCACCTCTCTTATTCTCTCTCTCCCCAAACCGAATGGAGAATCCCGTTCTCAGAACCGCCTCGTAACTATTTCCCTCTTTAACTTAAGTCTTTGTTATGTACTGAGTTGAATAGGACCCAAAATGCAGCAGTCTGATTGGTTTAGAGCAACACTTCGCCCCCATCCCACCAAGGGTCCCGCGTGAACACGCGAGCACGTCTGAACGCCTACCGTCGGCCTCTTCCACACGATGCCCCTCGTTTTGTAGGAGTTCGGCCCCAGCTCCTTGTAGCCCAGGGAAGAGGCGGCCGCGGGGAAGGAGGGGTCCTGGAAGAGCTTCCCCGCCTCGAGGCACTCGTCCCGCAGCGCATGGAAGTCCTGGTTTAGGTACTTCACGGCCTTGGCATTGGAGCCTAAGCCTCGGGCGACCTCCCTGTCTTTTGCTAATTTAGCTGCGAGACCAGACATGATGGCTGTTCCCTTTTGTTGCCGCCGCCGCCGCCGCCAACTCCGGAGCTGGACATAAAAATGCGAATCTCCTCCACGCAAATGACGGCGGCGAAGCGGGCTGCCGATGATTCATGCAACGAGAGGAAAACTCTCATCACTGCGCTCGGGGTGTGGCCGGGTCGGCCTTCGAGATCCAGGCGGTGCAAGCGGGCCTGTCGCCCACCAGTTCTCGCTCCAGCTCGGCCGAGGGACGCTGTAGGCGAAAGGGGCAGCATTTCCCGCGCTTTTTTTATTACTATTGCAAAGAGAAGAGCAAATGTCCTGCCGGGGGGGGGAGGGGACTGACGCCTTTCCACACACAAAGCTGTTTTGCCAAATTGTCACACGCGCCGTTATAAGGGCACGCGCCTTATGAACTTTTAGCATTTCACCGATGAATATGGAAAGACTCTCACAGCAACCTTATTCTCACATTCTCCCCATCTCTTTGAGGCTGCGCGCCTCCAGGGGAAACGAGTGCCAAGCAAGCAAGCAAGCAACACCTCCCGCCCCGCAACTTCCCTCTACCTCTCTCCTACCCTGGCCAATTGCTGGAACCTTGCGAAAATTATTGTGACTGAATAATTGCCTAGGAAATCCTGAAACCTGAAGCGTGCTTGCTTGACAGTTAGGTCCATTGGGGAGGCAAAGCAAGTAGTTCTGACTTCAACAGAGAGAGAAAGTTTGGAATGGAATTCTTCTCATTCCGAAGTTTTAACTCATGGGACCAAGTTTGCCCTTCAGGCGGAAATCCAGTTTTCCCCTTCTGCGTTCATACAGAAACATAATGTGCTGCCACTGGTCTTTAATTATTTATTTCCCCAGTATTTGGCATGCCAGTTTTCAGGACTGAGACCTCCCAAGACAACTCACAGAAACAAGACAATTCCACTGCGATTACAATTTAAAAAAACACAAACAATTTAAAAACTGTGTGTAGAAAACCTTCCCCATTCCACTCTCTATTTCTTTGTTAATTTATCTTAACACTGCAAACCTATCAGAAGTAAATCCCACTAAGTTCAATGGGACTAAGTTCAATGGGACTTACTCCCACTATGTGGCAAGTACACACAAGAGCCTCATAACACCTCCAGAGGGCTATTGAGGTCAACATGGCACTGGATATTTACTGGATAATGCAGAGGACACTTGTTTAAAGAGAGTTATCAAATCTTACTGGACCTCTGGATCTGGGATTCTTGGGCAGGAAAGATGTACTTTAAATGCAAGCTTTCATGCAGGCTCAGTCTTTGATGAGGGACTTCATCAAAAGGTTTTTAGAAGTTCAAGGATCCCAAGGAATGGTTTGAAGGCACACAAGGCCATCACCTTGTTGAAGCTAAGCAGATCTGCTTAGTACAAGCCTGGTTACTGCCTAGGAACCACATATATGCACGATAAAAGAAATACAGTATGGGACATAAATGTAAATAAATAAATAAATAAATAAATAATGAAATTGTTATGTACTGAAGTTCTCACCCTGGGCCAGCAGGGGTATACTGTAGATAGTTTTCACTCAGGTCCACACATGCAAATAAGGGATTGAAAGTGACGTTCAGTGATTGGATAGTTACAGAAAATGGTTACTGTTGCGTTCTAGTGGAGCTCTATATAAGCAGGCTGGCTGAACCCTTCAGTTCAGTTCTGTTCTGGCCTGTGAATAAACAAGAGCTGTTTGAAGAATCGCTGTGTCATCTGATATGTTCACCCACAACTTAACAGAAATTAGTAGCAGATCAACCCTATTTGGTCACTCTCAGATGACTCCAAAGTGTTGGTGAGGCAAGGCTTCCTCAGCAAGATTTATTCATTGTGTTTAGTGTTTAATAATTATTGCTTTAATTATGCTTTCCAGCAAGGCAATTGCAAAAGCGTTTGTGACCCCCCTCTCCCCACTTCCTATTATTATTATTATTTATTAAATTCATATACCACAATTCACCTGAAGATCACGGGTGGGCTACAATATAAAAACACAAAAATGCATAGCATAATAACAAACAAAACAATATCCCGCCCCACAGTTTAAAAGGCCATAGATTATTTAATTAGCCAAAGGCCTGGGAGAAGAGGCATGTTTTTGCCTGGCACCTAAAGATATGTAATGAAGGCGCCAGGCGAGCCTGTCTGGGGACAGCATTCCACATTAAAAAAACCAAAAACTCCATATTTTTAAAATTCAAATAAGTATCTACATAACAACTGCTGTGGTAGCCTCCTATGAGAGTTCTGTACCACCTCTGCTTAGCCGGCTAATTTTTGAACTGGCTTTAAATATTAAAACTGGGAGCTGCAGGAAAGGGCTGGAGGGGAAGGAAGCTTTAAAACAATCTACCCTATCCTCTTCCCCATCACTTTTCTGAGTGACATCCACTTCTCCCTGCATAAAAGCTGTCATGCACAGGCCCAGTTTTGAAGCAGGAAATGTTGGCTAATTACTGGCTAACTCAATATAACACATCAGAATGTCAAACCTTGTAAATAAAAAAAGCATAACTAAACAAACAAAATGTAAAATATTTTCTAAAACCAGGAATGTAGGAAATTGCCTGAGAGCATACCTACCATTTACTTTTTCTCAGACACACAAATTCCCACCAAGACTAATTATTTTGTTTTGTTTTCTTTCTTCTCACTTCCTTTGATTTCAGCTGTTCCAAGTGTCCCTGCATACCAGCAAAAATCCCTATGTTAATCACCGTCCCAGTGCTGTCCCATGGAGATGTTAGGGTTATCTTGTTAATGGTTTGTTGTTGTGAGTTGCTGGAGCTGTCATTCTGCAGGTTTCCGCCTGCTCCCTCAGATCTCTAAAGGTTAAATATTTGAGACTGCAATCCTAGGCCCCATGGGTAGCAGATATGGTGCCCTCCGTGGTCTCCTTTGCTGGACTATCATTCTCTTAACTCCTGACAATTGGTCGTGCTGCCTGGGGCTGATGGGAGCTGCAGTTCAAGCACACCTGGGGAGCGCCACATTACCTACCTCTGCTATACCTGGTAGTAAGCGTTCCTGAACTCAATATGGGGCATATTTCTGCGTGGGCATGTACAGGATTTCACTATGGGTGAGTGCATGGGGAGTGTCATCATATGCCTCAATCATTAGGTTGCACTGGACCGAGTTGCATCTGGGTGGGGTCAGAAACTTCCTTTTGCTGTTTTGTTCTTAAGGAGAACAATAACATTATTGTCTAGCTTCCTGACCGGAATATCCTCTAAGTCTAAGCAACCTGAGGGCAATCTGTGGCCAGCATGCAGCCCTCAAAAGCTTTTTGTGTGTCTCAAACAGGTGCCCATCGCCCTCTACTGACAAATCCCACTCCTGCTAAATCTTGCTGTCTCCTCAACTCCTCCCCCATCCTTCCCATGTGAAGTCTGCTGCTCCAGCCTTGCCCAAAAGCTGTTTGACAGACTAAGAGGATTGAAACTGTGATGAGGAGGATGATGATGTACAGGGAGCAGTTAACCAACCACGTGCATGCATGAATACCCCCAACTCACCACCAGCTTCAACCACACTCAGTGGGCACCCAACTGCCTGCCCACCCACAGTGACATGTGGTCCTCGAGGGCAAAAAGATTGCCCACCCCTACTTTGAGCTTTGGAGGCTGAGTATATTGTGACTCTATAATGCATGTGTGCAAATCCACCTTTTGCAGACATTAATATTCCATGGGATTCACCACCTGCCATTTCATACACTGCAGAAAGTGAGGATTGTCTAATTTTTAAAGCCTTCTAAGTTGGCGGCCATCACTGCCTCTTGTGGGAGTGAGTTCCCTAGATGAACAGCATTGCATGAAGGAGTACTTTCTTATATCTGTCCTGAGTTTTCTAACATTCAGCTTCATAGGATGTCTATGAGTTCTAATGTTATGAGAAAGAGTGCCATACATAATTTTATGAATTTCTAGTGTGTCACCTCTTGCTTGCCTTTTCTCTAAACTAAAAAACCTCAAACACTGCAATCTTTCCCCACAGAGGAGTGGCTCCATCCCCACAATCATTTTGGTTGCCCTTTCCCAAACCCTTTCCCACTCTACAATATCCTTTTTGAGGTGAGGCAACCAGAACTGAACAAAGTATTCTAAGTGCAGTCACTGCATAGATTTGTATTGTAGCACCCTGCTTGTGGTTAACGCTTAGCTGGAATGAAATATTCAACGCAGCAATAGAGAAATTAAAATAATAATTTATTTGTCAGACAAATAAATGATAGACACAGTGGTATATGGTTACCAAAGCTCTGCCCCCTCCAGCCCTGATGGCCAGCACTTATATTTCCTCAGCCCAGCCCTCTTGCTCCTCCTTTGGCTGCCTCTGTCCAATCAGCCTGGTTGAAATTCCTATTGGCTGTTTGCTAGAACCAATCATAAAAGATACACCCATTTCCTATTACCTTTTATGGGAGACAAAGAGCTATATTTCCTTCTATCCATAAATGGCAGACAAGTAGCCATATATCTTACATTTGCCTCAACAAGGCACCTTAATTACCAGATCACCTTTTGCCCCTGTTGCCCCTGCATTCCAAAACAAATGGCTAAAACAAATGGCTCATGGTATTAAATTCTATCTAAACAGAGATCTTGGGTTCACATTCTCACACACCATCAATGAAATAAGAATCTAACATAAGAATCTAACATTTCTTACTTTCTAAATCCTTTGCATAATTACATTAAGCCAACAAATCTCATACATAACATAGATAGCTTTTTAGAAGAAAAGGCCTTTGCAAAGTAAAAAGGAACTCAGTAAAAACAGCTTCAAAAGAAGCCTCTTCAGTTTACACCCTCCTTTCCCAGCCAGCTGCTTTTCCCATTAGCTCTTCCCAAAATTTATTGCCCTTTAACTCTCTCGGTATACCTTAAAGCTTAGGAAAATATGGCTAGAGTCTGATGGGAGGCACATGGTATTATTTTCTGTTAAACAATAAATCTTACTATTTACCAACTCTTAATTAGTGTTCTTGCAGCTTGATTGTATTCTGTAATATGTAGGGTCAGTGTAACATTTGCTCCCAGCCTGTAATTCCCTTTTACAACTTTGAGAAACTTGTCTCCTGCTACTGCTATAAATCATGGGGGGCCCTTGTTCAGGAGAGCAGGAAGATAAACAACTGCCAAAGTACTTAGCCAGCTGGTTTCTGCCCGGCATGAAACATACAAACATTTGCAAATATATCTTTAAGCTCATTTTAAAATACAGGCCTTGATCAGATGCCTCAGTATAATGGCATTATGATATCAGCAGTTTTACTTTTGTTTCCAAATATGTTTTATTTTCAAGCCCTTTCCAAATCATTGGTCCATCTACCTCAGTTCTGTCTGGGTATCCTCCAGGTTTTTGGACCATAACCATTCTTGATTATTGGTTATTCTGGCTGGAGCTGATGGGAGTTGTAGTCCAAAGGCCTATGAAGGGGACCTCTTCTTCTCACTCCCACCAGAATCTTCCACCAGACATTTCCATATAATGTTTAAGGAAGTTTAAGAAGGTTGTACAGGCCAGGTTGTTTGTTTTGCATCTAAATCCTGTGCAGCTTCCCTAGACTAGAGCCTTTTCTGACATTAGAAAGAAGGCAGAAGTGTTTGTGCAGGAAAGTGACAGTGCTTGTTTGTGATGTCCAAAGCTTTTCTATGACTTGGCCCAGCTAGCCTCTTCCGCTCAGTTGCAGAATTAGGATTTCTCAACCCAGCAATTCCAAAGGAAATACAGTACAGAGTTACGATGCTGGGCTTTTATTTGATGACAACTCACTCTGTGAAGCCATGAGAATCAGATCTCTTTTTCATTATTTCAGTCCCCCACTCTCCTCTTCATAAAAACTGCAGTTTCTCATCTGCCTGTAGTGCTATTCTGCAGCTTCTTTCCGCTGCTCTGGAACAGCCAGGCCCACTGTTCGGGTAAAACCTGGCAGCTGAAATTGCCAGGAATGTTGCAATCACATGGAAAAAATGACTTGGAAGAACCTCATGAGCACAAAAAAGAACACTGGAATTCTGTGACCCCTCCCGTCTCTCCCACTTCACCGAGTTTGGCTCAAACTGCCAGAGGGTGTGGGCAACACTTATGTGTTTGCTCCTCCACAGCTGCAGGGTTCAGTCTTGTTAGTAAAGCTGCAAAGCAGTTCTGCAAACACATTAAGAGAATCGGGCAAGCACTACAAACAGAGCTCTCTCTCTTTCTCTCTGTAAAACCTGGTAGTAATATCAGTGATGAATTTCAAATCCCTCCAGACCTTCTCCCCCAAATCTAACAGAAGCGGATCCGAAAAGTCGCTGCTGGATGATTTATTTCTTTCCATCTATGAATCACTCCCTGTGAAACACCTCAAAGTTATTTAACAATAACAACATCGACAATGAAAACAATGTCATATATAATGAATACAATTTCATATATGAAAATAATTTCAAACTCTTGGAATTGTAGCTCTGTGAGGGGAGAAGGGATCTTCTAACAACTCTCAGCATCCTTTACAAACGACAGTTCCCAGGATTCGGGGGGGAGAAGCCATGATTGTTTTAAACAGTAAAATAGTGCTTTAACCAGTGCTTTTTTCTGGGGGGAATCAGGGCTACGCATACCCCTAAACATTTTGTGAATCTTTGTGTTTTTGTCCATTTACTGTATTAATTTTTCCTCATTTGAACTATAAAATGGTGATTTTCTCGAGTCAAAATGAGAGTACCCCTAAACATTTTTTAAAGGGGGAAAAAGCACTGGCTTTGACTATGGTAAAGGTAAAGGTACCCCTGACTGTTAGGTCTAGTCGCGAATGACTCTGGGGTTGCGGTGCTTATTGGCTTTACTGGCTGAAGGAGCTGGCGTTTGTCCGCAGACAGCTTTTGGGTCATGTGGCCAGCATGACTAAGCCACTTCCGGCAAACCAGAGCACACGGAAACACCGTTTACCTTCCTGCTGGAGCGGTACCTATTTATCTACTCGGACTTTTTTTTTTTTAAAATTATTAACAGGCCAATCAGATCACATTAATTCCAAATCACATTAGTTCCAAATTATACAGCCAAATTTTTAAAATTTTGTTGGGGTTAACCATACTTCGAGCTCCGAAAGGGATCCAAACATCACTCTTGCTGCTGCTTTAATTACACAGTTCTGTCCAGATAGTCTCTTTGTTATTTTCCTCATCTTCTTGTTGTTATCATATATTCCTTTCTTTGTGATCTCTGATAATCTTCACAAGCAGGTTGAAAACAAACATATCCTGTGTGGATTTTACACTCTCCAAGAGCCATATCACATAAAGGACAGACGCCATTTCCACAGCTCCGTACAGAACATTCCCACAGTCTGTCCGTTGATTTCCATAGGTCTGCCAGTCTGTCATCAATTTTCTCAGGGGGCCCTGCCAGGTCAAATTCACATTCCGATAACCATACATTCACATTCCGATGACCATGGTCCTCCTCCCCCTTGTCCTCCTGTGGGCAGGCCTGTCTTAACGAATCTCCATTTGTAACTGCGTCACAAAGCTTTCTTTCCATTCCCGATGTTCCCACCAGTCCTCTCTTTGATTAGTAATTCATTTCCACACAGTTCTTAATCTCCTGCTTGTGATTAGTAATTTGCAACGATTCTTTCTCTCTGGGGGGGAGGGTTATTGGGTACTCACATAAGACAAAAAAAGAAAAGTTTTTTCCTCCCCCCCTTTCCATTTCGCTCCAACATACCAATCTTTTAATGATGAGTCTTCTCTTGATTTATTGTCCAGCCCGTCGCTCCGCATCACAGAGATCCCATTAATTAGCAGTCTTTACTCCCGATCTTCACTTGAAGTATGTGCATTTGCTTCTTTTTCTAATTATTTGTTTTGAGCTCTGCAACTAGCTGCACAATCAGAGACAGCGTCCGGGAGAGCCAACCCACCCGAGGGCTTTGTGCCTAGTGCCCTCACCCCCTTCTTTCGAATCCGGGGGCGATATATGGCAACAGCAGGCAAGGCAGTGTTCCCCATTCCCTTGGGGAGACACAGGGAGGCTGCATACTCCCATATCAGCCTCTTAATTACCTCGTGTGAGTCGGAGAGATGGTATTGTCAGCCATTTTCCAATGTGCCCCCTAGCGGCCCCCCTATCTACTCGGACTTTGATGTGCTTTCAAACTGCTAGGTTGGCAGGGCTGGGACTGAACTACAGGACCTCACCCTGTCGTGGTGATTCAAACCGCCGACCTTCCGATCAGCAAGCCCTAGGTTCAGTGGTTTAGACCACAGCGCCACCCATGTCCCTATTAACTGTATGGTAGGGAGGACTAAAACATAATTTGCCGATACAGCCAGCCCTACTATTTGCAGGGCAAGGTGACTTGTTTCAGGTGGTACCATGAGGGGAGCAGGAGAACATAGGAAATGGTTGTTGGCATCTGTTTGTGTCTAGAGACAATGGGGTACACCTCCTGGGGTGAAGTCAAACCTCCAGAGAATCACAGCGCCTGCTGTGGCTGCAGAGCCCAGTAACTCATAACTGCCACTTCCCACAGTGTGTTTGCTGTGTTAGCAGCACCAGATTGTCTCTCTGGGGTGCAAGCCTGGGCAGTGTGTATGGAGGTCCTGAGCTGACCAGACAAGTTCGGCCTCACTAATATGGTCAAAAGGACAGCAGAGCAATGCATTTGGCACGAGACTGGCTGCAGGAGTTTCTGGAAGGAGGCATACAAGATGCCATCCAATCATCTATTTGTGTAGTGTTTACTTCTTAGCCTTCTCTTCTGCAAATGTCCCACAAGGCAGCGGGCACAGGTCTTTCCTCAGGGTTTACTCCTGAAGCCTTTCTCATGAATGAGTATATAATGCATTCAAAAATACATACACTGGGGAAACATTTGCATGAAAATGTTGATATTACTGAAAATAACATACAAAAATGTATTAGGGAAAATTTCCTACGAGCGTGTATAATAAGAGAGGTTTGCATTAAAATGCTGACAAATTTTCAATAGGACTTAAAAAAAATATGCAATCAGGTGTATGTGGGTGGGGGTGGGGGAGATATACAACACAATGAAACAAAACTACTAGTATATAATTAAATGAAAGAACAGAAATACCCAAGGTCAAAGAGAGAGAGTTACAAAATACCTTTTCCTGTAATAGCCCTTTACTATCCATTATGCAAGTACTTTTTTTGATTTACAATTTGCTTTGGGCTGAGAATGAATACATAAAACTGGTGTTCGTGATTGCAATGAAACATGTACAGGCAACTCCCAATTTACGCGTGTCCGACTGATGTGCGATTGCACTCGCATGCATGGCGCAGAACCCAGAAGTGGCCTGAAAATGTCAATAAAATGTCACTGAAAGGGCGGAACGGGGCAGAATGCTTTACGTATGCCCCACCAAAGCACGTGGGCTTACGCAATGTAACTCCCGCACAAAATGAGGATTGCCTGTATAGCTGCTCTAAGTTAAGATTTGCATCTTCGTTGGTTTCCCATAACCCCTTATCCTACTACTTTTCACCATTCCTCGTGTTTCTGCATTGAAACCAAAAGGAAGCAGTTGATTTGAATGCAAGCCAGATTTCAGCCAGGCCTATTTTCTCCCATATCTAATGCCTCATGTTTTTGCAAAACTCTTTCCTTATTTTGATCATTTCCTAAAGCATCGTTTCTGTCCGCTCTTGTCATGTTGCACAGCCAGACTCCTGAGTGCTGCAAGCAAAGTGCAGAAGAGATGCTCTTGAAGCCTGGACATGCTAATCCGTTTGCTCCAGTTCCCTTTGTTCATCCTTAAACTGCAAGCTGCTAATTTGCTGCCATCTCGCTTCTCAGTGTGCCTGCTCTGCTGAAGACACTTCCTTCAGTTCTGTGATGTTCTGCTCCCAGAAACTGCTGAAGCACAACTGCTGCCAATTTAATATTATGTTGCACTGACAGGAAATTTAAACCAATTGTTTGCATAGTTGTTGCTGAGTCGGGAAGTCCTTGGAG